ATTAAATTTATGATACTGTTTTGTCTTTTTTAACACACATTCCATCCATTTTAGCGGAATACGGGAGTTAAACTGACCTAGGGCTTCTGCAAATGACAATGCCCTGAAAAATCAGCGTTACCCCAATAGTGTAGGGATACATTCAAAGTTTTTGGTGAATAGGTTTTCAAATTGCGCCCGTATATGCTGTAACTCGTGTTACATACTAAGTTGAAATAGAATTCAAGTTATCTTGTCTCAAAAACGTTGCATGAAGTGCAATAAATTGTAAGGTGTTTAATTAATTGTGCATGCATCGGTGGATTACGTTAGCTCACTGTGTAATACGAAATTGGTGAACATATAATATTTAGATGACGTATGTTTCCATTATTTGTATTCCAGGCTTTGCGTATCATAACTGACTGACTGACTGACTGAGTTTGGTTTTACGCCGCTTTTAGCAATATTCCAGCAACATCACGGCGGGGGACACCAGAAATGGGCTTCACACATTGTACCCATGTGGGGATTCGAACCCGGGTCTTCGGCGTGACGAGCCAACGCTTTAACCATTAGGCTACCCCACCGCCCCCATAACGCAGTGATTTTCATCTTTAATTGTATTGCAGTTATATAGTGCACACAGTTTTCTCGGTTGCCGAATATATCTTCATGTTCGTATTTTTAAATGGTCTGAACTACATTTAATACGAGCAAGGATTATTATACAATTGGAAACAGTTATAGCTTTACAGTACAGTTCCTAACAAACTAATTCTACTGTGTAAGGATGTAGCTATTCGTTTCGACGCTTAGAAGCAGCAGCACAATACTTTAAGATGTGTCGCTTGTCATTCTGCACTTTCAATACGGATTCCGTCATCATTGTGTACAGATACTGAGTGAGTGAGTATGTTCTTACGCCACCTTTAGCAATATTCCAGAAATGTCACGGCGGGGGACACCAGAAATGGGCTTCACACATTGTACCTATGTGGGGAATCGAACCCTGCTGTTCTCACTTTCTCGCGATATTAAGTATACTGATTATATAACTACTAACTGTGTCGTGTAATGAATGCCTGTGACAATGGTACTGATACTGGAACATCTCGTACTTTCTCGCGATATTACTGTGCTGTATCCTGAATCATTGTGACAGTAACAAACCATGCCGGAAATCTTGCCCTTTCTCACGATATTACTGTTATGTAGCCAGAAGAGGACATGGGCATCACCATGAACAAGTTCACCGTGGACCTCCAGGTAGAAGGACGTGTGTGACGTCACAAAGAAACTAACTCTGTCATGCAGTGCTTTAAACTAACTCATTCACTTGGACATTATGTGACCACCTTAATACAGACACCTGCATGTGTGGTTATGTTTCGTTTGTCTTTTCAATTGTTGCATGTGATCTGTTACTATCATCATCATCATCATCATCATCATCATCATCATCATCACCGATGCTGTTCAGGCCAGCTCTAACACCACGTCACCCATCCACTATTAGATGTTACGCACTGAAATGATGGTTCTCCAGAGCCTAGTTATAATTGTTCTTAAGTCAGACCAGCGACAAAGATAATTCAGTTCCTTGAGGGCACACCGTGATATTTCTATCTGAAACCATGAGCAACAGGTTAGTTTGTATCGGGGACCAGACAACAGCGATAGGCTGGCCTTGTGGAAAGAGACCCTATTTTATGGCATTAGTGACCAGACAACAGTGATAGGCTGGCCTTGTGGAAAGAGACCCTATTTTATGGCATTAGTGACCAATCAACAGCGATAGGCGGGACTGTTGGAAAGGGACACTATTTTTGTGACATTAGTGACCAGACAACAGCGATAGGCTGGCCTTGTGGAAAGAGACTCTTTTTGTGGCATTAGTGACCAGACAACAGCGATAGGCTGGCCTTGTGGACAGAGACCCTGTTCTATGGCATTAGTGACCAGCCAACAGTGATAGGCTGGCCTTGTGGACAGAGACCCTATTTTATGGCATTAGTGACCAGACAACAGCGATAGGCTGGCCTTGTGGACAGAGACCCTGTTCTATGGCATTAGTGACCAGCCAACAGGGATAGGCGTGTCTTGTGGACAGAGACCCTGTTCTATGGCATAAGTGGACAGACAACAGCGATAGGTTGGCCTTGTGGAAAGAGACCCTTTTTGTGTCATTAGTGACCAGGCAACAGTGATAGGCGTGCCTTGTGGACAGAGACCCTGTTCTACGGCATAAGTTACCAGACAACACCGATAGGTTGGCCTTGTGGGAAGAGACCCTTTTTGTGGCATTAGTGACCAGACAACAGCAATAGGCTGGCTTGTGGAAAGGGGTCCTATTTTTTGACATTAGTGACCAGACAACAGTGATAGGCTGGCCTTGTGGAAAGAGACCCTATATTTTGGCATTAGGGACACCAGACAACAGCGATAGGTTGGCGTTGTGGAAAGAGACCCTATATTTTGGCATTAGTGACCAGACAACAGCGATAGGCGGGCCTGGTGGAAAGAGTCCCTATATTTTGGCATTAGTGACCAGACAACAGCGATAGGCTGGCCTTGTGGAACGGGACCCTATTTTTGTGGCGTTAGTGACGAAACAAGGATGTATTATAGTGTACACCACCCTTGTGCCCAGTACCCCACGAACAGTACAATCAGTGATCAGAATCGAAGATTGCCCCTATTTCAGAAGAACCCGGAAGCCCACCTCTGGGCAGGAGGTATGGGGTGAGGTGTTGTTGACAACTAGTGGGGGTCTTCATTGATTACCCGGCCCGCTACATTCAAGGTCGGGATATGGCTATTCAGATATATGATTTATCGCCTCTCTGTGTAATACTTTCTCGCTCCGTGGGTAGACACCAAGACACGCGGGGTAAATTAATGTGCGTGTATTGATACAAGCCAACAATCATTATAAAGAGCCTTCCGCAAACACTGAAGCCGTATATTACAATTACACAGCTGTATCGAGGAACGTTTACCACCGCTGTTATTGTATAGGCGTGTGTGCTGTGTGTAACCTAGTCATATGTCTCTGTGTCGCCATTGTGTGTCCCCATTAAGCGCTGGGTGTGGACCGAGTACTTAGCCCACAACCATCCCAGCCAAACATATATCTGAAATAGGGGGTTGTATACAGGAATAATTGTTCAAGTGTCTCAATAACCTAACTCCAAAGTATCTATCTGACCTGATCACCAGATATCAGCCCCACCGAAGTCTTCGATCTGAAAATCTTGGTCTTCTTGTTGTTCCACGTATTAAGTCCAGCACCAGGTTTGGGGATCGATCACTTCAGGTGGCAGGACCATCTCTCTGGAATCATCTTCCACTGGAGCTGAGGACAATAAACAACCTGAAGATTTTTAAATCTGAACTGAAGACATACCTTTTTAAGAAAACACACAGTGTCTAACTTTTTTCTTTCTTGAGCTGTTCGGAGAGCGCAACTGAGCAGTACTTTTGGACTGGAATTGGCGCTATATAAATGTTTTCATGATGATGATGATGATGATGATGAATATTTTCATCGGTTCCATAGAACGTTTATAGTCATGTGACCGGTCTTAAATATATACGATACGTTGATCTAGATGGTTTTATAATCCGCCAGAATGTAAGTATGTGTAGTATAAATGGTTGTTAGTATGCTCCCAGGCAGGCGGTTGTTGTTGTTGTATTGTTTCCACCTGTCACAGGACTGTAGTTATAGCGGACATTTCATCTGACCAATGGCTGGACATTGGTGTCATATATATTATATTTACCCGACATAAGGCTGCCTGTACATGCTAAATTTACCCTACAGATGACTGCATGTGTATATATGTGTATATCTGTGTATATCTGTGTATATTACATTGCAGGGGCGGATACAGCTTTTTGAGAGAGGTGGAGATGTGTGTGTGTGTGTGATTTGCACGTGAACATAGTCAGGGTAAAATTAGAAAGGTTGAATGAAAGATGTAACTGTGCTACTGTAAACTTCAGTGATAGAATTCAAACTGAAAGTTTGCTACAAACTCAATTAAACGTTTTTCGATATGCGGTGTCTGTGACGTCAGGAACGGCTACGTGCAATTGGCATGTTCGTAGTTGAAACCAGAACATTGTGTGGCTAGTCCGCCATTTGACCGCCATTAATTAGTAGATTACAATCCCGATATCGTCATGCAAATAACGTTGATGACAGACGCCGATCTGGTAGAACAAAGGGCGACAACTGGCGAACATGACCGTTTCGTCGGAACGGTTATATCACGAGACCGTGGTGAAAGTGCCTTTCAAACTGGAGATGAGCTTAAAAGAGCTACAGGAGTGAGCGGACGGACGATTCGTAATCGGCTACACAGATGGAACGTGCATGCTCGACGTTCACGTGTTATCCCAGGACTGACGGACCGCAAGACGTCGTTTGTGTCAAGAACGGCAGAATGAACCTATCGCCTTTGGGCAAACGTGATGTTTTGAATCAAGGTTTATTTCGGTCTTCTTTGACCAACGCGGTGTGAGCGGTCTCGTGCTCGTCTGTGTCAAATGTCCCTGACAGAAAATTGTATTTAAGAGTTAGTGTGAAAGGGAAGCGTCACTATATTTGTCTATACATTATACGAAGTGTAACTACCATTAATTCCCAGGAATAAGGTGTCACTGTGATGACGTAATTCTTCCATAATCCCACGAAGTAGGTGTCCCTATTGTGACGTATATTCGCCCATAATCCCACGAAGTAGGTGTCAGTATAGTGACGTATATTCGTCCATAATCCCACGAAGTAGGTGTCAGTATAGTGACGTATATTCGTCCATAATCCCACGAAGTAGGTGTCAGTATAGTGACGTATATTCGTCCATAATCCCACGAAGTAGGTGTCAGTATTGTGACGTATATTCGCCCATAATCCCAAGAAGTAAGTGTCAGTATAGTGACGTATATTCTTCCATACATGCTATACTATAAGTGCCATTACAGTGACATATATTCTGTCTTGTATCCCACAGAGGAAGATGCCCTCCAACTTCCGGGGCCAAAGCTACTCCAAGCTCAAGAAGGCTTGCCTGAAGAAAGGTGAACTGTTCGAGGACCCCGAGTTCCCTGCCAACAACAAGTCCCTCTTCTTCAGCAAGATTGACAATGACGTCGTATGGATGAGGCCAAAGGTTAGATTGTTTTACCAAGGTCAACTGACTGACTGACTGAGTATGGTTTTACGCCGCTTTTAGCAATATTCCAGCAACATCACGGCGGGGGACACCAGAAATGGGCTTCACACATTGTACCAATGTTGGGATTCGAACCCGGGTCTTCGGCGTGACGAGCCAACGCTTTAACCATTAGGCTACCCCACCGTCCCCTTTACGAAGGTCAAGGTTATATCGACGGAGAATAAACATAAAGTTCATATTCTTGTACTTCTTTCTGTTTTGGGCCCCACTTAGGATTCTAATCCCGGTCACAGAGTCAGGCACCTAATTTCCACACACTAAGTCAGCAGTCTGACGTCAGACTTCCATTTTTGAGGAAACTGCGATGGCTTAGGGGGTTAAATCGATCATTTTGTGTGCTAGAGAGTAGGTGCCTGACTCAGCCTTAAAAACTAGAATCTGAAGTTTACTGAGAAAGTGTAATTCTAAAGACAGCATGTGTAACATTGGATCATTTTCTAAATGGCGTTGTATAATCACACTTTTGTTTCCTAAACAGGAGCTGTGTAAAGTGCCACGGCTGGTGGTGGAGGGGGTCAGCTGTGATGATCTCAACCAGGGAAGTCTCGGCAACTCCTGGTTCGTCAACGCATGTACCAGCCTCACCCAGGAAACAAAGATGTGGCAGAGGGTGCGTAGAGGCGTTATAGCGAGGGACGATGGGTGGTATAAGGGGAGATGTTAGAGCTGCTTTTACATCCATGTGCGAAATACGCGTTTTGTCGGAAAGCGCACGTTAGAGCTCCAAATCACCATCATCTGCAGCTACACGAAAGGTGAAAAGATGAAAAGGAAATATACGAGAGATGATAGAGTGAGTGAGTGAGTGAGTGAGCGGTTTGACACTGCTTTGAAAGGTGTCTCAACATTATCATGGCGTTTCTATTTAATGTGAGCGTGTGGGGGTGGGGGGTGGGAGGGGGCCGAAATGATGAAGGTTTCAGGTATTAAACTCTACTATATTTTTTCATATCCACGAGTACTGGTATAGTGCACACAAATCGAGAAACGTAATCGATACATACCGGGATACGAACGCACGGTCATAGGTTTCTGGTCGACCAAAGGGAAGTAACTCTGTGAAGCTAAATGCGTTGCCTCTCTCGACTCAACCATCAGTGGTCCCACCTTTAGGAGACCTGTCTGTTGTCCCGATCAGTTGGTATATCTGTTGCATTTGGATCTACTTGAAGTGTAGTAGACCTGTGGCATGTCTCTGGGGTCTGTTACATGTATCGTGGATCTGTTGCATATGCCGTGGATCTGTCACATGTGTAGTGGATCTGTTACATGTGTCGTGGATCTGTTACATGTGTAGTGGATCTGTTACATGGATCTGTTACATGTGTCGTGGATCTGTTACATGTGTCGTGGATCTGTTGCATGTGTCGTGGATCTGTTACATGTGTCGTGGATCTGTTACATGTGTCGTGGATCTGTTACATTTGTAGTGGATCTGTTCCAGGTGGTGGTGGATCATCGGACTCAGGAGTGGGATGATAAGAACGAGTATGCCGGCATCTTCCGCTTCCAGTTCTGGAGGTTCGGCGATTGGGTGGATATTGTCGTGGACGACCGACTCCCCACCAAGGACGGCAAACTCATCTTTTGTCACTCGAAATCCAGGAACGAGTTCTGGTCCGCGCTACTCGAGAAGGCATACGCTAAGTGAGTTGGACATTTAAACTTCGAGACGTGCGCCAAGTGAATCTCATACGGTATTTCATTTAGACGAACATGAAATGTTTTGTTTGTTTTTGTTTTACGCCGCACTCAGCAATATTCCAGCTATATGGTGGCGGTCTGTAAATAATCCAGTCTGGATCAGACAATCCAGTGATCAACATCGTGGGCATAGATCTACACAATTGGGAACCGATGACATGTGTCAACCAAGTCAGCGAGTCTGAACACCTGATACCGTTAGTCGCCTCTCACGACAAGCACGGGTTGCTGAAGGCCGAATCTAACCCGGGTATACAGCAGATGAAAGTGATATAGTATTGGTCTGACATAGCGGTATACACAAAGTGATTTTGACACTGTACAGTATGTCGCACACATCACTTGACGTTATCAGCTGTGGCCACATGACTTTCACTCAAAACTACCCGCCTCACACGCACGCAATAATACCCAGCTAACATGCGAAGTCAGTGGTAATACTCTGATTACCACCCGGCCTACACCCGCTCTTAGTGGTAATACACTTATTACCACCCGGCTTACACCCGCACTCAATGGTAATACACTTATTACCACCCGGCTTACACCCGCACTCAATGGTAATACACTTATTACCACCCGGCTTACACCCGCTCTTAGTGGTAATACACTTATTACCACCCGGCTTACACCCGCACTCAATGGTAATACACTTATTACCACCCGGCTTACACCTGCACTCAGTGGTAATACACTTATTACCACCCGGCTTTCACCCGCTCTTAGTGGTAATACACTTATTACCACCCGGCTTTCACCCGCTCTCAGTGATAATACACTTATTACCACCCGGCCTAAACCCGTACTCAATGGTAATGCACTTATTACCACCCGGCTTACACCCGCACTCAGTGATAATACACTTATTACCACCCGGCTTACACCCGCACTCAATGGTAATACACTTATTACCCGCAGTGGTAATACACTTATTACCACCCGGCTTACACCCGCACTCAGTGATAATACACTTATTACCACCCGGCTTACACCCGCACTCAGTGATAATACACTTATTACCACCCGGCTTACACCCGCACTCAATGGTAATACACTTATTACCACCCGGCTTACACCCGCTCTTAGTGGTAATACCCTTATTACCACCCGGCTTTCACCCGCTCTCAGTGATAATACACTTATTACCACCCGGCCTAAACCCGTACTCAATGGTAATACACTTATTACCACCCGGCTTACACCCGCACTCAGTGATAATACACTTATTACCACCCGGCTTACACCCGCACTCAGTGATAATACACTTATTACCACCCGGCTTACACCCGCACTCAGTGATAATACACTTATTACCACCCGGCTTACACCCGCACTCAATGGTAATACACTTATTACCCGCAGTGGTAATACACTTATTACCACCCGGCTTACACCCGCACTCAGTGATAATACACTTATTACCACCCGGCCTATACCCGCACTCAATGGTAATACACTTATTACCACCCGGCCTACACCCGCACTCAATGGTAATACACTTATTACCACCCGGCTTACACCCGCTCTCAGTGATAATACACTTATTACCACCCGGCTTACACCCGCTCTTAGTGGTAATACACTTATTACCACCCGGCTTACACCCGCACTCAGTGATAATACACGTATTACCACCCGGCTTACACCTGCACTCAGTGGTAATACACTTATTACCACCCGACTTACACCCGTCCTCACTCTCTCAAAAGTTCTCAGCTCACAATGTACCAATTTTATCATAATTTAACCATTGCTCGTTACAACAAACAATGTGAAATTTGTTTTAGTAGCACGGTGAAGTTTTCCGTTGTAACAATTTCTTTCAATATGCCAACAATTGAAATTCTTGCTCTGTTAAATGCTTTCTTGGCATTCCGTCTTCAGTACATCACTGAAATGAGGCATCCGAAGCCAGGTTAAACATGTCAGATGTTTTACTAAACCGTATATCTAGCATCTTTGTAAACATTAATACAAAACTGCTAAAGAATAATTTCAGTGTAGCTATTAATACCCGGCGTCTATTCACACACATTCGGGAAACGCTCAGCAATACCCGCCTGACACCCGACAGAAAAACATAAACAACGTCGCTAGGGAGAAACTTCACGTGTTTACGTTGCCCTGGTGACGTTTGTGTGCTTGTCGTGTCACGTGACGTAGTCAATGTCATCAGCTGATGAACGAGCTGTAGGGCAAATATAGATTCAAAGAACGTTTCAATAATTAGTCAGCTTTATCATTTAGCACGGTGGAAAACGCCCATTTTATATGTTAATGATCCATAATTAATTTAACATATTGCACGGCGTACGTGCATTTATATTCAGGCATTTCAGTTAATGAAAAACGAGATTATACTAGTAGCGTTTTGATACAGGTAGAGGGCAATTCAATTCAGTTCTATTTGCCTTCAGCTTAACAGATATTCGGTGGTTCTACAGTGAGGTTAAGTTATCGTGTAGGTAAACATTGGTGTGAGGTGTTGGTGCGAGTGGTTGGTTGTTGTTTAACGCCGCACTCAGCAATATTCCATCAATTCTGGCGGTCTGTAAATAATCGAGTCTTGACCAGACAATCCAGTGATCAACAGCATGAGCATCGATCTACGTATCTGGGATACGATGACATCTGTCAACCAAGTCAGCGAGTCTGACCACCCAATCCCATTAGTTGCCTCTTACGACAAGCATGGGTAGCTGAAGACGAATTCTATCCCGGACATTTCACACGTGCGAGTAGTGTGGGGTGTTCATTGTAGGTCTGCGCGTCAATGTTTCTGGTAGACTTACGTGAAAGGATTTCCGAGGTTATTAACAAACCTATGGCGATTACAATTTTTACCTATTGATCAGTCAGCCGATCATTAAAAGGTTTTTATGAAGACGTACTGAGGTAAATTATTGGGCTGCTGTAAATGTATTGTTGTTTTTGGCCCACCTGCACAAAACAATCTTTGCGCTACGATCATTCTCAGTCCTTAATATCGCGATCTTAGGCACGGCTACAATGACCATCCGCTTGCACAAAGCGAGTGTAGACTGAGATCATTGTAAGCAACAATCAAAACTTACAATTGGTCTGGACCTATTGAAAGGTCTTACAATCGACCAACATAGCGTCTACGGTGGGCTATTGTAAGGAATATCACAGGTTTATAGGAGAGATAGAACAAGGGAGCTTGAGATTGTGACTGACGAGGAGCTCTATACACGATACAGAATGCCTCGTCTGTAGTTGTTTCAGTTACTGGACAAAGTTTGTCATCTTTGTATTTTTATTATATAAGTCATAAATAGATGCGATGATAAATACGGTGTTGCTAGTGATTGACCTGGCGTGCGGTATGCTGTCTTTTGGACTGTGTTAGTGTAAACATCCTGGTCTGATAAAGGTTCAGGGCCCCGTTTCACAAAGATATCCTAGTGCTACCACTGCCGTAAGTCTATAATCTGCCATGCCAACACCAGGGAGATAACTCTAGATGTTCATTCTTAAGCCTACAAGAGTTGCCTCCCATATTGAGTACCCTACTACATAATGTAACACCTGTTTTAAAATTCTATTACAGTATTTTTTACCCATACGGGTGAGGAGATCCCGTGTAATATCTTTTTGATATTTGCACAGTGTGCAATTTAGTGATTCTCGACGTTGATTGGTTGATCGTATATTTGTACATTTTCATTGGATGCCGGAACTACTTTCACACACTACGTTCATTCATAAAGTTTCATCGATTCATTGATAAATTGACATTAAGTAATGTAATCACACATTCCGAGATCTAAAAAAGAAAACATTAAGGTTAAAGAATATGAATATTCTTTTTATTAGACGTTATTATTTTGGAATAAAACTGCGTTATAAATAGTAGTCTTTTTAAATTATAATCTTTAAAAACACCAAACAATCGTTTGCATTGTTTGTAAACAAACATGGCCGCCGTTAGGCTAACCCCGATCAAGGTCACTTACCTAGTTAAAGTTGACGGTGACCAAATAGGAAGAGTGATAAGAATTTTACAGCCCTTGAATTCCCAAAACCTGTTTGTTGTTGAAACTGAATTCGGGGAAATAGAAACAGCAAGATACCGACTAAAGATGTTATCTGAAAGTGTAACAAGTAAGTCGGACACGGCGTCCATGCCATCGAACCAGAAAACAGCTCCTTTCTTACCGGAATCAGTGCTAAATGTTCTTCTTCAAGATGACTTTTTATATCCATGCATTCCTAATCAATCTGAGAGGTTGGTCCCAGTAGCCGATGCAGAGATTGACACATTTCATAGACTCGGATTCCGACTAGAGTTATCCTTCTTGGAACTGCTGTACTCTACTAAGACGAGAGTGTAACACGCCTTCCACAGAACAAAATGTTGTTTAATCTTCAAACTTGTTGAGTTTCTTGACAGAAAACTTTTTCTAGATGTATTCGTGGGATGGTTGTCTTTTAGATTTCCCAACTTTTAACCGTTGACTTTCCCAAAATTGACAGGTTTTTGCCAGAGTGTGTTTCAACACTACACCGTCACCCGTCACTAGAAAACACGTCAGTCGTGAATGAACGATGTTCCGTCGCACTGACTTGATCGAATAAATGTTTAGCTCTTATTAAGTTCAATGATATATTTAAAAGATCATTTTATCATATTAACAAATGTTAATTAATTATTCCAGGCATAATAATTTTGTTGTATTTTAAAGCGATTTTATGATGTACTATTTCCATAGCGTAGTTATGTTATTACCGCTGGAGAAGTTAGGTTTAATACGCGCATGAATACGAATCAGCTGTTTAAGGTCACAAGTCCTGTCTCCGGGTGGTTTTTATTTCGTGGTTCTTCCTTTTAAATTACATTATGGGTAATAAATAGAATAACCAACGAGGTACGAGTGATTACGGGAAATATGCCCTCGTTAAAATAATGTTCAGTGCCTCGCCAAGGCTCGGCACTGTGAACATTATTTCAACTCGGGCATATTTCCCGCATATTTCCCGTAATCCAATGTTATTACACATTCTGTAATATCATCACGCGGTGCCGTACGCATGACGTAAAACTGGTTTACAGTTATGACGTCACAATGCTAATACCTCTGTCACAATAGTATTAGACCTTGCTTGACTCGCGGAAAGCTGAGAGTCATTACACTCGTTGAATTCTTGGGAAAGAAGTACTTTGCTCGATATTATTTTGCTAGTATTTGATGAGTAATAAATAAAATACTAAACTATGTCCCGTGTAATACCATATTATGAAACTCGCTCGTTAGATACCAAACAATTCACTCGTTTCATAAATATGGTATTACACGGGACATCGTTTAGTATTCTCTATGTATCAGTGTTTGAGCGTGTAAAACATTACAACGAGGTTTCAGCGAGTAAAACATTGCAACAATGTTCAGCATGTAAAACATTACAGCGATGATTCAGCATGTAAAACATTACAGCGATGATTCAGCATGTAAAACATTACAGCGATGATTCAGCATGTAAAACATTACAGCGATGATTCAGCATGTAAAACATTACAACGATGTTTCAGCGAGTAAAACATTGCAAAGTATGTTTCAGCGAGTAAAACATTACAGCGATGTTTCAGTGTGTTAAACATTACAACGCTGTTTCAGCGTGGAAAACATTACAACGATGTTTCAGCGTGTGCATGGCTTGTTTCAGTGTGCCCAGAATGCAGTGGGACAGGAGACGGCCGACGGTCTCGTCATGGGTCAAGGCTACAACGTCACGGCCGTGAAGCTCGTGCAGGTCAGTCGGAGTCTACAGGGAGCTGTGGGGTCCGACAAGCTGCTGCTGGTGCGACTGTTCAACCCGTGGGGGGACAAGGAGTGGACAGGGCCGTGGGCCGACTCGTGAGTACACCTTCCTACCACGTTACCTCCCTTTGTTCGGAGTCATGTCACGTGTTTGTTTGCGTGATGTCGACCACAGTGTTTACAGACCAACCAGTTATAATTTGTGGCTGACCTGTAAATTTACATAACTGTTCTTTCCTCATCGTAAAGTTTCCGTGTTTCGGGTGACTACAGTCACTCTCTGCGTGCGACAGAACAATAAATCTTGCTAGGACACAATGTATGAATATCTCGTACGACTCCCAAACTAGGAAACAGGATGTTGACTCATATGTTTATATATCCCTTCCTTCTGAGAGAAGCATTTAGAAGTGGGAGTATTGAAGAACGTTAGAATATCTGGATGAACATATTTATTACTAGACCCTGCTTGATAAAGTGTCAGACCGCCTCCGTGGTGTAGTGGTTAGAGCGTCCGCCCGGAGAGCGGAAGGTCGCGGGTTCGACCAAAAAGACGTTAAAATATGGTACTTGTTGGTCCCTGGCTAGCGCTCGTCATTAATGGGTACAACAAGGACTGGTCGGCTCGGAGTCAGTATAATGTGTCTGAGTGGGGTATTCATGCTTCACTGCGGCATGGTATCTCAGTGGGCTAGCACTATAAAACAGCTTAAGTCTGGGCTAGTACAAGCAGCCGCACATACACATACACATGCATGCACGTCGTCATATGAGCGAAATATTCTCAAGCACGACGTAAAACCCAATTTCACCTCACCTGATAAAAGTGTCTCTGCGAAATGTAATAAAGACGTTGGTCATCCACATATCACTTCCTGTTTGTTCCTGTTGTATTGAACTCTGGGTAATTAGTGACGTCACGTGTATAAGACCCATACACCCCAGAACCAGACTCTATTTGCCCTTGTTTTGTTTCTGTTTCAGAAAGTTCTATAGATATCGGTTTGTGTTCTACTTTCAGTTTTGCTTTGTTAACATTACTCAGACAAACGCCCTATAGGCACCTCCCTAACGCTAACGCTTTGCCAATGTGTAACGGCTTGAACGCGGAGTCTCCGACCAGCCATGCAACACTTAGCAATACAACAACTGGACTAGACCTAAGATTGTAGCGATACAACAATCCCACTAGAGTGTAGCAATACAGTAGGATGGAAAACCTTAGATTGTTGCAAAACACCTGAACGTAAAATCGTAGATTGCAGCAATACAACAACCTGACGTAAATTTTAGATTGTTGCAATACAACAGTTCAAAGTGAAACCTTAGATTGTTGCAATACAACAGTTCAAAGTGAAACCTTAGATTGTAGCGATACAACAGTTCAAAGTGAAACCTTAGATTGTTGCAATACAACAGTTCAAAGTGAAACCTTAGATTGTAGCGATACAACAGTTCAAAGTGAAACCTTAGATTGTAGCGATACAACAGTTCAAAGTGAAACCTTAGATTGTAGCGATACAACAGTTCAAAGTGAAACCTTAGATTGTAGCGATACAACAGTTCAAAGTGAAACCTTAGATTGTAGCAATACAACAGTTCAAAGTGAAACCTTAGATTGTAGCGATACAACAGTTCAAAGTGAAACCTTAGATTGTTGCAATACAACAGTTCAAAGTGAAACCTTAGATTGTAGCGATACAACAGTTCAAAGTGAAACCTTAGATTGTAGCGATACAACAGTTCAAAGTGAAACCTTGTAATACAACAGTTCAAAGTGAAACCTAGATTGTAGCGATACAACAGTTCAAAGTGAAACCTTAGATTGTAGCGATACAACAGTTCAAAGTGAAACCTTAGATTGTAGCGATACAACAGTTCAAAGTGAAACCTTAGATTGTAGCGATACAACAGTTCAAAGTGAAACCTTAGATTGTAGCGATACAACAGTTCAAAGTGAAACCTTAGATTGTAGCGATACAACAGTTCAAAGTGAAACCTTAGATTGTAGCGATACCAGTTCAGATTAGATTGTAGCAATACAACAGTTCAAAGTGAAACCTTAGATTGTAGCGATACAACAGTTCAAAGTGAAACCTTAGATTGTAGCGATACAACAGTTCAAAGTGAAACCTTAGATTGTAGCGATACAACAGTTCAAAGTGAAACCTTAGATTGTAGCGATACAACAGTTCAAAGTGAAACCTTAGATTGTAGCGATACAACAGTTCAAAGTGAAACCTTAGATTGTTGCAATACAACAGTTCAAAGTGAAACCTTAGATTGTAGCGATACAACAGTTCAAAGTGAAACCTTAGATTGTAGCGATACAACAGTTCAAAGTGAAACCTTAGATTGTAGCAATACAACAGTTCAAAGTGAAACCTTAGATTGTAGCGATACAACAGTTCAAAGTGAAACCTTAGATTGTAGCGATACAACAGTTCAAAGTGAAACCTTAGATTGTAGCGATACAACAGTTCAAAGTGAAACCTTAGATTGTAGCGATACAACAGTTCAAAGTGAAACCTTAGATTGTAGCGATACAACAGTTCAAAGTGAAACCTTAGATTGTAGGAAGCGATACAACAGTTCATAGTGAAACCTATAGGCGTAGCGATACAACAGTTCAAAGTGAACGCTTTAATTCCAGTAATACAACAGTTGGAAGTGAAACCTTAGATTGTAGCGATACAACAGTTCAAAGTGAAACCTTAGATTGTAGCGATACAAGATTTGTAGGAACCAGCTTAGTTTGTAGCAGAGGCCATATAACGGTATATAGACGTAATGGCTTTAATTCCAGTAATACAACAATTGGACACAATGTCTTACATTGTAGCAATACAACAATTGGACGCATTGTCTTACATTGTAGCAATACAATAAGTGGACGCATTGTCTTACATTTTAGCATTACAACAATTGGACGCATTGTCTTACATTGTAGCAATACAATAAGTGGACGCATTGTCTTACATTTTAGCATTACAACAATTGTACACAATGTCTTACATTGTAGCAATACAATTGATGGAAATAATACCTTAATTTTGTAGCAACATAAATCTTGTACTATAGTTGGTAGCAATACAATCAGACCTTCGATTGTGGCGATACAAAGCTTCCAGTGGTCCTTATTAGAATATAGCAATGCAGCATTTGAAGATGAAATATTAGGGAAGCTTTGCTATGAACCTCATGAACATCTGTGACAAGTGCAGTACCCTGTGTTCCGTGTGTGCTCTGTTGATGAACTGCTGATGCTTCAATCTAATAGACAGTCTAATATCATGTAATTGTACAAGTATTGACAGTAGAGGATATTTGTTGATTTGGCATGAAATTAGGTGTTATACATGTTCAAACATTAAATTTGATCAATCAAATATCAGCATTTCAGTATCATGTATGGTATATATCGTATATATCTTCAGAATGTAAAAGCTTTAGTTTTATCAAAATATGACAAAGTAGCTGTGGTCAAGCAGTTGAGATTACTTCCCTTCAGTTCAGTTCAGAGAACTGTTGCATGTAACCCGGTCCAAGCTTAAGGCTGTTGTGATTACCTCCCTTGTATTCAATTCAGAACACTGGCAGACATTGTTGCATGTAACCCGGTTCAAGGCTGTAGAGATTACCTCCCTTGTGTTGTAGGTCCCCCGAGTGGAGACGAGTCCCGAAGTCAGAGTGGGAGAAGATGGGAGTCAGGTTCCGCCAGGAGGGAGAGTTCTGGTAAGTCACGTGATACAGGAGCATTGGGAAGGGAGTCACGTGAGTGGCAAATAGGGTTGCAATAAAGAAAAGGTACGGTCAGATGCACGTGAAATTGGAGGTGAAGCCCCGTGAAAGAGAATTAAAGGACAGTACAGGTTCGGAATAAAAGCGACTTGATCTAGAAAATGGCGGAGGGTGTCACTCAACACACAAACGTGGCAGGGGAGTCACATGGTACATAGAAAGGGCTGGGAATGAGGTAGAGAAGGAAGAGGGTTGTATTTACGTGGTATGGCAGGGCGGGATGGGTGTCTCGTGAACACGGGGTATGGCGCGGTGGGAGGCACGTGTTTCTGACTTATGTCTGGTGACAGCCACCTCTCTACTGCAGGATGTCCTTCAGCGACTTCATCCAGAACTTCTCCAGCATCCAGATCTGCCACTTCGTGAACACCTCCTTCTTCTCTTTAAAAAAGACGTGGAATGAATCTACCATGCACAGCAAGTGGTCGCACTCCGGCAGGAACGGCGGCAGCAACTACTTCTCTCCGACATTCCTCAGCAACCCACAGGTAGACTTGCTGTGTTCACTACCGCTTCAGATAAATCTCATTCCACCAAATCCTGTAATTAATCAAACACATCTACACATTGCCCCAACTCGCGCCCACATCACATCCCACCGAAGTCCTAACCGTAGTGTCGCCACAGAATCTTAGCGCCGCCACACAGAAGGGAGATAACTCTTCGTTATGGTCACCATGAACTCTTCCCACCTGTGTGTAAAATGGAGTTGCAATGTTGGTGGTTGGTTTGTTGTTTAAAGGTCGCACTCAGCAATATTCCAGCTATATGGAAATGGTCTGCAAATAATCGAGTCTGGACCAGACAATCCAGTGATCAACATCATGAGCATCAATCTACGCAATTAGGAACCGATGACATGTGTCAACCAAGTCAGCGAGCCTGACCACCCCATCCCGTTATCGCCTTTTACAAGCATGGCACTTCACGTGTCGGAGTTGTAATGTAAGAACATAGTTTGAAGCATGTCTGATCTGATGATACTCTGTTTCAGTATTTGTTCGACATCACGGGAGCGTCAGATCGGATCATGGTGTCCCTCGAACAGCACGACGTGGGCGGTGGCAGGCAGTTCCTGGGGCAGGACCTCAACGTCATTGGCTTCCACATCATGAAGGTAACTGTCAGTCAATATATAAAGGTGGGCGGAGCTTGAGCCTCAACGTCATTAGGTTCAACGTCATGAATTTAACTGTCACTCACTCAATGTGGGCGGGGCTATAAGTGAATGACATCCATAGCATGGGGGCAACAGTGAACCACTCTATTGACAGTGATAGGGCCTAAACGTGATTGTCGTCCAATGACAGAGACACATATAATGTTAGTATGTATGTATGTATGTATGTATGTATGTATGTATGTATGTATGTATCATGTATGTATGTATGTATGTATGTATGTATGTATGTATGTATGTATGTATGTATGTATGTATGTATGTATGTATGTATGTATGTATGTATTACATCAGCCATTAAACGTGCTACCAGGTGGAGGAAAACCGGAAGTACCGTATGCACGTGCCGGGAGAGAAGATGTTCACATCGGATTACGTGAAATCTCGCAGTGTGTACGGGACCACACTGCTGAAGCGTGGACGATACGTCATAGTCCCGACTACCAAAGAACAGGGGACGACAGGGGAATTTCTGCTGAGGCTGTACACAGGGTCGGCCGCTGGGGGAAGGTATGTTATACAACAGGGGAAAGGTATGTTATATATACAACAGGGGAAAGGTATGTTATATATACAACAGGGGAAAGGTATGTTACATGCACAACAGTGAGTGAGTTAAGTATAACACAGCACTCAGCAATGTGCCAACTTTGTGGCGGCGATCTGTAAATAATCAAGTCTGGACCAAACAACCCAGTGGTCAACAGCATGAGTATCGATATACGCAACTTGGATGACACTTTTCAACCAGGTGTCAGGTGGTAGTGAGTGTACACGGGATCGGCGGCTGGGGGAGGGTATGTTAATATATAACAGGGGAGGGTATGTTAATATATAACAGGGGATATGTGTATGTGTATATGTGTATAACAGGAGGGTATGTTATGTGTATAAGGGAGGGTATGTTAATATATAACAAGGGAGGGTATGTTATGTGTATAACAGGGGAGGGTATGTTAATTTATAACAAGGGAGGGTATGTTATGTGTATAACAGGGAAGTACTGAGAGTACACGGGGCAAGATATATCTTATCATATTATAGTTTTTCTTATCTGGTTTTTATTATGTGTGTGGACGAGTATATTACTTCCAACCCTTGTCTTCCTTCAGCGGAATCAGTGGCACTAGCAGGTAGTACCTCCATTCTCGAGCCATGGGTCCGGCTTCACAAAACCCACTTAGTTTCGACTATAACAACTTACGGGAATGTCTTAAAAAGACATGTTATCGATGTCACGCTAAGGTGGCTTTGTGAAGCCGGAGTCTCATGTTACAGGGATTTATGTTTATATTTTATTTATATTTTCCTTTGTGTTAAATATCTAGTATGTCCTCGCTTCATGTCGTTCCACTACGTGACCTTGACCTTGACATCGTCAGGATCTGAATCAATATTTTGTCCCCAGAGTGGTGTTTGGAATGAGAGATCGGATGTAGCGATTTGTGAATATTGTAGTGAACTCTTGATGGCTGGCTTCAGCAAGGTATATCACTCAATCGCAACCCACTGTGTTAAATACTGTTGGTACACGCGGGATATCCCACTCACTGAACTGTGAAGGATATATCTGTGGTGTTTGGGCAACACGTACGGGTGTGTACGTCAGTTTATTAAGGAAAGGGATATGTAACCCATTATTTCAATGCATTATTAAATACCAATTTAAACGTGCGTACAAACTACGATTATATTTGCGGTCCGCGTACGACACTACCTAGTCCCAATTACCCAGTACCCAGTAAATTTCAATGCATTATCAAATGCCAATTCCAACGTCCGCGCTACCTAAAGCACTTTAGTCCCAATTACCCATTAAAGAGACATTCAAAACCCTCATGCCAAAAGAGGGTTCGCAGCCACATTTGATAAACAAGCACTACTTACCTCCCTTCACAGGATGCAGGATCTAGGTCTTCGTTACAATGTTTTCGCTTTCTTTGATTACTTTTTACACTTCGGTTGGTGAAGGTTTTGTACTGGTATTATATGTTGTTTTCACCACACGTTTTGGGTTTCTATATATCGGTATTGTGTTTTATTTCTACGAATTATATTTTGCTTGGTGATGGTATATATGTTTTTACTTCCATACCACGTTTTGTCGTCTGCTCTCTAAGTTCAGACAGGTGATCTTTATATTCATGTAGCTTCGATGCTAAACGGAAAGAGAAATATATTGATGTCAGATATTTTTTCAGTGATCAAAGTCGTGATGTTTTATCGCCCGATCCTAACATTCTACCCTGTCGCATTACTACTCTTTACATAACTTGGTTTCTTATATATGAATCAGTTTTACACCCGTTCAGCCAATCAGGTAACCTCCGACCTCGAAACAATTCACATGACCCGTCACCCTGCCTCTTAAGATGAAATATCCTCCAAGCTGCACAGCGACTATCCGCGCCTCCTTGACCACCGTGTTCCCGTCATTAAAGGCACAACGTCACAAGGCACTTCTCTAAAAATACTTAATGCATTTTCGCTCAATAATACTATCAGCCCTCAGGGAAGTAATCATATAATTTATTCCAAAACAAATTACGTATTTAGATTACAGTATCAAAATAAAATGTTCGAATGAATTAATGCAACGTTGCATTAAATCAACTCTCGCTCCCTCTACCGGCCGAACATTATTTCAAGCCAACCCCACAGAGTTATGTCCCTTGGAGCGCTCTTTACGAATATCCTAAACGCAACTTATGATTGAGGCCAGTTCGGCAAACACCGACAACACTGCGTTCGACAGTTTTCGATGTATGGAGCAATCGTTTAGATTCCATATATGGCAAGTGTTATTTGTTTGAAGCTGTTCGCCTCGAAGTTTCAGTTATCGATTTCAGGCAAGTTGTAAGGGATAATAAGTATCTTTTTGCACCAACAGGAAGCTAAAGTGAGTGCATATGCCCCCAATATATAAAATATAAGCCCAAATATTGTCGAAAATGTGTAACATTGTGCCTTTAACCATGTTGTATGGGTGGGCTTAGCCACTGGTGGCTAAATTCGTTACATATCCGTTTAAGGGGCCTTGGATGTCTGCGACAGTCTGCCGGCCCTAGGCGTCTGAGAGTGACCGACTAATATGAATATCTGTATCCATGTTGCAGGGCCTTGGAGAAGGAGTGCCCGTCCAGTGGTTGTCCGTGTGTGGCCGGCTACAGCATGGTCACCACAATCACCGTGGAGTCTGCCGAAGGTCTGGAACTTCCTATGAAGGCTAAAGGCAAGGGATGTAAGTACAACGTTACTGACGGTCAACTGTAGCAGTCTCTAAAAACCTGAAATTTACATTAAGGTGCCATTTGAGACACTATCCTTTCCTCATGGCGGTTTTGTTTGTTGCTTTGTTGTTTCACGCCGCACTCAGCAATATTCCCGCTCTGTGGCGGCGGTCTGTAAATAATCGAGTCTGGACCAGACAATCCAAATCGGGGAGAATGACCACCCGAACCCGGTAGTCGCCTCTAACGACAAGCATGGGTTGTCGAAGACCAATTCTAACCCGGATCTTCACAGATACTTCAGTCGTACTGGGTGCCGTTGTACAAAGCGATCTTTGCGCTAAGGTGACCGTAACTCCCATTCTTTAACACTGACTTAAAGGTAGCCTTAGCGCTAAAGTTGTTTCGAACAACAGCACCCTGGACTGTGTACACCGGAGTACCATAACTGGAATCGGCATCCGGATACACAGATCTGACACTTTAAATATTCTTCGACCATCTGATGTTTCCTCTTGTTCTGTATATTCCACCTCTGTCTGTCTAGGATATCACCAACGTTAGAGGTCCAATGTCTCTTGTAAACGTTGAAATCTCTATCAACCCTGACGTTACAATGTTGGGGGGAGAGGGGGGAACCGGGTGGTTAAAGTATACGATTGTCACGTCGAATACCCGGGTTCGATTCCACCCATGAATACAATGTGTGAAGCCCATTTCCGATGTCCCCCGCCGTGATATTGCTAGAATATTGCTAAACGCGGCGTAAAACTAAACTCATTCACTCACTCACTCCAGCTCTGGACCCCATGGTCAGCATCAAGTGTGAGGGGGAGAAGGTCAAGTCTGTGGCATGTCCAGGAACCAGCACCCCCACGTGGAGCGTCAAGGCCACGTTCTACAGGAAGAAGACCCACCTGCCTATCACAGTCGACGTAAGTAGAGCTCTTCATCCCCTGTGACGTCTAAACCCGTTATATTCCGGCATTATGATCCACGTGGAATGTTACCTCATGCATTTTACAAGTGGACATTGTACACATTTACAGGACCAACTGTAAATATCTAACGAGCTCCAGAGAGTAACGGGTTTTATCATCCAAAACTGTGTTCCACAGTAGATATCGCTTGTGTGAGAGCAGACAGTAGATATTGTACAATGCCCTGACATTAATGCTATGACGTCATGAACTTGTTGACGTCACAATGTTATGACATCGCTGCACTGCAAATCTAATGGCAGTACTGTGTTCAGAGATGTACATTTTTCATTGAAAACTAATGAAGAGTGATTTTTGATGATAAATAGAATCTCACCCTCGTGTCTTCTGATATCAAATATATCAACACTCGTTGATAAAAGTAAAAATATCCTCGGCAAGCCTCGGATATTTGTTACTTTATCAACTCGTGGTGATATATTTGATATCAAAAGACACTCGGGTGAGATTCTCTATATCTTTCCTATGCACGGGACATACATTCTGTCAGTTTTGACACACGTTCAAACATCTGCAGTTACCACCCCACGGGAACGCTACCCCGCAGGGCTCCAGATAATTTTTCATGATCAGGAGTACGTACTCCTTATTTTTTCAATATAGGAGTACTGGAAAACAATAAAAGTACATTTAGAGTACTGAATGGAATTAAATGGAGTATCAGTAATCTTGTGTTTCGTTTCATATATGCACCACAACATTGCTATTCTTGTGTAAAAAGGTCAATAAACAAAAACAGATTCAGATAAATACGTCTGTAAATGATTCTAAGACGTACACCATTGCTGTGGTGCGTATCTGCTACGTTTTCTAAAATTTCCTACGGTATCATGCTTATTTTATATCCGTACATACGTCGAAAGGGCCCTTATCTGGAGCCCTGCTACCCTTTCATGAAATTACATGATAACAATGAAGATGTACTATGTTTTCACTGCCAGGATAATATGCTGTGTATACAATACATTATGTATACGGGGGGCGTCCCAAAAGTGGTCGGCCTCACCTAGAAAATTATACAAATGCAGCTGTTTTTTATGTATTATATTGTCTACTTCAAGCAAATTGCATTTGCCATGTTCCAGCCTCACGATCCCCATTTTGTTTGACTCTTTATCTTGGTAACCCCCAAAAACGCAAAATCTGCAATAAATGCATCACAAACTTCAGGAAGCAAAATATGCAAGAAACATTTTGTGTGTTTGAGATAGGCAGAACTCCTCGAGAATCAAACGTAGATATTAAAATGCATAATAATGCAAGCTGAAACTACAATGGCTTGTTAAAGTGACACACACACACACACACACACACACACACACACACACACACACACACACACACGATGCTTACTGAAACAGCTTGTTTTGGAGACACTACCCAACGACTTTCAGATGACGTAGTCATAAGGTCATAACTTGTTTTCACTTATTCATACATGATGCCAAGGGTTCAAACTAACTACTAAATGGGCACACAAGTGTCAGCACTCAATATATTGTAAATAGTGCCAGCTTGAATATCTGGACACAATGTTTTTGAAAGATTAAAACAGACCCGTCTAAATATAATCAAGCAATCCAAAACTTTAAATGTTTGAAGTCATTTAATACTACACTGACCATATTGAATATGCTATTATCTGAGGGCATATCATTATCCAAGAGGTACAAAATGGACAGATAATTTTTCACTTTCTGCAATTTTTACAGAAATATTATACCCCAATGTGTTGTGAAGACTAATATCTCGTTAACCACATTACCCACATATGTGAAATTTTGAATATGGCTTTGCTAACGATTCCTTCAAAATAAAATGCAAGCTTTTGTAACGTTGGACATTGAGAATATAAATAGGCCGACTACATTTGGTACGCCCTCGTTCAATGACAAGATATTACCTCGTGTAAACCCTTTAGTGATAGTAAATCCCCTATACTACAACAGGATGTGTCTTTCCTTTCAGGTGCTGAATCACAACATGCTGAAGAACGACCTACTGGGCACGGCGACCATCCCCGACATTGGCAGCGTGACCGGCGAGGACAAGGAATACGACCTCTTCATCGTGGTGAAGAAGCTGAACGAGAGCGTCCCGGGCAAAATCCGCGTCAACATCAAGTCCTCTTACGATCTCACCGAGTTGTAACCCCACGTGACATCACGTGATAGGAGGGGAGACAACTGTATTCATTTAAAGTCCGTCCAGCAGCTTCATCGTGGGCTGGTAGTTGTTTGACATGTCATCAAGTAGGAATCCCAGTTGGATGTGTCTCTCTGACGTTCTTATGAGATTACTGTTTGTGTTAATTCATGTTGGGAAGCATTTGTATAAAGAGTTTAAAAACGGGCATTCCCGTAAAAGGCAAATTACCTCTCTCCCATCCTTATATCAGACTGCCGCTCTTCGAGTTGCATTCTGGGATACCAGGGATGTGACCTAGAGTTGCATTCTGCGATATCAAGAATGTAACCCCGAGCTGCATTCTGGGATACCAGGAATGTAACCTAGAGTTGCATTCTGGGATACCTGGGATGTGACCGGCTGCTTACTGAGATGTGACTCTTGTTGCTCTTTGTGATGTGATGTGACCTCCCGTTTCTGTCTGGGGTGCCCGGCATAATGACCTCATTTTACTGTCTGTGATATCAGGGTAAGGAAGTCCAACGTTGTCAGGGATACCAGGGGGCGTAGCCTAACGTCGACCATGTGTATGTTGCCTTGCCTTGCTATGTGATATATATGGGCTCGTGTCCTCTATTGCTGTATGTTATTTCAGGGACGTGGCCAGAAAGGATGAGGCTTGTTATATTCTCTTTTGCTTCATAGGAGCTTAATCCCGACCCTGCAAAGTATTAACGCTGATCTCGGACTGAGCTGCTGACACCGGCTTTGTATTACATTGTTCAAATCATTGCATGTTATTTTCAAACGTGCAATGTCATGTCAATGTGTATATGTACTCTCGCTGTATATACTGTGCAGTGATGTCAATATATATATATATATATTTAGTTATCATACCAGCAATGGTATAGTGATAGTTGTTAACACTGTGTTATTTACTTCGTGAGTTGATGTCTTGACATCATTGTGTCGTCTTCTATTGTGACGTTTTTTCTGTTTCACAATTACTTGCATTGTGACTTCATGACGTAAAAAGTGACGTCAAGAGTGGTATTACCTGTTTTTGTTTCTGTGATAGGCAGACTGTGATATCCCCACCGTTATCCTGTACATACTATAAATAGACCAGAGTACAGCGTTTGTATGTGTATCGAATGAGTGCTTTTCTTCCAGTATTACCCGTTCTTCTTCAGGTTCCTAGATCCGCCATATAGCTGAAATATTGCTGAGTGCGGCGTAAAACTAAACTCAGGCTCCTATTTACCTTCGTGAAGTAGGCTGTGTATATCCAACGTTCAGTCTTTATGTTATACCCCTAGTAGCTCTGCCCCTGCATTTCTCGATTGCTCTCATTATCATTATGATTTAATACGAAACTGTCTGAGAAGACACCATTAAATCCGTTCATGGCGCAAGCACATCGCTGTCATGAAACAAATAATGAGACCGATGACGTTTAGGTGCCTCATTCTGAGAGTGCGGGTTCGAATCCCGGATGGGACTAAACCAAAGAGTACTAGAATCTTGAATCCCAAATATAGCTTATGTTAAATAATTGATCAATTTTAAGTGTACCTGTATATATATTGTGTGTAAATATATTCTACCCTAGAGATTACAATATTTCATTCTACATCTACATGCATGTTCCCTTGAAAGTAGAGTGTGCCACGCTTGTCTCCAAAACCAAGCGTCAGTGTCACGTGACCCAAGAGCCTTGTTCACGTTTCGTTTTCTCTAAGAACAAGGCACAAGAACACAGGGGGCGTTGCTGATTGTCAGAAGCCTATGATGTGGTTGTATTCATGCTGCATTACATGCTGTCACGGTGTTGGTATATACTGGAACCTCGTTTATACGGACTCCGAAACACTTTTTAGCTGTTGAAATCTGTAAATAGAGTTAACGGACGTGTCATTCTTCCGCACACAAAAATAATGAATTCATATTGGAAACAAAGGTCGGGAATAATAACTTCACAGTTTGTTTATTAACGGAATCAATGGCATCATTCAGCGCGGTAATGCAACACTGGACCCGACCACTCTGTTGCCAGCCATCCGCTATTGGGCATGACCTGTGTTTTCGTTTTATTGGAACAAAACATAAACATAATTTGGTTGGAAAGCCAAGGAATCAATTACATTTATCACCAAATGTTTTAGTGCGTTTCCTGACAGAAGTTGGGCAGTGCAATGGTACCCGTCTTCTGATTCTCTCGTGTGTCTGTCAAACTGAATAAAGACTGAAAGCCTGAATAGTTTTCTGTTATCACAGAAGAGAGAGACAGAGCACCCACAACGCCTTGTAGCGGAATACCCACAATGCCGGATACATTCGTAACTACTCGTGTCATTCCGGCAAGCGCTTGTAAGTCACGGGAAGAGTCGAGTAGTTACGAATGCCTCGAACACCACCTCGTAAAGATCCGGGTCTTCAATGACCCATGAGTGAGTGAGTGAGTTAATATTTAACGTCCCATCGGCAATATTTCAGCCATATCGTGACGAGAACTTTGACGATTATAAAGAATATGTATATACTATAAAACCCGTCGCCAAAGGACAGTAAAACTAGAAAAAATACGCTGTTTTAACAATTTAATGCATGTAAGACGTGAGTAATAAATAAAATACCACACTCGGTCTCATGACATACGAATTATACGAAACTCGTGACCTTCCTATGGTTTCTGACCTCGCTCGGTCAGATGCCATAGGAAGGACACTCGTTTCGTATAATTCGTATGCAATGAGACCTCGTGTAGTATTCTCTATTTATTACCCATATGGGAAAGAGAACACAGGTTAGTATTTTTTCTGTAAGTCCCTAGGGAGGTTAAACCTTTTGGTGAACGTTGATTGGCTGTTTCAGAAAATAAACGATTTCATTGGTTAAAAACAATATGCCGGAAGTACTTCATTAATCTTTCCAGTTCATTCACTGTTTTTCACCCAAACTCTCTTGTACACGAGAAAAAGAAAAATGATTACTAAATAATCATTCAGTTTTGTTTATTCATAAATACATCACTGTAAACTCTTGGAAACAACAGTTGTAGAAAAGCAAAAAACACAATGTTGCAAAAGGTAATACAAGTAGCAGTTACGCTATCCAATCACTCGAGGTTTGTCCAGATAGACGATGGGCGAGCCGGCTACGCCCTCGACATATTCAGCTGTCAATCAACACAGGCTCGCCCATCGTCTATCTGAACAAACCTCGAGTGATTGGATAGCGTAACTGCTTTGTACCATGCCCACATTGCGTGTTTTCAAAATCAGCGCGGGATGTTTGAATTTGAAATCACTCAGTGTCACACCGCCGCGATGTCAAGTCACGAGTGGTATAGACCTTACATGGTCACAAATAATTGACGAAGTTGACAATAATAGACTGGAATGGGATGATACAATCAAAGACACATTTTTTGGCAAGCTGCTGAGGTTATGGAAACTCAATCGGTCGTGTTAGATGGGTTGACTCAATAGTCAGTATTGTACACAGACGAAGGTCCAACGTTTCCTGAACTTAAAACTATACATTTTACTCAGGTCATGAAAAATAATGATGTAGACACGAGCTTTCGTTTTAGAATGAAGTAACTACTACATAGACCACGGGTAAGATCAAAGGGACCGCCGCCAGGGCATGGTACAATACGTCTGCTAGAAATCATGTGAAGCCTGAGAACGTCAACGTTATTGGTGACGTCACTGTGACGTCACGAACCATCCTTGTTCTGTTGTCGATGTAAACATGGCATCTTCCCTATCTCCAATAAAAGTGAATGACAAAGTGAAGGTTGATGGCAGCGTATTGGGAAGGGTTGTAGACATTGTTCAGCCACTGAACACCGTCAGTGTATTTGTTGTGAGGACTAAACAAGGTGAGATGTAAGTTCCCAGGTTTCGCATCCGTGGTGTGCCTGTCGAGACTGTCCCCTCTCGCCTCCAAACGAACTACTTACACAAAAATCTGATAAAATACGTTTTTGTTTTCAATTATTAATACACAATTCAAACATTCAAGTACAGAAACTATACACTTAGGTTAGTTGAGAAAGACACACTGTTCTAAGGGACTATTTAGTCTCGCGTCGCGTTATATTTACAAGTGTATGAAATAAGACAGAAACCCAGCCAGACATGAGGGCTGGTAACTTCAAAATGTTACCAGCCCAAAATGGATTTAACCAGACCAGACAATCCACTTGTCAAGTCTAAATGTAAGGCTCAATTTGAAAATAGATTTTAAGATATGGTGAATTTACTCAGATGTATGGAACATGTTTTCTAAAAATGTTTACCAGACTATCGGGCCGGCTGGCTGTAAATTATTTAGACCGTCCGTCAGAAATCTAGCCAGTCTAGGGCGGTCGGACGGGCCTTATTTCATACACTGGTAATACATCCGTTAAGATAGCGGTAATATGATGAACTTCTTGGAAATAGAGCCGCATCACATGCGTAGGTTTATGGGGATTCCCCACATCGCGGATTTCCTTAGATAGAAACTTTTTCTTTTTATTTTAATTCTCGGAGAAGCAGTATACAATATATGTATAAATGTATACAATATATATACAGGATTGGACTCATCGAGGTTTTTGTTATTTTTTAACACATAGACACAACATTCACTCACACATCCTTACAAAAAAACAAAACAAAAAAAACAACAGAAAATAAATTAATTCGTATTGTCAATGTGTGCTACTAAAAAGATTTTCATACTGTTTCCATTTGTTATGGTATTCCTGAAACCTTCCTTTGCTATAATATCTGATTCTTTCTACGTTGTGGTAATAGTTCAATTCCTTTTTAAAAACGGATAAATGCGGTATTCGATTTGTAAGTTTACATTTATACATATGAAATTTAGCTAATAGAATTATCAAGTCAAATATAGTATCACTGGTGAAGGATTCAGAAATACCAAATAACCCTAGATCACAATGGAATATAATTCTGTGAGCATGTCAACATTTCAGCGTAATCCATTGAGAGAGATTACCCCCAAAAGATTCACTTTCTCTACATGGGTAATTCCCACTTGTCCGGCAGGCTGAGGGGATTAAGAGTTATGGGTGAATGGTTGTGCAAAGTTTGTTGATCCCTATGAAAAAAGGTCCCCCCTCGTCCAGCCGGCTAGGGGATTAGTGAACACCGCTCACCATAACCGGCAAGCGGGTATGGCTGAAGTGTTTATCCTACCAACATGATGAGGTGAATATAGTTCACATGTCATGATTTTGACACCTAGTGAACATACTAATTGTGTTTGCGAGCTTCAATTTACCAAGTATCGGAATGTTATTACACACAGACAGGTTATTTCGTGATTGTCTGTCAGATACCATTTATCCTACAACGCGTTGTTTCAAAACGAATCAAACGAGCGAAACGATTTAGATACCTTCCGAAACAACGGATTTCAAGATACATGTACATGATTTCTGATAGGCACGAGTGTAGAAATGTTTCTCACACCAAATTCAATTTGGCATAAACGTCGTATAATTTCATTGATCACGGAGGCGTTTAATACATTACACAAAGGGCATTGGTGACATAAGGGACCGTTCATATTTTTTTGCTAGGGGGATGGTGATGATTTTTATGGAGAAGCATGTACAATGTGAATGACCCCCCTAAAATTTATGTACAAAGTCAATGACCCCCAACCCCCTTTCCATATTTTTAAAGCATATTTTTAAAATATTTATAAGTACAAAATTGCTGACCCCAAGTAACTTGTGTACCAAATTGCTGAGTACCCCCACACACACACACACCTCCTCAGAACAAAATGGGTGACCCCCCTTAAAATCATCAATTTCCTCCCTGTATCTCCTGTATCTGCCATGAATGGCTGCTCTGTGACCACGAATGTGAGGACATTGTTAAGCACCAATTGCTTTACCGTGAAAGTTTCATCACAGAAATGTGCTTCGTGAGTCTTTATTTTATAACCTGAGGACTGCCTCAGTGGTGTAGTGGTTAGAGCGTCCGCCCGGAGAGAGGAAGGACGCGGGTTCGATCCCCGGCCGCGTCATACCAAAAGACGTTAAAATATGGTACTTCATGCGCTCAGCATTAAATGGTGCAATAAGGACTGGTCGGCTTGGAGTCTGTATAATGTGTCTGAGTTGGGTTTTCATGCTTAACTGCGGCATGGTATCTCAGTGGGCTGGCACTATAAAACCAGCTTAAGTCTGGGCTAGTACAAGCAGCCACACATACACACGCATGCACGTCGTCATATGAGCGAAATATTCTTAAGTACGACGTTAAACCCCACTTCACCTCACCTCACCTTACAACTTACGTCACTGTTGACATATTCTTTGATCACCATTCATGGCATTCTCAGGTGAATGGTTTGAAATCCAACTTCATGTATCAGATATTTACTGCCAGGGAAGCAGTCCGTCATTATCTGAGAGCTCCTCGCCATAAGACAGCCAATCACGGGTCTTGAATTCGATCTCACACATTTGATACCAGCCATATCACATGCGTTTCACGCCAATAAGCCTGTATTATAATTTTCAAGAAATAAATGAAATAAATCCTAGAATCCATTTCATTGGTCAGCTTTAAACGACCTTATCTATCTGGTCCAATGAGAATGAGGGACTAAACTACCGGGCAAAACTTCGTAGGAATCGTGCATATTTCGTGCACAGTAATCACTTTTCATGTAATTGTATTGAAAAAAGCACTGGTACAGGTTTGAACCCAAGCAGAATACATTCGCCAAAACGCTACATGGTCCTGATAACAACGCAGCTGTCCGAAAACTTCGTACGAATCGTGCATATTTCGTGCACAGTAATCACTTTTATAAAAAGCAATGGTACAGGTTTGAACCCAAGCAGAATACATTCGCCAAAACGCAACATGGTCCTGATAACAACGCAACTGTCCGAAGACTTCCTACGAATCGCGCATATTTCAAAACGTGAAAACGCACGTAATTGTGGGATAAAAAAGCAATGGTACAGGTTTGAACCCAAGCAGAATACATTCGCCAAAACGCAACATGGTCCTGAAATACACAAAACGTGAAAACGTAATTGTGCATACTTGTGCATACTTGTGGCATACATACCGGTGTTGGACAAAGCAAGCATGCAGTAACCAAACAAAACCCACTACGAATATGCCAAAGCTTACGCAAGCGCAACGAGACAGGGCGATGAGTATGGCCAATATGGGTCTTCACAATAACCTTCAACTGCAGCTTGGATACCATGAGCACATTGATAAACCGCTACCAGCAAACAGACCCAAGACCGCCCAAGATCGGGAAGACCAAGAGACACGACATCGGCCAAAGACCGTTACATTCGGCAGATTCACCTCCGGAACAGATTCGTGACGGCGACAACACCACGCCATCAGCAGGCGAACAGTCCTTGGTATGGCTGATATACGAGCCTACCGCCCCTTCCGTAGAATGGCCTTGACGCGTCTACAACGGGTCAAAGCAGACTGCAATGTGTTCGAACAGTACGTCGGTGGCAGCGACGTGACTGGTAGAGAATGCTCTTTACAGATGAAAGTCGGTTAAGTCTGTTCAGAAACGATGACAGAGTTCAATTTTGTTTTGTTTGTTTTTCACGTAGAGGGGAGCGACTGACGCCAAACTGCGTTCAAGAAGTTCATACGTTCGATGGAGGAGGCGCCATGGTATGGGGCGACATTTGTGGCCAGAGAGCAACAAGACTGGTTATCATCCGAGGAAATCTGAATGCCAAGCGATACAGGTATGTAGTGTTGAGACCTTTTGTGGTGCCCTTTATTCGGCAACAGCCAAGACGAGTCATTTTGCAGCCTACAACGCAAGGCCTCATACCGCCAGAATTGTCAGAGAATACTTGTACAACATTAACGTCAACGTATTGCCCTGATCAGCGAGCTCTCCAGACATGAACCCCATTGGACACTTCTGGGATAAACTTGATCGTCAGCTGAAAAAGCGTGTACTGCATATTCAATACAACACAACCCATTTGCGATTAAGGTTGAAGAGCTGGTAATAATTACGTTTGACAGATTCATGAAACACGTTGTGCACGTGCATTACCTGCACCCAGTTCCTTTAAAAGCACATGGAATTGTGAAACTCAATCACTTTGAGAAAATACCACGCTTGACACAAGACGAACGGAATCAGGCTATCGGTATGGTCAGCCAAGGTGCTTCTGATGTGATGATTGCCAGGCACACCATCCACTGCTGGTCGACTCAGACAACGTTTTCGGGCCACCGGAAGTGTTGCTGATCGTGCGCGACCTGGTGAACCACCTGTTACCTGTGACGACAGCTCGACATGACCGCAATATCAGAGTTTCACACTTGCGAAATCGGTTCCAAACAGCTACTGATACGGCAAGGAGGACAATCGGGACAGCGCCCAAGACGCCTTGCTGCCTTCAACATCCGGTGTCGTCGCCCGTACCGTGGTCCAGCCTTAGTGCATCGCCACAGACTTGCGATGGGCAGCTAATGGGGACAATCTTGGCAACAGGCCATGGCGAGCTGTCATTTTTTAGATGAATCCAGGTTTAACGTATCCTTTGCAGATGGACGTCAAGGATTTATCGACGTCGAGGAGAAAGACTTGCGCCAAACTGTCCTTGAACATGATCATTTGGAGGGGATGGTGCCATGATCTGGTCTGATCTACAGCTGTTCCTGAGAAATGTGTGTCTTCGAATGCCCCGGAGACTGCGAGTATGTCTTGCAGCGCACGGTGGACACACGCGATATTGACCGCAAGTGATCCCCTCCTTTGTTCCGTCACTGATGTTGTTGTTGATTGGACATTTTCAGTTGAAATTATCCACAGGTGTTCACTTAAAACACATCTACCAGTTCCATTTATATATGTATATATATATACTAAGCAGCAAAAGAAACGTCAGTTAGGTATTTTCCGTCGCAGAAACGAATAACTGTAAACTCATTTAATGTTTTGATTGAATATTTTTGACAACATCTCCAACTTTACCTGAACAAAGACATTCCTTCCCAAACTCAGAATGGAACCTAGAAAATGGTCTCAAAAACGCAGCCTGATCTGACCAACACCACCAATGATCGCCGTCGTACTGGCAGACCAAGGGTGACCACAAGACGACAAGACCGCCATTTTGTGCAGCATGTACAGAATTCCTTCATGCAGGCATCCGAAACAGCACGCCAGACAGTGGGAACACACGGAAGACCAATCAGTACTGATACAGTACGCCGACGTCTTAACAGCGGGAACATCCATTGCCGTAGACCTTACCGTGGACCTGTCCTCAGCCCTCGTCATCGGCGTGAACGTCTACAGTTTGCCCTACAACACCAAAACTGGCGATACAGGCAATTGAGAAATGTTCTGTTCACAGATGAGAGTGGGTACTGCGTATCAACTGCAAATGGCAGAACAAGAATATGGCGACGACGTAGTCAGCGTTACTCAGACCAATGTGTTATGGAAAGAAACTCATGGGGAGGTGCAAGCATCATGGTATGGGGTGGAATAGGCCTAAACCAGAGAGTGGGTCCTGTGGTGTTCCAGAACCTTGGTCCAGGGAGAGGAGGCGGCATCACAGCGGTGCACTACATCGACCAAGCTCTCAGACCCACGTCATACCACATTTCGCACGTCACCAGAACAATATTTTCCAGCATGATAACGACCGGGCCCATACTGCCAGAGCTACACGGGACTTCCTACAGCAGAACGGTGTCAACAGTATGCAGTGGCCAGCCCTTAGTCCTGATTAAACCCAACTGAACATCTTTGGTATGAAATTCAGAGGAGGCTGAATAACGTCATACCAAGGCCGAACACAGACGATTTATTGCGCCAGGCCTTTCTCAGAGTGTGGTTCCAGGTGCCAATGGCCTTCATCAATCGATAGGTGCACTCCATGCATAGACGCTGTGCTGCAGTTATTGCCGCTCGTGGTGGTCACACTAGATACTGAAGTCAAGAGTCTGAATGGACTGCAAACGTTCACGTAATGTCTTGAAATTGTCTTGAGTTATTCATTGATGTGTCAATAAGTTGACATTTGAGTGAGTAAAGAAAGTATGAATGTCAAATTGCGTTTTTATTAACACATATTAACACATATTTGTTTCTCCTTCTTTTAGTTGGATAAAATAGGCTAATTCTTTAAAATGCATAAATAAAAACAAAAACAATAACACCAATACAATGTACGGGTGCTTCGGTGATATTAAGTAATCAAACAGGAACAGGGTTATCGTTCTTGTTTAAAGTAGTTCTGATGTTCATGCGCCAATATGACATCCATCCAGAGGGGCACGAGTCGCTATTTGGCTTGTCCCGTAATAACACGACTTGGTGTTGATGTTGTAGTTAGGTTTACTCTGCCTCAGTCCATCTCTCTATGTGAGTATAGAACCTTGTGTTGTGTTTATCTTTGAATGCGTGTGTGCCTGAGCTACTAACTTCCGACGGAGAACAGCCATAATTAGTAGGTAACTGTTGTAGGGTTTAATAAAACCCAATCGGTAGTTCCGACAATAACCGATAAACACATATAAACAATGAAGTGATTACAAGTGAGTGAGTTTAGTTTTACGCCGCTTTAAGCAATATTCCAGCAATATCACGGCGAGGGAAACCAGAAATGAGCTTCACATATTGTACCCATGTAGGGAATCGAACCCGGGTCTTCAGTGTGACAAGCGAACGCTTTAACCACTAGGCTACCCCACCTATGGAATGGGGAGGGGGTTGATATATGATAAGCTTACTAACAAACCTCTTAATGTTAATGAATGATTAAGAAATTAGCACACCCGCGGGTGTATCGTATTGGTTTTGTGAAGCGATTGTCATAAAAACAATATGTGTAGTTGAAGTACATCAGTCTCTCTCATCACTCTGCTATCCAACGTTCAAGGCAGCCGGCATAGAACCTCTGCCACAGGCACCCGCCATGCGACGATTCGTCACTCCTTTCATGGTCAATATACACTCGAACCCAACGTCTCGAACTCGGTTGAGACGAATTTTCGGTTGTGCCGAACTCATCTCTCGCCTCTGCCGATTTCCTTATATTTATTTTACCCTGATGTCTCGAACAAGATGTGTGGAATTCCCGGTTGCGTCGAACTTATTTGAGGGTATTGCATATTTTTCATCATGTTATGTATCTCAATGAAGCAGCAGTAGTAGTAGCAGTAGTAGTGGCAGTAGTAGTAGTAGTAGTAGCAGTAGCAGTAGTAGTAGTTGTAGTAGTAATAGTAGTAGTAGTAGTAGTTGTAGTAGTAGTAGTAGTAGTAGTAGTAGAAGTAGTAGTATATGATTTATGCTAAATACGTTAATTTCAGAAAAGGCACGTTCGTTGACAAATGAGAAACGTCCAGTTACGTGATATGCAAATGCGCCAGTAGCAGTGATGTCAAGTTTCAAGTCATCACATAGCCTGTCACCGGAGTTCTATCTTCAACTTGATCGGTGTCTTTGGTTGGAGAACGCCCGTAGTTTTAAATTCTGTCAGCTCGTCCTGCAAACGAAATGTTTCAAATTTGCCTGAAATATCAGATTATTTACATGTTTCACTGAGAATTGATTATTGCTGGTTATTGACCCTCTCCATGGAGGCCTGGTGGATAGGGCGGCTGCCCGGGGAGCAGAAGGCCGTTGGTTTGACCCCTGTCCTCGTGATACAAAATAACAATAAAACTCCAAAAATATGAAACGTTAAAAACATCACCAAAACGTTTAACTTAGGTGATGACCAACATGGAGGCAGGTAAGATCGCTTGGCGATTATTCCCTCGAATTAGCAGTCTTCCAAGTGTATACAACCAACATCATTTAGCACACTGATAAACTTTGATGGTGTGAATACATTGAATGGACTGAATTTGTTTATTAATGTCTATGTGTTGAAGAATAATCATTTTTAAAATCGCCGCGAGAATGTCAGTAACTGAAGTCTGGATGTCGGTAACGTGCAAAGAATGAAGCTGGTAATACATACTGTCCTGCTTTAGTCGGTAAACAGAAATTGTCGATTTATGTTTAAATACAAAGGAGATACTAATGCACCTGTATGTTAATGGCAGTGTGTAATCACAATCTTTAATGTGTTATGAAATTATATTTCATGATAATTGCTTAATGTGTTCTTACCGGCGTGTCGACCAGTCTCACAAACCGGATGTGCCTGATCACGTGGACGAGAGCGACCTTAACCTCCACCAGGGCAAGCCTCATTCCAATACACTGACGTGGCCCATGCCCAAATGGCAAAAAGAACATTGGGTTGATCTCAGACTTTTTCTCCCATCTGAAACATGCGCAATAGTTAGTCTGGATAACAATTTCACAAACTTTGAAAACCCCTATAGATGATTTTTACTTTCAGACACTGCAGCTACTGAATGACCCTGTGGTCAATCAAGGCTTCATAGACACGGATACTGAATATTACTTACGGATACAGATTAGAGTGAGTGAGTGAGTTTAGTTTTACGCCATTTTTTACAAATATTTTACCAGAAATGGGCATTACATATTGTACCCATGTGGGGATTTGCCATCTGCGTGACGGCCGAATGGTTTAAGCCCTAGGCTACCCCATCGCCTAGATTATAGATTAGAAATAGCCAGCATCTTTTAGAATATGCACAATCGATCAAATCCGATGTGAATTTACCTCAATGACGGATATGTCCTAACATAGAGATTCACTGAAATGGATTTCCATTAAGAATTAGCAGTGACATGTACTCAAATATAGGAGAATGACTTGTTGTAAAGTTCAGAGAGTGCGTTTAGTTTTACGCCGCTTTTAGCAATATTCCAGCAGCATCACGGCGGGGGACACCAGAAATGGGCTTCACACATTGTACCCGTTTTGGGAATCGAACCCGGGTCTTTGGTGTGACGAGCGAACGCTTTAACCACTAGGTTACCCCACCGACCTCATTGGTGGCTGTTTGTAGCGACTGCAGCCCCCACAGCCCACCTACCTCTCTGCGTTGAACTTGTTCGGTTCAGGGTACACGTCCGGGTCTCTGTGAAGGAAGAGGATGGGGACGTTGACGTATGTCCCTTCAGGAAAAGTCCATCCCTTAATTGTTGTTGTCTTGGAGACGTACCGGGAAGTTCTGTCGTCAAGAAATTATAATGTCTTGTAATATTTTTAGCTATAAACTGACGAGCAAAAGAAAGTACACAGGTTGTGTTTCTTCAATAAGAAAAAAATAACAAAACCTATTGATGAAATGGAAAATTTTGCTGAATCACACTGCAATACACGTGTTTTATCAACAAAATGACATTGTAACAATAAACAGCGATGTAGTGATGACCCCTTCAGACGGTTCCTACGTCTTGCTGGAAGGTCAAGGCCATTCCACGCAGCGGTCGGTAGGCCCGTATGCCAGCAGCACGATGTCGTCTTGTCACTGAGAATCGGCTCACGCGATGACCCAATAATGTGGCTGCTGATGACGTCAACGTCAATATCCGGTTACGTATGTGAATAACCCGCAGATAGCGATCCTCTTGGGGAGTTTTGACTCTGGGACGTCCACCTCTTAGTCGATCACATGTCTGGCCTGTCATATTGAAACGGTTAAACAGCCGTATTAAGGTTTGTCTTTTGCAACCCAATGTCCGTGCAATATGGCTATTGGAAGCACCGATTTGTGACATTCCTGTGGCCCGTTCTCGTTGCGCCGACGTCAACCTTGGCATTTTCTCGTGAGATTTTTGTCAAGTGATTGTTCAGTCTTCACGACAAACAGGTTTTATACCCTCTGTAAGAAAAGTGTTCGTGCATGGAACAATAATCACAATTTTGCGAAAATTCGTGCTAAACACGTACAAATGTTTTTGGTTGCATTTTAGCAAATGAAACATGATGGTTGCTTTCTATACAATCAGTGGTCTTCAATAAATTTACTAGTTAGAACGCAAATTTTGAATTGCAGCAACAATTACACCTGTGTACTTTCTTTTGCTCGTCAGTTTATTTAAATCAACATTTTAAGCGCCACTTGTGGCATATCAAATCATTCTTCGCCTCCATTGCCCCTGCTAGCTTCCGGTTCAACGGAATGAAGGAAAAGGGGAGTTAAATCTAAATATACTTGTTTGATCACATGTCCACCATATGGAATACTTACAGACTTACCTCCCTTGCTTATATTTTTTATTTGTAGAATAAATGTTTCTGAAATTCTAACAATAACAACGGCAGATAAGAAACAAATGATCTCCAACAGTTTAATTGTAAAATTAGGCAATATTATATTTCTTTTTCATTTCTGCTTATTCTTGTCCCTTCACTCCGTTGAACCGGAAGCCGGCATGGGTAATGGAGGCGAAGAACGATGTGACATGCCACGAGTCCACATTGTCAAGCAGAATATGCTCGATGGTGAACACTTCATCACAAGAGATACATATAAGAAGTCCATCTCCATCTGTTTTGAGTTGATAGCCATGAGTAAACTGACTGTGGCCAATACGACATCGCCGTAAAATTACCTCACCGCGTCTTGACTGACAACCCAAGTAGCTATGACCAATTGCTGGTTTCAGTTCAAGTTTATTTCTTCCTACCTGGGTGTCCCACCTTTTTTGCATGAGGTCCCGGGTTCAACTTTTTATAGTAGGTTTGGAATCACTATACGGGATAATCAGTGAGGAGAACGGTTTGTCAAGAGCTGCTTTAGCTGCAGCATCGGCTTTTGTGTTACCTGCTATGCCTACGTGAATCGGTAACCAGCAGAGGACGATGTCACATTGGCCAGTAGAAAGATCGTTGTAAAGTTCTAAAATGTCCAGGTTGAAAGGGTGAAGGCAAGACAGTGAATCTGTAAACAGGATGGTTTTGGAATGGTTCTGCTGTTTAATATAGGTCAAAGCCGTGAAAATAGCTTTGGCCTCAGCAGTGGAAATGGAGCTACTGTCGAGGATTCTTGAGGAGACAGTCATGGATCCAATGACTGTGTGACAGGCTACTTTGCCATCATCCTTGGGTCCGTCTATAAACCTGGATCTGTGGGTGCTATACCCGGAAGGCAACTGGTCGTATTCCTGTTGGAACACCAAAGGATTTGTTTCGGACTTTTTGAGTTTGGTGAGGATAAGATCCACCTGTGGCTTCACCATCTGACAGAAGTCGGTAAGGTGCTATGATGTTGAGAACAATGTTAGTTGCAGATATGTGTGGCTGAATTCTGATTCCAAGTGGTGGAACCAGGCTTGGTAGATTAGGAAACAGATTGCTGGAATGGGTAGGGAATGGACCGAGACAGGCTTCACAACCATGGAACCACTTCCAAACTGGTCCTCACTGGGAACAAGCATGGGTTGCTGAAGACGGATTTGGGGTCATTTGGGGCAGTGGGCAGTGTCCTTGGGCAGGGTCACCCTGAGTACTTGAGATAAAAACAAAGACGTTTGCATTTTCTTACCCAGGGGCTGCAGGGAAGAGTCTCAGTGTCTCATTCACCACTCGATCCATGAACGTCAGTCTTTGGATATTGTCATAATCAGGCTCTTCCTGAGAACATAGAGTTATTTGAGAACATTTGAGTGGTATTCTAGAAGATGGTGGTATAGAGATGACAAAACATTACGGATGATCAATTGCTTGAAAACGGTATAAGAATCTATACCGAAACGTCGCTGTTGTGAAAATATAGAAGTTGATCGTCCATTAAGTTTTATCATCTCATTATTCTACCTTCATTATTCGACTTCAGTAAATACTGGATTGTGATTAGTTAATCAAAGTCATTCAGAGCTATATAATCACATTATATGCCTCTACGTGATAGTTCGTTTTTACAATCTTAATAACGCAGTTGTGGTAGAATGGAGACAAACGTGTTGGAAAATTAGAGGTATATAAACCAAATTATATACAGCTACGCGTTCGGTGTTTTAAATCAAATTTAGAGCTATTATACGTTCGTTATATACCTCTGATTTTCCAACACAGAGTGTTTGTCTCCTAAATAGAAAGAATACACTACAAGCATACGTCTCCAAGCACTGATGATATTTCCTCTGCCAGTTTGTCCTGCACGCCAGGTTGAGTTGCAAGGATGTACGCAGCATACTGTAGAGTGCTCGCTGTGGTCTCGTATCCAGCCAAGATGAATATAAACGCCTGACCTATCATCTCCTCCGCCGTCAATTCTGGAAAGAGGAAGGGGCGGTGGGGTAGCCTAGTGGTTAAAGCCTTCGCTCGTCACGCCGAAGACCTGGGTTTGATTTCCCGCATGGTTACAATGTGTGAAGCCCATTTCTGGTAATCAAATGGGGAATCGAACCTGAGTCTTCAGCGTGATGAGCGGATGCTTTCACCATTAGGCTAACCCGCCGCCCTCAAGGCTACAGAGGTTTCACTATCCACAAACAACATTGACTTCAGACATTATTGTTCTTACTATTGGCTGATTTCTGAGCTGCTTCATCTCCAGTCTTGGCTGCATCGTGGTCGGCACCATCATCCTCGGCATCTAGCATGAGCTGCAGGAAGTCGACCCTCCTCTAAAAACAAAGGTGAGGTGAGATGAGGTGAAATTGGGTTTAACGTCGCACATATGCGTGTGTATGTGTGGCTGCTTGTACTAGCCCAGGCTTAAGCTAGTTTTATAGTGCTAGCCCACTGAGATACCATGCCGCAGTGAAGCATGAATACCTTACTCAGACACATGATACTGACTCCGAGCCGACCAGTCCTTGTTGTACCCATTAAGTGCCATTTTTAACGTCGTTTTGGTATGACTAGGTCTGGGATCGAACCCACAATTCATAATGTGGAGTTACGTCCCTGGGCAAGATACAGTCACTACGACGTGCAGCAAACACTGTGGATCTGACGCTGACCTCCGGGGAGAGGACAGTAGCAGAATCTGGACCACATTCGGTCATTTACATGCAGTTGTGATGAAATGATAACATTCAATTAGGGTTCGATCCCCCATGTGATTAATATAAGGGTCATGCTATTTTTTAGGGCATTATCATTTGCAGAAGCCCGAGGTCTTCCATCAACTGCCCGACGAAGGAGCGCAGTTGAAAAAAACCGAGGGCTTCTGCAAATGATAATGCCCTTAAACATAGCATTACCGTTATTATTGATAAAATACATGGAATTTGTGTTGAAAAGAAAAAGGAAACAATGAAGGAATTAGACTGTAAGTTTACTCAAAACCAACTTCTGACGGGGTTGACTGACCGAATGCAATTACGTCATCGAACAATTCAAGTGACGTCACAACAGAACGTGACGATATTCGACCTTGGCCTTTGACAAGACCATGGCCTGCACCATGTCAAACTGTGTCAGACACGTCAGTTGTCAGTGTTCGGTTTTGGTCCAACAACAATGTTAATAGTGCAATTGTTAAGGGTAGCACCTGCAAGAAAGCCAGTATTACAGCTATTCAAAACGGGAATTCGGGTTGCTTTGACTTGTTTGCCCCAGAATATGTTCCAGTCCAAAGCCAAAGTCGAATGAACCGACGCACCCACTATGACGTCGCTTGACAACAGAACTGATAGTGGCCTGTCGTTAAGGTTGAGCGGTCCAATATCATTTGCAGCGGCCCGCAAATTTCTGATAATAGGAGGGCCGTTTCATGATAATTCCCTGTGTTTTAGCTATAAAGAGTGTCCAAACATTCTAGTGTCTCCCACTAGTGTCTCGTCACTAAGAAGATATGGATGGTCCGGGTTCGATTCCCCACATGGGTGCAATGCATGATGTCTCTTTTTGGTGACCCTATCTGCGACCTTACTGGATTATTGCTAAAAGCGGCGTAAAACCACCCACTCACTGAAATATTGCTAAAATAAGTTGCTAAAAGCAGCGTAAAACCCAGCCCACTCACTAAAACACCCACCTAATCATTCCCTCACTCCCCCAACACCCCCTCCCCGCTCCCGCTCGCTCACACACTTATTCACTCACTCACCCACTCACTCACTCACTCACCCACGCACTCACTCACTCACCCACTCACTCACTTACTCACTCACCCACTCACTTACTCACTCACCCACGCACTCACTCACTCACCCACTCACTCACCCACGCACCCACTTACTCACTCACTCACTCACTTACTCACTCAGCCACTCACTCACTGACTCATCCACGCACGCACTCACTCACTCACTCCTCCTCCACCCCCACTCACTCCTCCTCCGACTCACCACTCACTCACTCCACTCACTTCCCTCACTCACCCACTCACCCACTCCACCCACTCACTCACTCACCCACTCACTCACTTACTCACTCACCCACTCACTCACTGACTGATCAGATGTCGAAGGCTAACCTCTCTCTCCTCCTTCGAGTCATTCTTCCTCTGTTTTATCATGTCAGTGACGGCTTGTATGAAGAACCTCTTGGTGGACGCAGAGAAAGCTCCAATTCCAGTCCACTTCACCAGCGGCCGCAGTTCGGGGAACAACACTGAAAGAGGGTCTCATAATTATGTTTGTTTGTGACTCCGCAGTCAAACAAATGGTCTTTGCACAGGAACGTCCCTCACATTTAAGCCCGGCGCCCTTTGCACATCAACAATGATCTCAGATACGTTTCTTGCTGGATGGGGGACGGTGGGGATATCTTTGTGGTTAAAGCATTCACCCGCCTCGCCGAAGATCCGGATTCGATTCCCCACATGGGTACAATATGTGAAGCCCATTTCTGGTGTCCTCCACTAACTCACTCACTCACTCACTCCCCTTCCCGGATGGTTATGTTCATTTTGAAGCTAGTGGTGACGTTTTGCGTGTCGTTTATAGCAACATGGATCAGATCTGTACTTGACTGACTGAGTTTGGTTTTACGCCGCTATTAGCAATATTCCAGCAACATCACGGCGGGGGACACCAGAAATGGGCTTCACACATTGTGCCCATGTGGGGATTCGAACCCGGGTCTTCGGCGTGACGAGCCAACGCTTTAACCATTAGGCTACCCCGCCGCCCCAGATCTGTACTTGACAATCCAGAGATTGACATTATGAGCGTTGATCTATGCATGCATGAACCAAGGGCAACCGGTCCCTTCATTTGCCTCCGACGACAGTAACGATTTGCTGAGCCCATGTTTTAAGCCTAACGTTCACTTGGGAGCCTCGTATTCACGGCGGACACACAAGGGTTACTGAAGACCAGTTCTAACTTTGATTGTGGGGACAAGCATACATTGCTGAAGACCAGTTCTAACTTTGATTGTGGGGACAAGCATACATTGCTGAAGACCAGTTCTGACTTGGATCTTCCCATTGATAAGCATGCATCGCTGAAGACCAGTTCTAAGCCTGGATCTTCCCATAGGGACAAGCATACGTTGCTGAAGACCTTCCCATCTTGGATCTTCCCATAGGGACAAGCATACATTGCTGAAAACAAGTTCTGACTTGGATCTTCCCATTGACAAGCATGTATTGCTGAAGACCAGTTCTAAGCCTGGATCTTCCCATAGGGACAAGCATACGTTGCTGAAGACCTTCCAATCTTGGATCTTCCCATTGGCAAGCATACATTGCTGAAAACCCGTTCTAAGCCTGACGTTCACTTGGAATACCCGTATTCACAACGGACAAGCATACGTAGCTTAATATCAGTTTTGACCTCGATCATCCCCTGGGGATAGGCATGGGTTGCTAAAGAGCAAGACTAAACTGATCTTTACTTGGGATAAGCATGGGTTGCTGAAGAGCAGTTCTAACCTGGATCTTTACTTGGGATAAGCATGGGTTGCTGAAGAGCACCTGGATCTTTACATGGGATAAGCATGGGTTGCTGAAGAGCAATTGTATCCTGGATCTTCACATGGGTTTAAGCATGGGTTGCTGAAGAGCAATTGTATCCTGGATCTTTCCTTGGGATAAGCATGAATTGCTGAAGAGCAATTGTAACCTGGATCTTCACATGGGATAAGCATGGGTTGCTGAAGAGCAATTGTATCCTGGATCTTTCCATGGGATAAGCATGGGTTGCTGAAGAGCAACTGTATCCTGCATCTTCTCATGGGATAAGCATGGGTTGCTGAAGAGCAATTGTAACCTGGATCTTTCCTTGGGATAAGCATGGGTTGCTGAAGAGCAACTGTATCCTGCATCTTCACATGGGATAAGCATGGGTTGCTGAAGAGCAATTGTAACCTGGATCTTTCCTTGGGATAAGCAAGGGTTGCTGAAGACCAATTGTAACCTGGATCTTCACATGGGATAAGCATGGGTTGCTGAAGAGCAACTGTATCCTGCATCTTCTCATGGGATAAGCATGGGTTGCTGAAGAGCAATTGTAACCTGGATCTTCACATGGGATAAGCATGGGTTGCTGAAGAGCAATTGTAACCTGGATCTTCACATGGGATAAGCATGGGTTGCTGAAGAGCAATTGTATCCTGGATCTTCACATGGGATAAGCAAGGGTTGCTGAAGAGCAATTGTATCCTGGATCTTTCCTTGGGATAAGCATGGGTTGCTGAAGAGCAATTGTATCCTGGATCTTTACATGGGATAAGCATGGGTTGCTGAAGAGCAATTGTATCCTGGATCTTTACTTGGGATAAGCATGGGTTGCTGAAGAGCAATTATATCCTGGATCTTTACTGGGGATAAGCATGGGTTGCTGAAGAGCACCTGGATCTTTACTGGGGACAAGCATTAGTTGCTGAAGACCAGCTGTAACCTGGATTTTCACGGTCTATCGAAAGAATGTATACAGAAGATGTGTTTCCGAAACTTACTTATAATGAGTATGGCTATGTTGCTCAGGAATGCATTATCCAACACTTTCTTGGTTTCTCTGACAAAGTTGTTGTTGAAGTCGTTCTGAGAATCGATGTCAATCCCGAATCCAGTGCTGCCAATTGCGGCCATGGTGAAAGCGCCGAAGTATCTGAAATGATAAATCACTTAATAATATTCCTACTGTTGAATTAGGGATCTTTATGTTTGTTTACGTTTTTGTACATATTTCTTAATTCCTTTGTCTTTTCTTGCCTCACCGAGATCAGAGTGAGTGAGTGAGTGAGAGAGTATGTTTTTTCGAATCTTTTAGCAATATTCCATCATTATTACTCTCCCGTGGAAGATACTGCAATGTGTAATACCTCTAGACGTATGATGTCATAATGGTTACAGTTATGACGTCACAATGCTAATACCTCTGTCACAATGGTATTAGACCTTGCTTGCTTCGTAGAAAGCTGAGAGTCATTACACTTCGTAGGCAGTTTCTATCAGTTTATGTTGGAGAGTAATAAACAGAATACTAAACTGGCTTCCGTGAAATACCATTTTTATTAAACTCGTAAAAGATTTAGCATCAACTCGCTTTCGCTCGTTTGATACCAAATCATTAACTCGTTTAATAAAAATGGTATTACACGGAAGGTTGTTTAGTATCCGTGTTTAGGACACGAGAAATGGGCTTCACACGATATGGAAAAATCAAATCCAGGTGACAAGCGAACGCTTTCAACCGATTTTCAAGTCGTATGTGTTTTGGAGCCACGTTGTATGTTTCGTTTAGAACGTCACATATTTTCTCCAAAGTATCCAACATAAAACATTCTGAGTTAGATAGTTCCCAAATCAGTGTGGTTATCGACCGAGGAAACTGATTGCAAAGTTTGTACAGCGAGGATGGCATATCATTGGGATGTCAATTGTTTCCTTTTGCCGACACAATAATGTCTCAACTCCCTCCCCGCCCATTGATGACGTCCCTCCTGTGCCTTCTCATGACACATCCAACCCGTGAAGATCCGGGTTAGAATTGATCTTCAACAACCCATACTTGGCACGACCAACCCGTGAAGATCCGGGTTAGAATTGATCTGCAACAACCCATACTTGGCACGACCAACCCGTGAAGATCCGGGTTAGAATTGATCTGCAACAACCCATACTTGGCAAGACCAACCCGTGAAGATCCGGGCTAGAATTGATCTGCAACAACCCATACTTGGCACGACCAACCCGTGAAGATCCGGGTTAGAATTGATCTTCAACAACCCATACTTGGCACGACCAACCCGTGAAGATCCGGGTTAGAATTGATCTGCAACAACCCATACTTGGCACGACCAACCCGTGAAGATCCGGGTTAGAATTGATCTGCAACAACCCATACTTGGCACGACCAACCCGTGAAGATCCGGGTTAGAATTGATCTTCAACAACCCATACTTGGCGTAAGAGGCGATTAAACACATCGGATGGCAGGGGCGTAGCTACCGTTATAGAAAAAAGCCCGGGCTTACACATGACTGCTGCTAAAAGGTTTGGGCAAACTCTCAAATCACTACATTTAAAGCTTTGCAACCTATCGGGTTTACACGAAAAAAATGGCTTGCTACGAGCTTCGATGGTGAGGCTTGCTGTCTTAAAATACCTTTTGGTTGACACATGTCATCGTATCCCAATTGCGTAGAACGATGATCATGCTGTTGATAACTAGATTGTGTGATTCACACTCGATTATTTACAGACCGCCACCATATACTAGTAGCTGGAATATTGCTGAGTGGGTCGTTAAACAACAAACCAACCGACATGGTACACCCACGGCCAACAGGTGCCCCCACTTTGAGTGAGTGAGTGAATTTAGTTTTACCCCGCAGTCCGCAATATTCCAGCTATATGGCGGCGGTCTGTAAATAATCGAGTCTGGACCAGATAATCCAGTGATCAACAGCATGAGCATCGATCTGCGCAATTGGGAACCGATGACATGTGTCAACCAAGTCAGCGAGCCTGACCACCCGACAAGCATGGGTTACTGAAGATCAATATTCTAACCCGGACCTCCACGGGTGCCCCACTCTGATATAGCGATGGGTCGTTGAGGATATCTTTTAAAACATGAAGCCCACAGGGCTGTAATACAGAGTGGGTATAAAGACGGAAGTCAGTCTACGATGATGTTACATTAATATTAACAGTCCAATATATGCTACTGTTGCTTGGAGCCCTCTAAATCTGCTTTCAGTTACAGACACCATTCGTGTCCGTTTCGTGCGTTATTTGTTTAAGTCCTAGCACTGTGAAATGTCGAGCTGCACCCTGACCTCGGCTCATCATGCTTGTTGTTAGAGGCGATTAACGGGATCGGGTGGTTGGCGTTAAACAGCAATCAATCAATCAATGGTTCGCGCATGTCATCGCATAGTCGTAAAGTCGTCAAACTGTTCTCGTCTAAACAAACGCGCAATCTTAAAAATCTTGCTATGTACATTAATGTAATATTTAAGTCTACAAAGATACATTAACCTTTGGTTCTTTTTCGCTTTTATCTGCCATCTTGTCATGAATATATTTATATGACTATAGAAATATAGTATTCTCATGTACCACCGTTGGTGGTGTTTTGAGTAATAAATTGAATTGAATTGAATATAACAGTTCGATGCTCATTTGGCCAATCACTGGATTGTCTGGCCGAGAATAAGATTACTAAAAGACCGCTATCATTACGCTGAAATAAAAAACAAACTTACTCTTTCACATCAGCTTCTTCTCCGCTTTCGCCAGCACGGATAAAATTCTTTGTCAGTTTTTCGGCACAAATATTTATCCCTTTGATCATCTGTAACATACAATACACATAATTTATATTCAGAAACTGTCTCACCATTATTTTTGTGTATGTTCAGTTTGCCATTGGGTACAGTTCCAGACCCAAGACGATCCGGGTTAGAATTGGTCTTCAGTAACCCACGCTTGTCGAAAGAAGCTACTGACGGGATCGGGTGGTCAGGCTCGCTGATTTGGTTGACACATGTCACCGGTTCCCAATTGCGCAGATCGATGCTCATGCTGGCTGATCACTGGATTATCTGGTCCAGACTCGATTATTTACAGACCGCCGCCATATAGCATACAACTGATATCACTCTGATGTGGGTAGGAACTCGTCTTGTTGCAAGTGTCCATATCTTTGTCCGTCTCTTATTTTTCACACTCATGACGTAATCTAAGAATGAGTGAGTGAGCTATAGGTTTGCGCCGCGTTTAGCAATATTCCAGCATTATCACGTCGGGGGACACCAGAAATGAACTTCGCACATTGTACCCATTTTGGGAATAGAACCGGGATGTTCGGCGTGACAAGCGAACCCTTTAACCACTAGGCTACACCCTTAATCCAAGCTGGAAACAGTGGTGTATTTGAATGTATTCAGCTTATGTGAGTGAGTGAGTTTAGTTTTACGCCGCTTTTAGCAATATTCCAGAAATGTCACAGCGGGGGACACCAGAAATGGGCTTCACACATTGTGACCATGTGGGGAATCGAACCCGGGCCTTCGGCGGGACGAAAGCTTTAACCACTAAGCTAACCACCGCCTCTCAAATTATGTGAACAATGGGGAAGATATACCTTCCTGAGTTTGCCGCCGCTAAAGGTGGGACTACAGATTTTCCGGATCCGTTTCCAGGTGTCTACCTTCGCGCTGAACAGATTGGTGCTGAGGGGGGAATTGTCCAGATCAAGAAGCGCCTAGAAAAAATAATCTTTATTTTTAATTAATCATAATAATGGCCATTTATCTTCACGTATATTCATACAAGATAATTTTGTATATTTTGTTTTACCACTTAAACATTTCAGACCCAAATATTTGAAATATTCATATTGATCCTATTCATTGCGGTTATTATGATTATATATTATGATAATGATTTCGATTACGTCATTTCTGTCAAATCGTACCAGACGGTCCCCAAACGTGTCAAAATCTTTGATCAAGACCTCCTTCAAGATATCTGGGTCATAGACGGTTACCATAGCAATTCCGCCGAACCATTCTCTAGAAACAGGAACAAGATGTTAGAGACATGTCAGTTGAGGGGTTAATTAATAGGGGCGGTGGGGTAGCCTAATGGTTAAAGCGTTGGCTCGTCACGCCGAAGACCCGGGTTCGAATCCCCACATGGGTACAATGTGTGAAGCAAATTTCTGGTGTCCCCCGCCGTGATGTTGCTGGAATATTGCTAAAAGCGGCGTAAAACCAAACTCAGTCAGTTAATTATTAGAGTAGCGAGAAACGCGTCATTGATGTATTGACTTTGGAACAGTGAGTGAGTTTAGTTTTACGGCGCTTTTAGCAATGTTCCAACAATACCACAGCGCGGGACACCAGAAATGGGCTTCTCACATTGTGCTCATGTGGGGAATAGAACCCAGGACTTCAGCGTGACGAGCGAACGCTTTAACCACTAGACCACCCCACCGCCCCGACATGACTTTAATGTTTAATTAAAAATTATGAGTCACAAACAAATTCAAAACTGGAATGACACCTGTCAAAAAGGTATAACGAGGGATGATTATTGACGGAGAAACAACTATTGTGATAGCCATAGTGTATTGCAACATACTATTACGATAGCGATAGTCTATTGCGACATACTATTACGATAGCAATAGTCTATTGCGACATACTATTACGATAGCGATAGTCTATTGCGACCAACTTTTGCAATAGTTTTTTCTCCTTGAATTGTCTTATTTGAAGTCATTTCGCAAATGAATGAATAGTTTATATGAAAATAAAAACAAGTTGAAGTAGTTTCAGTTTCTTTTGATAACTGGCAAGAAACTTGAAACCCAGATCAAGTAAACAGTCATGTTTGTTTAAGAGGTAACAGGGGTGGATAACTCTAAGTCAAAGTGAACGGTAAGTCTGTTTCATAAGGGTTAAATTCCGAGGGGGCGTACAAGTCCGGATTGGAGCTGGATACAACATGTAGTAGAATGGTTAATTACCCGTGTACATCTCCATACAGTTTCCTATTCTTGTTTTCAAAATCAATTCCCTGAAATATAAATGCATTTTGCGTGAAATATATTTCATTATGGGTTTTTTAGGTCTGGATTACGGTTTCCGCTGACCTTCAACATAAAACTGGAATGACAAGGTATATTAAAATTCTTTAATTACACTCTTCAACAAAAGAAACGCTTAAGCAGTGTATGAAATAAGGAACAACCGAGCGCCCGAGACGGGTTAGATTTCTGACGGATGGTCTAAATTTATAGCTAGCCAGCCCGATGGTCTGGTAAAAAGAATTGATATCATGTTCCATACATCTGAGTAAATTCACTATATCTTAGAATCTATTTTTTAAATTGAGCGTTACATTTAGACATGACATTTACTGTTTGAACATTGAACTATCGTATCGCAAGCTCAAAGCACTGCGTTGACATATATAATCACTAAAACAGCGACACCTATCGATGCGCGGAATTCTGTAAATTGTTCTGGTCTGGTTAAACATTTTAGCCCTGATGTCTGGCTGGGTTTCTGACTTATTTCAGTCACCGGCATAAGCCATTTTCAGAAGAAGTTATTGCGTTAGTATAAGAGCAATTATTTCATGTAATTTCAATGGTAAAAAGGTGAAGATTTACACGTCTATAGACAGAGAGTTTGCCAACACAGCAGCCTATATTGTTGTGTTTCAGTTTACTTGAGTCTACAAGATGGCGTCAAAGTCGGTACTTTGTATGGCCACCATTGGCAGCAATTACTGCTCGGCACAGACTGGATAACTCGACGAAGTCATCCTTGCAGAATTCCTCCCCACACTTCCTGCAATGCGATGGCCAGTTGTGGAAGTGCATGAGGCGTGTTTTAACGTTGACGCAAACGCCGATCGAGTTCATCCCATTGGTGTTCTATCGGGTTTAGATCGGGAAGGCCATGGCAAGACATTGACCTTAGAATTGGCAAGGTAGCGGACCGTGACGCATGCTGAATGTGAAGTAGCGTTGTTATGCTGGAACAACATCCGTGTTTCGGTTCATAATCGGAAGCATGTGACGTGCAAGGACTTCGTTGATGTACCGATTTGCTGTCAAATTCCCCTGAACCACCACTAAATCAGATCTTTGTCTGCGGGATAACCGACCCCACACCGTGACACTTTCTCCACCGAATCTGTGGACTTGTCGAATGCAATTATGGGCAAAACATGTAAATGGCGGTAAACACGCTGTCTTCCACTCGCCGGTGAAGAAATCGTGATTCATCACTGAACCAGACTCGCCTCCAGTTTCTAAGGTTCCAGTTCAGGACTCTACGACACCACATCAGCCGATTGCGCCGATGGAAGTCTCTCAAAACAGGGGCGACAACTGGCCGTCTTAGTCGAATCCCCATTTCACGCCATCGATGCGTTGTTCAGTCTCCACGGCTGTGGCAAGACGATGATGCAAGTGAGCAACCCGGCTGGAGCGGTCCTGAGTGTGAGTCGTAACTCTTGGACGGCCGCTTCTCGGGCGATCTTGGGAGGAATCGGTCTGCAGGAAACGATCCCAAAGGCGAGATATGGTGGTCTGATGAACGTTGTAATGTCGGGCAATTGCAGGCTGCGACTCCCCAGCTTGAAGGCGGCCTATGGCGATGTTTCGTTTGGCGGCATTCAGTCGTGGCATTATGATTTCCTCTTTTCCAGGCAAAAACGAATGACAAAAATATTACTTGCCTTTTTATAGTGATCGATACCGCATGCTTTTCCGCTTACTTGCACATGTAGTTGGTTTGCATGTTTTCTTTGACGAATATTTCTCAAAACGCTTCTAAAACAAGGGGAAAAGTTAAAATTGCCGCATTTTGGCGCTGAAGCTGTTTACAATCACAAAGATGATGTTTGGGAAAGAAAAAGTATATTTGTATTGTTTTTGCCGCAGCTACATGAGTTCAATATTCTCAAAATCACCTATGCGTTTCTTTCTACTTCTTTTTTTGAAGAGTGTAACACTATAAATATTTGAAATTATGTGTATATGTTAAAACAATATTTATCTAATATTTACGCACACACACAAAGTAGGAATTCACTTTTAGTTACCGAGTTGGTAAACCGGTTTGGATGTGCAGGCTCGCTTGGAGGATGGGGAGGCCCAAGAGAGGTGAAGGAACTTGGTATGTGTTCATAAGTAGATTTCGGAGAGAGGAAGGGGTGGTGGTGGAAATGGACAGGAACCGAGGGCGGGACTAGGGTTACGGCTGAAGGAGCTAACGGTTAATTTCAACGAACCAGACATGAGGGTGAAGAGAGGGCCTTCGATCAGCATTTGTGGGACTGGTGATGAATTTCAAAGAAACGAACCTGAGTGGAGACAGGACCAAGATTAAACAACTCACTGCAAAATTATTATTATTATTTTTTTTTAAAGGAATTGAGAAAAAGAGCCTTGAGTTGACATTGGGCTCAAAGAAATGAACTTGAGTGGAGAGGGGACGCATGTTTTCACCTTTCTCAAGAACTCTAGAGTGCCTCCAAAGATAAGATTTTGGTCGGGTCCAGGGATACCAAAATTCTTGAAAACGCTCTTTCTCCGTTTAGCGTACCTGGAGAAACAGATAAAATTAAAACAAATAGCTGATAAAATACCATATATATAAACACACAATCATATCAGGGCCGTAATTCCTCTAAATAGAGTCGCTATAATTACCATGCAGCCTCAAAGGCAAACTTTGTGATTAACATTTTATTTTTGTTTAAGTATTTCATTTCTGAAATTCAATAGAATGTTTCCAGAGCATTTGCATCAGTACTATAGGAAAGTTTTACTATTGTTAGCTTTAGCGAAAGAAAACATCATATAGAAGACACGAAAGACGTCACAAGGCAAACAACTGACTGAGTTTGGTTTTACGCCGCTTTTAGCAATATTCCAGCAACATCACGGCGGGGGACACCAGAAATGGGCTTCACACATTGTACCCATGTGGGGATTCGAACCCGGGTCTTCGGCGTGACGAACCAACGCTTTAACCACTAGGCTACCCCATCGCCCCACAAGGCAAACAAACGTCACATGGGATACAATGACACAAGCAAACAGAAACATGCAGAGCACGCCGCACGACATGTTTGCAAGGATTAGAAGGAGCGTATTGTTGAAATATACAAGTGATTGGGTGTATCAAATAATACTGATTAATATTTATATATCCAGTTAAATGAGTTGGTCTCAAAATACTGGACTGGTAATTGTACTGAGTTGCGCAATAGGACGGAACCCAGTCAGCAGGAAACGAAATTGTTGTGTAATCAATGTTTTGACTTGTGTTGAACAGCGATATGTGTGTAAATATTTCGTGTCAGTTCGCTAATGTCACAAAATCGTACAAATAATACACCTGAACTGCCACATTAATCAAATATCTTCGAGTATTTCAATTGTATAAATGGATTGTGCAATCACTGGAATGTCTGGTCCAGTCTCCATTCGTTATAGTCCGTCAACACACTTTTTTCAAAATTTCGAGTTTTTTTCACATTACTTCCATTTATTTCCGTAAAGGCGGTTTTCTCCTGAATTTTAGATACATATTAAATACTCGAAAGTTCGAAAAAAAATTCTCGTAAATGTTAATCATTTTCTCGAAATTTCAATTATTTTCTCGATCTTTCGAAAACCGTCGAAGTAAAGTGATGTAGCTAAAAATGATGTAGAGAAAATAAACAAATATTTGAAATAACGCAAACTTTCTATTATTTTATTTGGTACCATGAAGTTTCCATAATACAGAAAGTACATTGCAAACTTTTTTATTCACTTATTTCAAGTCACTATTAAATTTACGGCCTCAGCGAAAGTTTAGAGTTATCAAGAGTTACGTCCCTTACCCTTTACTCGTCATGTTTACATAGCGCTCACATTACGAAGATAGTTCCTGTATTTATGTACCGCTTCGTGCCTCATGGCGAGATTCGCCTTCAGAAATAGATATTATTATATGTCAGTTCTTTCTAAACAGACCCTAAAAGCATAAAATGAAGATAATAAAAGTATACTTACATGTAAAGCAGAGCCACTATACCCGCCAAGAGACCAAGGGCTAGGGGGAAATTACAACCGAACAGTTCCATTGTGAGTGTAGGCAACAGACACTTGTAGGACTGTCCTTTGACAGTAGGGTAGATCGAGGTGCAGCTTCTGTGTGCAGTTGTTCAACATGGGACTCGGGGTGCATGCGGTGCGGTGTTGTCCGCCATTTTGTTTGCCCAGTGATGTATTTTCTATTTCTTATGGGATTGACCTACTTATCTTATCGAAGGTACTTTGCACACTACCGAATCTGCAAGTATCTTTTGAGAGTTGTAAGGTGGGGTGGTGAGAAGAAATGGGATTTTACGTCGCGTTGTAGATTCCTACACTTTCACAACGACATGCGTATACGTACGTGTGTGTACTAAGCCCAGTTTTATCTATGGCTTGGCATAGCTATAGTCAGTCTCATAGTTCCTGAACCCCGTTATTCTCCCATCCATCCAGTCAGTTCAGCAATGCTAAAGCCCTAAATAAACATTTCTGTCATCCAACGTCAGGCGGCCCTGCATGAAACGTTTGTAGTCATTCCCATTGACAAAGACACAAATAACGTTAACGTATCCATTGTATGTACATAAATGGTTTGATCAAAGAGCTTGGTATATGTGACATATCTTGGACACTTGTGCGCCTGTAAAGGGAACCTGCTGTCTTTCATTGCATGGGTTTCAGTGTAGGCCTAATAAGACATGGAATGTCGATTTTGTAATGAATTTACAGAGACTGCCCAACACCTTGTCAGTGGATGCCCTTCTTAAAAAGATGGCATGGCTCGTTGCTTTTACTGTCGTCTTCGTCATGCCTGTGGCTTTGACTACAGGGTCCACCCATGGTACGACCTTTAACATGTCCAGGGTGTCATGAAAAAAATCATGCTTTTAAACTTCTTTGGAATAGGTCCATAAACAGCCTCAGAAGAATTCCTACCAACAAACCTGATCTTGTCCCTTTTGATAAATGATTGGCAAGATTCAGGATGTCTCGCTTGCATCCCAAGTACACTGTTGTCAGGCTCACCGTTGTTCTCGGTGCCCTTGGTTTGGTACTTCCTGATCTCTTGCGCAGATCAGGAGAGTGCCCGGGCTCTCCACCGGGAGCACAGCCCTTCTGACACTCTGGGTAATGCAGAAGGCTGCAGTGTTGGGGAGTCTACATATTCTACGGAAAGTTCTTGGTGGGTTCGACTAGGCAGTGTTTCCTGGGAGAAGTCCCATTCGCTGTCTGGGCTGCGTGTTGAGGGGCAAGGGCCTCGAGCTGATGATGAGCCTTACCAGCCTGACTGTGCCAGGATCACCCGAACCCTCTCTGCTGCATCTGTTTCATCTTAATTTGTAAAACATAATAACGAGTATTTATAAAGCGCTGTATCCATCCACAAGGTGCATGCTCAAAGCACATATGTAAAATGTGAGAAAAGGTTCACGTTATTGGAATAGTATGAAGTAAAATCCATATATAATAGCAGGAGATAAACTCTATGAAATAAAGTCTATGAATAAGAGCCTGAAAACAGGTGAGTCTTGAGTTTTGATTTGAATACAATTGATGATGATGAAAGTTTGATGTCCAGAGGAAGAGTGTTCCATAGTTGAGGAGGTGGTAACTACAGGATTTAGCTGGTAAGATTATACTTTGATCTGTTTAGAAGATTCAGACCACACCACTGTAGACGTTTCATGTGCGGTCACTTAAAGAGAATTTGTTGTGGATACGGACACTATATTTCGTGATGTTTTGTTTGGGTGAGGTGAGGTGAAATTGGGTTTAACGTCGTGCTTGAGAATATTTCGCTCATATCACGACGTGCATGCGTCTGTATGTGTATGTGAGGCTGCTTGTACTAGCCCAGCCTGAAGCTGGTTTTATAGTGCTAGCTCACTGAGATACCATGCCGCAGTGAATCATGAATACCCCACTCAGACACATTATACTGACTCCGAGCCGACCAGTCCTTGTTGTACCCATTAATGCCGAGCGCCAGGCAGGGACCAACAAGTACCATATTTTAACGTCTTTTGGTATGACGCGGTCCGGGATCGAACCCGCGACCTTCCGCTGTCCGGGCGGACGCTCTAACCACTACACCACGGAGGCGGTCTGTTTTGTTTGGAGTGAACTAAACTATTCCAATACATAGATCCACACTGTATACGTTATGCAGTATCACAATTCATAAGATATAGTGACATCGTACAACATGAGAAAGCACGGAATAGCGCCATGGATGGCCCTAGCCAATATGTAGATTAAAGTAATGTCGGAAATAGAAAAAAAAAAACTATTTTAGGCTGTTACTCTGTATCCCTAAAATTTACACAACTGCAAGTAGCATATGTTGAAATAACCCACATCGGCCTAACTGGGTGTTCAGTGGGATGTGTAATAGGATATCCAGAAGTGCATGTTTACTCGTAAAATAGGGCAAAACTTAGAAAAAATACGAATAGCTGCTGAAAACAATAGATCAGACTATAGATGGCAATTAGGTCGCTCAGCCAGGTATCACGACGGACCGTCGACTCATCTGGCATGAAATGCACGTGCTGCCTACAGGCACAAGGGGTCATCTCAAAGATATTTTTCATGTGTATTGAATATGTCTCATCTATTGATTATCATCTTACGTGTCTTTCATAACGTTTATGTTGAGATATGTAAAAGAATAAATGAAAAAGAATATTTCTCTTCGTAAGGATACAATAAAAGATGGGGAAAAGACAGCTCCTTTGGTATGAAGGAGAATAATAATGTACGGTTTGTCAAAAGGTGAGGTGAGGTGAAATTGGGTTTTATAGTGCTAGCTCACTGAGATACCACGCCGCAGTGAAGCATGAATACCCCACTCAGACACATTATACTGACTCCGAGCCGACCCGTCCTTGTTGTACCCATTAATGCCGAACGCCAGGCAGGGACCAACAAGTACCATATTTTAACGTCTTTTGGTATGACGCGGCAGGGGAACATTGTCAAAAGGAAGACATGGTATGGTTTATATTTATTTTGACAATTGACGTTCTGCAGTTACATTAAATTTCCTCTCCGATGATGTAGGCGGGTTCATGCTATCCGTGAAATAGACGACGGTTTCATATGCATTGGCTATGAACCAACAAGAAGAATTCTAATCTATGCTGAGGGAAACAAATAAGGGAACACCACTTTATGGCAGTGTTCCTTTATTTATTCTCAGATTTCCTCCCACAGTGCTATTTAAAGCTGGTAATGAAAACTGGAAAATATTAAAGGAAGGCTTGAATTTTCCTGTGTTCCTATATTTGTTTCTTCTCAGTATCTCAAGGGTAATACAGCCGAATGTTGATCTGACTGACCAGTGTCATCAGATGTTGATGACATATCTGTGATGTTCCATTTTATTGTGAGCAGTATCAGAAATTTGTATAATTGCAGGTTTTAAATACCGATTCTAGCACGACATTGTGTGATACTCGATTCTGATTGGCTGAGAGCTCATCAAAACCATACTTAAATGGCTGTTTAAGACCGCTAATTAAAGCGACCGATTCACCGCGTATGAATACAACGAAGACGTTGACCCTACTTGTTTGCAAACAAACATGTCGGACATCGGCAATTTCTATCTCGGCAGCATCTTTGGTGTTTTTGAAGTAAAAAGCGAAGGGTTTGAAGAATAATTTCTTCACCCTAATCCCAGTGAAGAAACTACGAAGCTGGAAAATCCGCCAGCAGCACAAAAGCGGCAGTATATTCAAACCGGGTCCAGATCTACGTGTGTTGACGTCGACAACACACGTCGGCCAACACGTCCTAACCTGACCGCTTCCGTCACGGCCATAATGCCCAGTCCTTCCATTTCCCATGTATCCCACATAAAACGTGGCATGTCAGGTCTTTTCCAAATTGGGAATAGTAGGGTGGTTATCAACAATTATTTCCGTGAAGAAAGTTAGCGGCGACTCAACTTAGCGAGTTCACAGCTTGAATTTGGACGAGTCGATTGTCATACAGTAGGGGAATCAATAATTCTCTTGAGAAATATCAAATAATTGTACTTGCTCACAGTATAAACTGTATTTTTTATTTTTGTATGCTATTTGTTACAAATACAAGCATACTGGTTCCTGAAACAAAGCATTTATGTTGTTGAAAATGTCTTATTTGGTTCATTACACAACCTGTCCCTCAACGGGACGATTCCAAGCGATTTCCAGGAAAAAGGCCCCTTCGCGCCTTGTGTTCTTGCGCGCCAAACAGTTCGGTTTTAAAACGCTTATCAGTCGTGCTAGAATGAAAATAAAGCTACTCTGTTTTCAACTTTGCGGTCCTTTATCGTTGATTTAAGACTGCTACTGTTTAATTTAAAACTTCAAGCTTACGCGCTCGGTTTTAAATTACATTTAGCGGTCTTAAATCAAAGATAAAGGACCGCAAAATTGAAAACAGAGTACCTTTATCTTCTAAATCACTTGTCCACCTCTGTGTGTCAAGGCCACTCTCAGTTGTTCTCTCATCTCCTTGCAGCCATTGTGTACATCATGAGGTTGCATTTTATGCTAGACTATAACATATAGAGTCCAGAGCCTTTCATTTTCAAACATTATTAATCCAAACCTGCCAAATATTATAGTGATCGAGTGAGTATGGTTTTACGCGGCTTTTAGCAATATTCCAGCAATATCACAGCAGGGGACGAGGAAATGGGCTTCACGCATGTGCGCTACATCAACCAAGCTCTCAGACCCACGTCATACCACATTTCGCACGTCACCGGAACATTTTCCAGCGTGATAACGACTGGGCCCCTACCGCCAGAGTTACACGGGACTTCCTACAGCAGAACGGTGTCAACAGTATGCAGTGGCCAGCCCTTAGTCCTGATTTAAACCCAATTGAATATCTTTGGAATGAAATTCAGAGGAGACTGAATAAGGTCATACCAAGGCCGAACACAACCGATTTATTGCACCAGACCTTTCTAAGAGTGTGGTTCCAGGTGCTAATGGCCTTCATCAATCGATTTGTGCACTCCATGCATAGACGCTGTGCTGCAGTTATTGCCGCTCGTGGTGGTCCCACTAGATACTGAAGTCAAGAGTCTGAATGGACTGCAAACGTTCACGTAATGTCTTGGAATTGTGCGGAGTTATTCATTGATGTGTCAGGATATTGTACACAAAAAATGTTTTTGATCTGCTTATTATGTCCCTTTCTGTAATGACTTGATTACAGTGCCTATATAATTTAGAATTCGTACTGAGAGGGTTTTTTTGCTGCTGAGTGTCATTGCTTTCTTAATCTTTATTTTAAACATCACCTCGGATAATGCTCTGAGCTAAATTATTAAGGGTGATGGGTTCTTCTTGAGTTTAGCCAGGTATTCAGATGCGACACAGCACACTACCAGTTTTAATCAGCTATTTTATTGATATCAAACTGCAACAGGCATGTATACAGCATCAAAGCACAGGTGTACAAACAGGCATTTATACAGACTCAAAGCACAGGCATACAGGCACATACACTGGCACTTTTATACAGCATCAAAGCACAGGTGTACACACAGGCACATATACAGCATCGAAGCACAAGTGTACAGAAGGCATTTATACAGCATCAAAGCACAGGCATACACACAGGCACTTATACAGCATCGAAGCACAAGTGTACAGACAGGCATTTATACAGCATCAAAGCACAGGCATACACACAGGCACTTATACCAACAGTTTATAGTACACTGATACCCAACATGTAAAACAGTTTGTACATGTCACCTCCTGTCATATGTACAAATCTAAACAGGGACGGTTCCAAAAAGCAGGCTTAAAACTACATCTGATGTAAGTCTGTATCAAAATAAAAGGTTGACAACAGACATAGGGCTAAGATCACTTTGTGGACACAGTCAGGTAACTCTATTCATACTGGACTCTTTGGAAAAAGAAAATGATAATTAATAAAATAAACCACAAGCCCTGGCAATATCTTCACCAAGGAACTTAAAACAAATTAGAACTGAATTAGCAAGTATGACTCTATGTCACTTTAATCATCAGTATACTGGCAGGGGACATCAGATATTCGCTTGACACCAGTGTATGAAATAAGGCCCGTCCGACCGCCCGAGACGGGTTAGATTTCAGACGGACGGTCTAGATTTACAGCTAGCCAGCCCGATGGTCTGGTAACAAATTTAGATGTTATATACATCTGAGTCATATCCTGGTGTCTGGTCTGGTCAAATCCATTTTGGACTGGTAACATGTTGAAGTTACCAGCCCTGATGTCTGGCTGGGAAATGGCTTATTTCATACACTGTTGACACACTGTAACAATGTGAAGAATCAAACCAAGGTCTCAGCATGAGCAATGCATAACCATTTATTGACTACCACAGTGCCCTTGCAAGCTTGATGTTTGATGTTTAGTCATACCGTGTGAATAAAAGAAATGCAAATAAAAATATCAGAAAAACAGTATCCTGCGCACTGACATCAGTGTACAAAACAGCCACTGGCCCACTAGTCCATGGCTAGTAAAAACCCAGTCGGGCCAGTAAATCTCCATGGTCACTGGCCCGACTGGTGAGTGGGATCATTTTGTAAACATATCACTCTCTCCAACTTGTAAAGTTGTAACACTTTATAGCATGCAAGATTATGGCCTGATAAAAATGTTCATCATATTAGCAGCTTAATGATGAAACTCGTGTCCACATTCAAATTTTGGACTAGTGAATTATTTTGTGGGCTGATAACTTTCAGGCAAAGCTAGCCCGACTGGCTAGAAAAATTTGGAAACTATTCACACACTGATTGACAGTAACATAAAGATCAATATGTTTCCCAAACAAAGTAACCAGTGTTGACCCAAGATATCGTCATTAATAACAATAATAATAATAATAAAAGTCCACTTTTATCCATTCTAGGATGAACATCTTGCTCAAAGCACTATTATTATTACCATGGATAACCAAAGCTGCCTGTGAGGCGCTAGAAGGTTTAGTTACAAAATCACATGACTTTACCCATCGGGTACCCATTTTCTGCTTGATGAACATTAGAGAGTAACCTTTGAAATTCTGTTGAAGCTGTGTGGGTGCAGGGTTAATAGAGAATAATTAGGCCTTGAGATGAGATGTACAATATTTCTATCAAATATCCTTAGCTAACCCAGAAAACAAATAATTAATGCCCAATTATGAGCCAACATGTTCTCAGAATTGTTTCACAGACAGTTTGTCTTCCTGAGAGAGAGATAATGGCTTTGGAAGAATGTATTTATTGACCAGAAACTTTTCACATTTTTCATCCAAGATTGAAGCATGGCTCCATCACAATACCGAGTGAATAATGTCACCAGACAGCATGGTCACCCATAGGCTAGCCATGTTATGACAAACTGTAGACAATATTTCTGGTCCAGATGATGATGACGTTTTGAAGATTTGACCTTTAGCAACCTATGCCTGTCGGAAGAGGGGAAGTTCCTGACTTGATGCATTTTGCCAAATCCGAGCAGCTTGGATCAATCCTCACGCCAATCACTGGATTGTCCAGTACACACTGCTGTCATATAGTTGTAATATTGCCGAGTGCAGCATCAACCAACCAACCAACCAACCAACCAACAAATTACAAAACTCCAGAGAATCGTTACCTCTCTGTAGTTCATGTTAACAGCCGTAATAAGTCCACCAGATCGGAGGAACATATCTGTCACATAAGGAAGAGAATTTTATGGATGTCAACTTCTTTATTGTGAGTAACACAATGTTTTGGAGTATCTACTTACTCCTTCACAGACCTGATGAAGGGGAAAGTCATCCTCAATAATCTCTAGGGTATAGTTCCAATAAATCTCCACTAGGGAGGTAATAAAATTAGATGCATCCAGGGTACAAGTGGAGATTTATCGGAACGTATACCCTGGAGATTATTGAGGATGGGAGGAAGTATATACTCTGAAAACATTGTGTTCATCACAATAAAGAAGTTGACATCCATAAAATTCTCTTCCTTATGTACTTCTAAATGCCATTCACAGACCTGATATCTGTCACAGGTGAATTAACTCAATACAAAGATATCTCCCCTCACCGCTCTTCATACAGAGTCTTCTGAACATGTGCAGTACCAGGGTGAGTGTATTTTACAAGCTTTGACCACTATCTGTCCCAAGACTAGAGAAATTATGAGAGAACAACTTCCTTTCTACCCCCAAAATTAGTTACTGTAGTCATAGGAACAGCATTCTCTTCCCACAGAGGTAACTTGTCATATCTTCCTACGAACCTCTGTTCTAATACGGCCATATTTCCTAGTTCTTTTAAAATCCCCTATCGGCAAAAAATTGCAACACGAATTATCTCCCTTCTTTTTATCAAATCAGAACACCTTTTACATCGACTTAGATCCAACTTTACTAATACAAGCAAATGCGGGGCCACAAATATCCCTCCTCTACCGGGGACTTGTGTTGATGTGACACACAAGGCATTTAATAACTATCTTGTCCCTTGTCAAATGAGGGCGATTGAGATGCCATTGATCCGCTATTACATGATTGAGTTCCGTCTGGAAGAAACGATTGCGCATCGCGCAGGAGAAGAGGTTCTAGTTTTCCCCCCGAGGCATACGGAAATTACAGAGACCTTGCGAATGATCACTTTTGAAACAACGTAGCTGATTGCACAGCTAAATCTGATTGCAGCCAATCACGAATCCTGAACACTTGCACCATGAAAGGCCATATTAGAACAGAGGTTCGTAGGAAGATATGACATGTAACCTCTGTGGGAAGAGAATGAGGAACAGTGAAAAGGTTTTGATTATACAGTGTGGACGTCTGTCTTACAACTCGAGATCCGCCCCTCCCCTGCATGTCCCATAACTTGTGACCACCCCTCCCTCCTCAAAGCACCCCTCCCTCCTCAAAGCACCCCTCCCCTCCTCAAAGCACATGTCATACAACTTTAGATCCCCAACTGACTCCTTTCAAACTCACGACCCCTCAACCAGGTCAGACAAGAAATGATCCCTCCCTGACATGCATTACAACTTGAGACCCCCGTCCCCTGTCCCCCTCGAATATAAGACCTCCAATCCAGGTCATACAAAGTAATAGCCCCCCTGTTACATCATACAATACTAGTCCTTTCAGGTTATACAACTGACGACCTCCCTTCTCTCATCAGTCAGTGAGTGGGTATGGTCTTACACTACGTTTAGCAATATTCCAGCAATATCACGGCAGCGGACACCAGAAATGGGCTTCACACATCATACCCGTGAAGAATCTAACCTGGGTCTTCGGCATGACGAGCAAACGCTTTAACCACTAGGCTACCCCCATTCCCTCATGAAATACAAGTCTCCCTTCCCCACACACCCTTAACTGCACTGCCCCCACCAACCAGGTGAGTCACTGCAAGCAACTCCTTCTCTGATGCAATCAGTACCCGGGCCTAGATTTTCAAGGCTCTCTTAGACTAAGATAGTCGTAAGTTTATGTTAATGTATGGCACTTACGGCCACTTTAACACTAGGAGAGCTTTGAAAATCTAGTTCCTGTGTGTCCCTGCTGCTGTGGTGGTGGTGGTCGTCAGATGAAGACAAACACTGCTCAATGTCAAGAGCAGCACAGTTCAAGATTTCAACATTTGTTCTCAAAACATCTGGCTAATCACATCACAGTGAAGCCTCACAAGAATAGGACTACAAATCTCAGCATCTGCACTTCTGGTTCAGGTCCATCACTTTATTCACACTGTGTACCAACTGAAGATGCTGGGGTCCAGGTCCTCCGGGTCCACAACATCCAGAGGAGAAGCACCGGTTCAAGAAGTCCTAACATCAGTAACACACTTTTCTTGTTCTCGTCATAACTTATCACTGAAATAAACCATAAAGATATTACATACAGGACATCTACCCTTTAGTGAGTGGTTTTACGCTGCTTTTAGCAATATTCCAGTAATATCACATCAGGGAACAGGGGAAATGGGCTTCACATATTGTACCCATGTGGGAATCAAACCCAGGCCTTCAGCGTGACGAGGGAACACTTTAGCCACTAGGCTACTCCACTGTCCCTCTACGCTTGACATTATAGAGGCTGTCACTGAATATCATCCAATCTTTGCCCCAAACCACTTAAACTTGACCTGGGTTCTTTGTATCATTTGAGGAGATGAGTGATGGAATATGGACTATTACTAGCTTAGCTTACTTAACTGAAAAGAATATCGCTAGACTTTGGACTAATGATATTGACAAAACTTTATGAACATTGTACGTCCAAACTTCTAACATGCCACTCAAAGAGTGAGTGGGTGAGTGAGTATGGTTTTACTACCGCTTTAGCAATACAGCAATATCACCGCAGGGGACACCAGAAATGGGCTCACACATTGTACCCATGTGGGGAATCTAACCCAGGTCTTCTGTGTGACAAGTGAACGCTTTATCACTTGGCTACCCCACCGCTCTGCCACTCAAAGAAGTTATCTGGCCTGATGGCTGAAGTGAGGGAATGTGAGACTCCATGTCACAAACTCACCCTTCAATGTTGAGTCTTCCGACTATTTCTCTAACAGTGGCTATGAGAGATTCATTCTCCTGAGGGGAGTCGAGGATCACGGTGTGTAGTTTGGCCATGTATGTGTCGATCGTCTCCAGAGATGGCGTCTTCCCCGATCCTGAAATAGGACACGAGCTCTGATATTAAGAAATGGTTCAAATGTTTTGATATTTTTGATAGTATCTTTTCATTGTTATCCAGCCTTTGTTTTCAATGGAGATGTTCCCAAGCGTTCACACACAGGCCAGAAGCAAATTCTTGTGATTGTTGTGTGTAGGTTGTCGAGGTGTTGTGGGACACACCTGGGATAGACACAGAGGCAAAGTGTGTAGTGATTGTTGTGTGTAGGTTGTCCAGGTGTTGTGCGACAAACCTTGTAGAGACAGGGAGGCAAAGTGTGTGGTGAGTGTTGTATGTTGGTTGTCCAGGTTTTATGGGACACACGTGGGAGAGACACACAGAGGTACAGTGAGTGGTGAGTGTTGTGTGTTGGTTGTCCAGGTGTTGTGCTACATACCTGGGAGAGACACAGAGGTACAGTGTGTAGTGAGCGTTGTGTGTAGGTTGTCCAGGTGTTGTGCTACATACCTTGGAGAGACATGGAGGTAGAGTGTGTAGTGAGCGTTGTGCGCAGGTTGTCGAGGTGTTGTGGGACACACCTGGGAGAGACACAGAGGTACAGTGTGTAGTGAGTGTTGTGCGCAGGTTGTCGAGGTGTTGTGCTACATACCTGGGAGAGACACGGAGGCAAAGTGTGTAGTGAGTGTTGTGCGCAGGTTGTCGAGGTGAGTCTGCAGCGCCATGTTGGTGCTCCGTTGCTGCACCGCCTCAATCTCCAGCTTCTCGATGGCATGTTTCATATTTTCGATGTGTTTACTGAGGATGGCATTCTGTTCCTCCAACTCCGTTGTCTGCTTCCGTAGCTGCCTCAACTCTGCTTCACGCACTGGTCAAAAGAAACCACTACACTTAAAATTTCCAAAATGACCAATAATGGAGCGCCTATTGAAAGAATACGGAATGCTATGATCATGCAGCTTGAAACTAAAACATGTAAATAACATGTGATCTTGACTCCGGATATCTTTTCAACATTAACTTTTGATTAATCCATTCACAGCTTCACCAACAAATATTTAAGTGAAAGATTACCTTTATTATGGTCCAGAAAATCCTCAGTGAAGATAGGGATGTCAAAGGTGCCACTCTCCTCCTCTTCATTGTTTAACATCTGAAACATGAAAAAACATTAGTGAAACTGGAATTATCAAATGTATTCCCACCAATGTCATCTGTTTAACAATTTCTCAGTGGATGTCTCTTCATGCCATACATAGACTTTACTCACCTCTAAAGATGATCCATTCAACCCTGTACTCTCAGTCTCTTCTCCAAGATCACCTACAAACACATGGGTTACCATGGTTACTAGTATATTAGGAATTATACACCTTTTTATGAATATCAACACCCAGTCTATAACCTGTGATTACTATTATCATCAATAAGTCAGAACATGATGTGTTAACTATCACAGACTCATAATGGTCACTGCATAAAAAGAAACATGTTTCCACACAACCACCTGTAGCGTAACCTAGCAATTACAAGCTAATCCTTTGGAACATTCTTCCATTCAACATCAAGTCTGCTCCTACTAGTGGTGTTCCGATTAATTGAAATAATCGAAGATTGGTCGCAGAGACCAAACGACCAAGCAATCGATCACGTTTTCTCATAATGAACATAAACGATTTTGGAACTACTGTTTTAGTCTTTGAAATACTTGATAATGGAACATACCATTGGAAGTTGTCAGGGCCTGAAAACGTGTTTAATTCTTAGAAAACTTACATCACTAACTGAAAAGCCATGACTGAATATTTCTTGAAGACTCCGGGAAGTTTATGTTCATGATATATTAGTCATCACTTAAAGTAGCAAGTTGCATCATGTTTTACATATCTGCAATAACAACCTGGATCGGAAAATCTGAAAAACGACGCTTACCAATTTATTTTCAATGATTGTTCGTTGGTAATGAATCAATCATCAATTGTGAGATTTCAACTAATTCCCAACACTAGCTCCTACCCTTGAAACATTCTGCTGACAACTAAAGACCTATTTCTTCTATCTGTGATATGCAAGCACCTATGAGCAGTCTAGCTGGAATTCGGCGTTATACAAACCAATTATTTATATATCATATATTCTATACACTAACCCAATGTCAAGCTGGCCCTCATCTACACTGTAACCTAGCAACTACAAGCATAACCTGGAAACGCTCACCTCGTAACTTCTTTTGCTGCATCCTGAAGGTCTTGTAAGCCTCAGTTTTCTGATACGCCTCCATCTCCTTCAGATACCGCTCTTTGTCTTTCTCTGCGTCGTCAAGGTAACGCTGGAAAATCAATCACTGTGAGGTCTAGCAACATCATACAGGTTGTTTAACAATACAGAACTATGAATGACATGCCCACAGGTTACACACCTGTCTGCCTACACATTACTTATGTTGGACCACGCCACCCACCAAGCTGTTTCTCTGAAGCCCTCCGTTTGAACCACCACTCCAACCTCTTTGCATGTCGCCCTCAATTCAGACCACCCCATCCACCCATTTCTCTGTGGTCCTCATTTTGAACCACCCCATTAACCATTTTATCTGTAGCCCCAAGTTTGGACTATCCCATCAACCTATTTATTTGGAGCCTTAAGTTGGGACCATCCAATCAGCCATGTTTGTCTGTAGCCCCAAGTTTGGACTATCCCATCAACCTATTTATCTGTAGCCTAAAGTTTGGACCATCCCATCAACCTGTTTCTCTGTAGCCCCAAGTTTGGACCATCCAACCAACATTTTCATCTGTAGCCCCAAGATTGGACCACTCCACCAACCTGTTTGTCTGTAGCCCCAAGTTTGGACCACTCTGCTCCTAGCATTTTCGTGATCTCTGAGAATGTCAGGTTTGGGTTTTCCTGTCTCAGCTGCTCACGACGTTCATTCAGGAACCGGATGTATCCTGTAAGGGCTGGTTTGGGAGCATTGACGTCTTTCAAACTCTTTTTCCTTTTGCGTCCTTTTGGCCAGCCACCTTTCCTTTTGGCCTGTGGAAATAGCATTCAAATAGAAGCAAAGAGCATTCATCGTACGCATTACAGCCTGCAAAACTGACATACAAAGCCCACAATTTACAGACATCTATTTACATAAAGGTATGTTTGTGTGATGACACTAGATCTATCTGACGTCTGTCACATGACTCTCACTTTGATGTGATGGCTGACAGATAAGTTGAAAGTCTAAAATCATTTGTGGACATTACCTGATATCACAGAGTGAGTGAGAGAGGTTTAGTTTATACCACTTTTAGCAATGTTCCAACAAATGAACAATATCACAGCAGGGGACACAAGAAATGGGCTGCACACATTGTACCCATGTGGGGAATCGAACCTGGATGTTTGGCGTGACAAGAGAACGTTTTAACCACCAGGCCACCCCACCGTCCCTGATGCCATAGAGGAATATCTACAAACAACCAGCTGAGCAAATCATTATGCTGTGATACGTCTGTAAAATAACCTATGCCACGGTAAACAAGTGAGAAACAGAGTTTATCACTTATCAATTAGCTCTCGTAACAGCATGAAGAGAAACTATGAACAGAGTCCATTGTGACCTGACAAATGAAACACAAAGATATCATGATATCCATATCCGCTAGCAGGGCTCCAGATAATTTTTCAACCTCAGGAGTATGTACTCCTTATTTTTTCAACACAGGAGTACTGGAAAACCTAAAATGACATTTAGAGTACTGAATGGAATTTAATGGAGTATCAGTAATCTTGTATTTCGTTTCATATATGCACCACAACATTGCTACTCTTATGTAAACAGGTCAATGAACAATAAAACAAGAAGACAAAGTCATCAATATCCCCCTCAATGGCAAAATACTCTTCATGATTATGTCTACGAGTTATGATTATGTCAAATACTTAGGTGTGTATATAGAAAAGTGGAAGGAGAGTATTGAAAGGTTTTTAAAGTTCTGCTCCAGAAAATAGCACTATCACCAATTTCAATCAAAGTTAAACTTGTTGCCATGGAAACGCCAAAATATTTTATTCAGAATTCCAAAACTACCAAAAGGCACCAGTACACCACCAGATATATGTATGTGCCAAGTTTGGTGAAGAAACATTGAATGGTTTTAGAGTTCTGCTCCAGAAAAGAGCACTATCACCAATTTCAGTCTAAGTCAAACTTGTTGCCATGGAAACGCCAAAAATATTTTATTCAGAATTCCAAAACTACCAAAAGGCACCAGTACACCACCAGATATATGTATGTGCCAAGTTTGGTGAAGAAACATTGAATGGTTTTAGAGTTCTGCTCCAGAAAATAGCACTATCACCAATTTCAGTCTAAGTCAAACTTGTTGCCATGGAAACGCCAAAAATATTTTATTCAGAATTCCAAAACTACCAAAAGGCACCAGTACACCACCAGATATATGTATGTGCCAAGTTTGGTGAAGAAACATTGAATGGTTTTAGAGTTCTGCTCCAGAAAGGAGCACTATCACCAATTTCAGTCTAAGTCGAAATTGTTGCCATGGAATGGCCAAAAATATTTTATTCAGAATTCACAAACTACCAAAAGGCACCAGTACACCACCAGATCTATCTATGTGCCAAGTTTGGTGAAGAAATAGAGAACGGTTTTAGAGTTCTGCTCCGGAAAAGACAAAAGTGAACGGACGGACGGACGGAGTCCATTTTAATACCCCCTGCAAAACACGTTGCGGGGGATAACAATACTTTTTCAGATAATTACTTCTGTAAACAATAGTTTGTCAACAACTGAATGTCCCTTAATCAGTATGAGATGCTGTATTTAAAGGCCATTTTTATAAGAATAGGCTCACAGTGAGTCTTACCTCTCCATCTCCAGTCTCTCCGACGGAGTTACCTGCCCCTGTTGATAGACCTGCAATAACGAAATTGATGCAATTATTCATACACTGTACATCGAGACATTAAGCACCACATGTCACAAATATGGGCAAAAACAATTTGGTTGTAGTGATAATGTTTTGCAATCATGTCTACAACCCCAGTTACTGGTGCTAAGCATGAGTCCGGGAAAATGTCCTTCAAATTGTGGCAAGCCTTAGTTTTAAACAAAAACTCAGATGTCAAGTTTGGTCTGGTATATACTCCATTGTATTTCAGCAGAAACTGTGATGTTGTCAAGGAAACCTTTCAGGTCAACACTGCCAGCAAGCAGACCTGCAAGTTGCCATCAACCAGGCCAGCGAGCCTGGCCACCGATCCTGTTAGATACCTCTTATGACAAGCATGTGTTACTGTAAATTGATCTTCAGTAACCAATGCTTGTCGTAAGAGGCGACTATCGGGATCAGGTGACAGGGTCGCTGTCTTGGTTGACACATATCATCAGTTCCTAATAGTGCAGATCGATGCTCATGGTGTTGATCACTGGATTGTCTGGTCCAGGCTCGATTATTGACGGACCGCCGCCATATAGGTGGAATATTGCTGCGTGTGGCGTAAAACTAAACTCACTCACTCGCTACAACCTGGGTGCTACTGGTGGAGGTGGTGAACAATAATGAAATCTTACCCTGATACACGTACGTACACACAGGACAACATACTTCAACACACACTGACACAACATGGACATAAAACATGTCACAAACAAACACTCACCACCTCCAATGTCGCTGCTGCCTGCCATGAAGTTGCCATCAGAGGATGGAAAGCTGCAAAAACACAATTCTTTATTTGAACCAAAAACACAAACATTCGAAAAATTATTTAATCATGAGCCAGCAATATTCTTACACAGATTCAGCACTGGAATACATGTATTTCGGGGACCAATTCTTCCCCAGAATCAGCACTGGAAAGCAGGCACATGATACCAGAGAATTATTCACCCCAGAAAATGGCAATGGAAAGCAGGCATGTGGTACCAGAGAATTATTCTCCCAAGAATCAGCACTGGAAAGCAGGCATGTTGTACCAGAGAATTATTCTCTCCCAGAATCAGGACTGGAAAGCAGTCATGTGGTACCAGGGAATTATTCTCTCCCAGAATCAGGACTGGAAAGCAGGCATGTGGTACCAGGGAATTATTCTCCCAAGAATCAGCACTGGAAAGCAGGCATGTGGTACCAGGAAATTATTCTCTCCCACAATCAGCACTGGAAAGCAGGAATGTGGCAGCACTGAAAGCAGGCATGTGGTACCATGGAATTATTCTCCCAAGAATCAGCACTGGAAAGCAGGCATGTGGTACCACGGAATTATTCTCTCCCAGAATCAGCACTGAAAGCAGGCATGTGGTACCAGGGAATTATTCTCCCAAGAATCAGCACTGAAAGCAGGCATGTGGTACCAGGGAATTAATTCCCCCAAGAATCAGCACTGGAAAGCAGGCATGTGGTACTAGGAAATTATTCTCTCCCAAAATCAGCACAGAAAGCAGGCATGTGATACCAGGGAATTATTCTCTCCCAGAATCAGCACTGAAAGCAGGCATGTGGTACCAGGGAATTATTCTCTCCCACAATCAGGACTGGAAAGCAGGCATGTGGTACCAGGGAATTATTCTCTCCCAGAATCAGCACTGGAAAGCAGGAATGTGGCAGCACTGAAAGCAGGCATGTGGTACCAGGGAATTATTCTCCCAAGAATCAGCACTGGAAAGCAGGCATGTGGTACCAGGGAATTATTCTCTCCCACAATCAGCACTGGAAAGCAGGCATGTGGTACCAGGGAATTAATTCTCCCAAGAATCAGCACTGGAAAGCAGGCATGTGCTACTATGAAATTATTCTCTCCCAGAATCAGCACTGAAAGCAGGCATGTGGTACCAGGGAATTATTCTCTCCCACAATCAGGACTGGAAAGCAGGCATGTGGTACCAGGGAATTATTCTCTCCCAGAATCAGCACTGGAAAGCAGGAATGTGGCAGCACTGAAAGCAGGCATGTGGTACCAGGAAATTATTCTCCCAAGAATCAGCACTGGAAAGCAGGCATGTGGTACCAGGGAATTATTCTCTCCCACAATCAGCACTGGAAAGCAGGCATGTGGTACCAGGGAATTAATTCTCCCAAGAATCAGCACTGGAAAGCAGGCATGTGCTACTATGAAATTATTCTCTCCCAGAATCAGCACTGAAAGCAGGCATGTGATACCAGGAAATTATTCTCTCCCACAATCAGCACTGGAAAGCAGGCATGTGGTACCAGGGAATTATTCTCTCAAGAATCAGCACTGGAAAGCAGGCATGTGGTACTAGCGAATTATTCTCCCCAGAATCAGCACTGGAAAGCAGGCATGTGGTACTTGGGTCATGTACTTCCCTAGATTCATCAATGGAAAACAGGTGGTACTGAGTACCTATTCTGCAACAGGATCACCAGTGGAAAACAAGCAGGAGACACAGGGGAACTATTCCATCCCAGACTCAACACTGTGACATGCACTGGCCTCAATACAGGAAAATATGTTTGTGTCACTGGCGACCTGTGTTCCATGGAAGGCCAACTGGGAAATCAAACTTTGAAAAAATAGAAAGTGAAAAACATACCACTTTTTAAGCATCACCTTACCTTGCATCTACAGTGAGGTCATTACTCTCCTTTGAAACCTCATCATCAAAGCTCTCAAAGTTCAGCTTCAGTCCGGACATGTTAGACAGCATACTGGAGGATGCATTAGGGCCCAGGTCCATCCTGGTGCTACACTAACCTGGAGACAGAACACATAAACCCAAAGGAGTTTAGGGGTGGTGAAGTGTAGGGATGTCACGATACATGAGTTTCATGAATCAATACGCATCAAGATACCCATGTCACAATTCGAAATGCATCACGATACCTATTTTCGCGGCATTATTGCGTAAATGTAGTTACATATATATTTCATATTTTATAATTGTCTGTGAAAAGATCAACATTTTTTATTCTCAGAGATTAAAAAGTTTCTAATTTTTACTCAATAAACATTATACAATTGCAAACTGTAAACAATACATAAACATATTTAAACCGATACTTTCAAAACTAAAAATCGATACAGTTTTGAATGTATCGATAATTGTATCATCTTAGGGAAAGTATCAATGCATCAATGTGTCGTGGCATCCCCAGTGAAATGGGTTTGTGTGTGTTTTGTTGGTTTGTTTAACCAAACACAGAATTAGGCACCTATTTGCTTCGTACTACGCACTCATAGTCATAATTTGTCTGTAGCTGAACTGTTGCTGTGTGCAGTGTTAAACAATAAATACACGAGGTAATAAACTGGTCCAGCTTCTCTGGGTAATATTCAAACGCTACACAGTGACATTTAGAAGTATCTTGTTCTGTTTTGTTGTCTGATGTTTAACACCACACTAAGAAATATTCCAGCCATATGGCCTTGGTCTGTTAGTGAGTTTGGTTTTACGCCGCACTCAGTAATATTCCAGCTATATGGCAGCGGTCTGTAAATATTCAAGTCTGGACCAGACAATCCAGTCATCAACAGCGTGAGCATCGATCTACACAACTGGGATACGATGACATGTGTCAACCAAGTCAGCGTGCCTGACCACCCGATCCCGTTAGTCGCCTTTTATGACAAGCATGGGTTGCTGAAGACCAATTCACACCCAGATCTTCAAGGGCTACCCTTGGTCTGTGAATACTAGAGTCTGGACCAGACAATCCATAGATACAATGACATGTGTCAAGCAAGTCAGCAAACCTGACCATCCGATCCCGTTTGTTGCCTCTTTCGATATGCATGTGTTGCTGAAGACCAATTCTAACCCGGATCTTCATGGGTTGAAATTGGGTTTAACACTGCATACAAAACTATTCACGTGTGTACTAGACATACTTGTTTTATCCGCTTAATGCCAAATACAAGGCAGTATAACAAGAAGCCCCAGACTACGGAGTGTGTGTGGGGAGAAGAAAGAAGGGTGAGTGAGGGAGTCACAGTATAATTCAAGACCTACCAACAGGGATTTACCTTGAGTACTGTATTTGAGGGTCCCTGGGACTCATATTTTCAGGGGTCATGGACAACAAAATGGGGGTCCCAGACACTTAAATGTTATTATCAATACTGTAATTGTACTGTGTATCATGATCCTCACATTAATTGTTACAGTAATGTAATGAAATTGCAAATGCCAAACTAGCTAGTAGCAAACTCAGTGATAACATATTGTTACTTGATTGGAATTTTTACAAAAAGTATTTGGTCTTTTTTCTGAGTCTCTGTGGATGCGCTTATAAATTTTGCTGCGTCCATTGTCAATTTTTATGCGCATAGGACGCAGGAGTTCACATCCTGTAAATCCCTGTACCAAGCACTAAAATATTGCAACCTACAGGCCTACAAAAAGTACAAATGATGCACACAAGCAAAATCTGCATGGTAGTTCCCATGTAAATGATGTTGCTCATGAACAAGATGTTGATTTAGTGATGTGATATAGGACTACAAAAATAGACTTTCAGACCAGCCAAAACATAACTTATAAGGTCCATAGCTAGTTTAATGGAAAATGGACCTTAATATAGTCAGATAACTCCATTACTGGGGAAGAATGATCATCCTTCATAGGTCATTCAATTGTAAACATGATATGACGCAAGAGATGTGACAAGATCTTTCAAGTAGCAAACATTCTTTCCAGCAAGCGTGAAGCAATTGTCAGCAGCAGGACCAATAAAGAAAAAGAATAAATTACAGGAGTGGAAAAAACCCATTGCCCGACGCCCGAGTCCAGTGTTTTTTCTGTCGGGCAAGCAAATTTGTATATCACACTGTACCGGTGTCCAGTTGACTTTCCAATGTTAATTATGTTCTTTATGTAAAAAATCAACAAGAAAACAGCTGGTATAGTGGAAAAATTATCTGGGCAAGTGATTTTACATGTGCCACTGTACCGGAGTACACTAGCAATTTTAAAGTTATTTCCACCCCTGAATTATTAGTTTTTGCGATATGCTGTGCTTAAATGCAAAGTTAAATTACCATAAATGATTAAAAAACTGAATAGATTACAATTTCAAACAATCAATTTTCCAGTATCATTTTCCCTTTAACATGAACAGAAAAGTGTTTTGCAAACATGGTAATCATTTCACCGGAAGGCCAAACACGTAAGGGGCTTACCACAGATAACTCCAAACTATAGAATCTGGCAATCACAACATATTGCTATAACATCTGCATCACTGTACCCATATTTCATTAACATTCACAGCCTACATCATAGTGTTTATCTCAGTGGATTTCTGGCACTGCAGTTGCCTCTACCTAATTAATTGTTATAAATGTTTTCCACCATCATGAGTCACCAGTTCTAATTAAACTGGTACCAGGCAAGTTGACTTTAGAATATTCCTTCCTAAGACTGATAATATTTGTCTGATGATATGAATGACTGTTAAAGATATAAGCGGTCATTATGATTTTGTGTGCATATGGTAATTTTGTGTTTATGGTAATGTGTCATCATGAAGAAAGGTGACAAAGACACTATCACTGGTTCTTTTACACGTGACATGTCACAGAACCCGGCTGATGTGTATCAAAATGACACACGATCGCCCACACAGGTCCGTAGATGCACGTGTCTTACTAGAAAAAACCCGCTTCTAAGATCGATGTTGGGGATAGTCCACACCTGTCACGATTCCTATCTACTGTGTTGTCAGTGAGGGGTGGTACATGCAAATGACAAGTCGCGGATTGTCACTCAGATATAATCTGTGCATGCCAGATTTCAAATGGCAGTTGTGTCAAGGAAAACATGATATCACCACTCATACCTACAAGTAAAGGTATTGGTGTCACACGCAACTGTGATTCCAGAATTCTCAGGGAATCCCCGCCAATATGATAGCCTCGTTCAGTGGGCCGCCTGCGCAAGTGACTCGGTCGCAGCGTGCAGGGAACGCTGATGCGAAGGCGTGCGTGTGTAAGGCATGTTAAACCAATAGTGGCCCATAAATTGTAATGGAATATGTTCCTGAAAATGTTGTCATTCAGTTTCTTACCTAGCAACGTGCTGACCATGTGCATTTGTTTTCATTTCAATAATCGGTAGAGGGGGATAGGAAAATTTCCGCAAAATGGCGATTGTTAATCCGCGAAAGGATATTGAAATTGATACTGCTATCTGAACAACTACTTACAGTTAGCGTTTCTGCAGCGGTGTTCTACTGGTACAACGGCAGAAGGATCTCTACTTGACTAACATGTAGTCTCTGAAATGAACATATTTTACGAAAAATTAATCAGTGAATTTTGGCTTTTTGGACGCATGCAGTGCAGTGAGTATTGCCATATAAAAAATGAATGCGCACATATTCATGGTAGACCTTATCATTTATTCCGACATGAATTTGAAAAAAAGATATACTCGATTCTGATTAGTCAGCCAGGATTTTTAAATAACAGTAAATCCCTTTTTGACATCCGACCCGTGAAGATCGGGGTTCGAATTAATCTTCAGCAACACATGCTTGACGTAAGAGGCGACTGACGGTGGTCAGGCTCGCTGACTTGGTTGAGACATGTCATCGTATTCCATTTGCGTAGATCGATGCTCATGCTGTTGATCACTGGTCACTGGATAGTCTGGTCCAGACTCGAATATTTACAGACCGCCGCGGGGCGGTGGCGTAGCCAAGTGGTTAAAGCGTTGGCTCCTCACGCCGAAGACCCGGGTTCGATTCCCCACATGGGCACAATGTGTGAAGCCCATTTCTGGTGTCCCCCCGCCGTGATATTTCTGGAATATTGCTAAAAGCGGCGTAAAACTAAACTCAGTCATGCAGTCAGTACAGACTGCCGCCATATAGCTGGAATATTGCTGAGTGCGGCATTAAATAACAAACCAACCAACCAAATGATTTGACTTCCGCATCAGCGCGGAAGCTAATGTTCATAGAAAATCATAATGTATTTTTTTTCAGTCACTGTCGATATAGGCGCTTATAATATACATACATGTATGATAACTATAGGTTACAGATGCAAGTTGCGGGTCAAGACTTTCAAAGACTTTGCAGTAAAGAAAGATATAGTTCATGATTTGGGGACAACATGGCTGTCTCACAGTCCCTGAACCACATTATCTTCCCGACCGCCAAGCTCTCCCTGCAATGCTATTTTAAAGCCCTAAATGAAGCAAGTCTAGATTCCCCCGGGTTCACTTTCCCATCTCACTGGGGCCCCTTTTTCAATTTAAATGGGTTTATTTGTTACTGTCAAAATTATATACATACTAGATTCACACTTTGCTAAGGATCAAATCATTGATTCAACAGAAAACTATGATGTGGGGTCTAATTTGGTTTAAATACCTAAGCTTATTGTAAGCATGGATCCTAGGTTTCAGTATGTGATTGCATTTTGTGGATCCCATTCTTGCTATTGACAGGACACTGGTGTTGTGTACTTGTCAATGACTCATCCCATGATGTGCAAAATGGTTGATTGGTGCCATGAAAACCATTCATATGTTTACTCATGTATTAAGTGCATAAGGTTAGATTAAAGTGGCTGTTTGCCTAAATAAGGGTTACCGTAGTATTATTTATCCAGTTTAAATGGATACGATTTCAAATTATAAATCTATGTTTAGGTAAAGTTGGGAATTTTTGTGATCCTCAGCAAAGTGTGAGTAGTAAAATTATATTCAGACTAAGGGTTAGTCAAGGGACAGCAGGGCGCTTGAAATTTGGCGTTTTACGCCTATTTTTGCTGTATCAGGGATAATCTACGTCTTATAGTCTCTCTGGCTGTATGTTCGGTTGATTCAAACCCATTTAAATTGAATTAAGTTGCCAAGGTGTACATTGAAAATAAAGTATACGTGTAGCTATCGTCAAATTAACGGAAACATTTTATTTACGTTTGGTTTGAATGTAGGAAAGAAAGTCACAGGCAAAAAAGTCACGGATAAAAAGTCACAGGGAAAAAACCTCACAATACAATAATACATGCTAGTGAGTTCTTAAATATCTCAATTGTTATAACAGCTTCTGTTTCTGACAAGATAACATAATTCATGATTTAATTGGGGCGTGAAACCAAGAGTGGGAGAGGCCACTGATCAGTGAACGGGGGTCACTCTGTTTAAGTAATGAGAGTTGTCTACTGTTCTTTGTGTGCTGGCGATTAGGTGCCTGACTCTGAGGGTGTGGGTTCGAATCCCGGATGGGACTCAACCCAACAAAAGTACTAGAATTTGTGTTTTACTAAGAAAGTGTAATCACAAATATAACATATGTTACAAGTGTATATAATTCTGTTTCCTTTTCCAACTAACATGAGAAGGAAGAAACTTGGTATAAGTATGTATGTTTAGCCATGTCCTTTCCCATTTGCATCATGGGTTGTATTAAGAGCAACAGTATTTGAAAATAATATTGGAAGGATCCATATACAGATAGCATGCAAGTCTGTGATTGATCCTGTGATTTATGGTCGTCATTAACATTATTGTGTCTTTTTTCCTGGGACTTTTTTTCCTAGCCAAAATTGTGACTTTTTATCTGTGAGTTTTTTCTTGTGGCTTTCTTTCCGATCACCTTTGGTTTCTCTCGTTGATATACAAACCTTTCGCGCCTCCATTATCTCGTGGGTAGGACATCTGCACGGGGGCGGAAAGTCTGCGGTTCGATTCTGCCGCTTTATATGTAACCGTGAAACTTCTTGTTATCCTGACCCGTGAAGATCCGGGGTAGAATAGGTCTTCAGCAACCCATGTGCTTGCCATAAAAGGCGACTATGCTTGTCGTAAGAGGCGACTAACGGGATCGGGTGGTCAGTTTCGCTGACTTGGTTGACACATGTTATCGGTTCCAATTGCGCAGATCGATGCTCATGCTGTTGATCACTGGATTGTCTGGTCCAGACTCGATTATTTACAGACCGCCGCCATATAGCTGGCATATTGCTGAGTGCGGCGTAAAACTAAACTCACTCACTCTTGTTATCCTGCATGATATCCGCCATTAACAGGATATAACAAGGCCAGTAGTAACAGTGTGTGAGTGAGGTGCTGACCTACGGTTTGTTTTGTTTGTTTGTTGTTTAAGGCCACACTCAGTAATGTCCCAGAGCTATATGACGACAGTCTGTCAATAATTGTATCTGGACCAGACAATCCAGTGATCTACAGCATGAGCATCGATCTACGTAATTGGGATACGAAGACATGTGGTCAACCATTCCTGACCACCCGATCCCGTTGGTCGCCTCTTACAAGTAATGGGTTGCTGAAGATAAATTCTAACCCGGATCTTTACACGGTTTAATGACTGACTGACTGAGTTTGGTTTTACGCCGCTTTTAGCAATATTCCAGCAACATCACGGCGGGGACCACCAGAAATGGGCTTCACACATTGTACCCTTGTGGGGATTCGAACCCGGGTCTTCTGCGTGACGAGCCAACGCTTTAACCACTAGGCTACCCCACCGCCCCTTACACGGTTTACAACGTTATCAGTCGGTTAATTAGCGCCATAAACCGGCCTTAGTCCGTTTAAGTACAAGCAGCCCTAACAACGTGACATTAAACTCCATTTCATCTTGCCTAAAAGTCTTTTAAAAGACAGGCGCTCGGTCGTCGTCTCGCACTGTTTAAATCAGGGTTCTATAGCTAGAAGTCTTATCTACACCTACTGAAATGCACATTTTTATGTACGAGGTCGTTTCAACAGAGGGCCCTTACTAGAGCACCTGCCACTCATACAGTTTCCATTAAAGGAAGTGTCTGTCTTCTGCCTGACGATACACACCAGCCATCACACCATGCACCAAGTAATCGCTCGTCACACCGAAGACCAGGGTTCGATTCCCCACATGGATACAATGTGTGATGCCCATTTCTGGTTTCCCCCGCTGTGATATTGCCATATTGCTAAAAAGCGGCGTAAAACTAAACTCACTTATTCGTTTAACAGGGGCTTGTAAACTTGTCTTAGCTCTATATAAACACCATTTTGCATAGTGTCACGATCCCTTCAGTGACAATGTATAGCTTGATGCCATTTCGTTGTGTTTCAAGCTCCTCTGGTCGTTTTACTGTTAATTTCCAATTTATTTTACGCAGTTTACACAATCATCAGGGGTGGAACCAATTTCTCTCTCTCTCTCTCTCTCTCTCTCTCTCTCTCTCTCTCTCTCTCTCTCTCTCTCTCTCTCTCTCTCTCTCTCTCTCTCTCTCTCTCTCTCTCTCTCTCTCTCAATGAGATACTTTTCTTTTCATGTTTCGACAACAAAATAAATATTTTAAGAGCATACTTTGGTGCCGGTATGCGTATGTCGACCCTTGATTTAACAGTTTAAATAGCGTAATGGTCATGCCGGGGTGCCCTTGGGTCGGATCTTGGGTAGGCAAACCCTGCCGTGATACCCGTGGGTCGGATCTAATGTTGTCAATTGCAGAACCCTGCCGTGATACCTGTAGGTAGGATCTAATGTTGGCAATTGCCAAACCCTGCCGTGATACCTGTGGGTCGGATCTAATGTTGGTACTTGTCAAATCATGCTGTGGTGTCTGTAGGTAGGATCTAATGTTGTCAATTGCCAAACCCTGCCGTGATACCTGTAGGTAGGATCTATTGTTGGCAATTGCCAAGTCATACCGTGATGTCTGTAGGTAGGATCTGATGTAGGCAATTGCCAAACCCTGCCTTGATATCTGTAGGTAGGATCTAATGTAGGCAATTGCCAAACCCTGCCGTGATATCTGTAGGCAGGATCTATTGTTGGCAATTGCCAAGTCATGCCGTGATGTCTGTAGGTAGGATCTAATGTAGGCAATTGCCAAGTCATGCCGTGATGTCTGTAGATAGGATCTAATGTAGGCAATTGCCAAACCCTGCCGTGATATCTGTAGGTAGGATCTATTGTTGGCAATTGCCAAGTCATGCCGTGATACCTGTAGATAGGATCTATTGTTGGCAATTGCCAAGTCATGCCGTGATGTCTGTAGGTAAGATTTATTGTAGGCAATTGCCAAACCCTGCCATGATGTCTGTAGGTAGGATCTATTGTTGGCAATTGCCAAGTCATGCCGTGATACCTGTAGGTAGGATCTATTGTTGGCAATTGCCAAGTCATGCCGTGATGTCTGTAGGTAAGATTTATTGTAGGCAATTGCCAAACCCTGCCGTGATGTCTGTAGATAGGATCTATTGTAGGCAATTGCCAAACCCTGCCGTGATATCTGTAGGTAGGATCTATTGTTGGCAATTGCCAAGTCATGCCGTGATGTCTGTAGATAGGATCTAATGTAGGCAATTGCCAAACCCTGCCGTGATATCTGTAGGTAGGATCTAATGTAGGCAATTGCCAAGTCATGCCGTGATGTCTGTAGATAGGATCTAATGTAGGCAATTGCCAAACCCTGCCGTGATATCTGTAGGTAGGATCTAATGTAGGCAATTGCCAAGTCATGCCGTGATGTCTGTAGATAGGATCTAATGTAGGCAATTGCCAAACCCTGCCGTGATATCTGTAGGTAGGATCTGTTGTTGGCAATTGCCAAGTCATGCCGTGATACCTGTAGGTAGGATCTGTTGTTGGCAATTGCCAAGTCATGCCGTGATGTCTGTAGGTAAGATTTATTGTAGGCAATTGCCAAACCCTGCCGTGATGTCTGTAGGTAGGATCTATTGTTGGCAATTGCCAAACCCTGCCATGATACCTGGAGGTAGGATCTATTGTTGGCAATTGCCAAGTCATACCGTGATGTCTGTAGGTAGGATCTAACGTAGGCAATTGCCAAGTCATGCCGTGATGTCTGTAGATAGGATCTAATGTAGGCAATTGCCAAACCCTGCCGTGATATATGTAGGTAGGATCTATTGTTGGCAATTGCCAAGTCATGCCGTGATGTCTGTAGATAGGATCTAATGTAGGCAATTGCCAAACCCTGCCGTGATGTCTGTAGGTAGGATCTATTGTTGGCAATTGCCAAGTCATGCCGTGATACCTGTAGATAGGATCTAATGTAGGCAATTGCCAAACCCTGCCGTGATATCTGTAGGTAGGATCTATTGTTGGCAATTGCCAAGTCATGCCGTGATGTCTGTAGGTAAGATTTATTGTAGGCAATTGCTAAACCCTGCCGTGATGTCTGTAGGTAGGATCTATTGTTGGCAATTGCCAAACCCTGCCATGATACCTGTAGGTAGGATCTATTGTTGGCAATTGCCAAGTCATGCCGTGATACCTGTGGGTAGGATCTATTGTTGGCAATTGCCAAATCATGCTGTGGTGTCTGTAGGTAGGATCTAATGTAGGCAATCCCTGCCGTGATACCTGTAGGTAGGATCTAATGTAGGCAATTGCCAAGTCATGCCGTGATGTCTGTAGATAGGATCTAATGTAGGCAATTGCCAAACCATGCCGTGATATCTGTAGGTAGGATCTGTTGTTGGCAATTGCCAAGTCATGCCGTGATACCTGTAGGTAGGATCTGTTGTTGGCAATTGCCAAGTCATGCCGTGATGTCTGTAGGTAAGATTTATTGTAGGCAATTGCCAAACCCTGCCGTGATGTCTGTAGGTAGGATCTATTGTTGGCAATTGCCAAACCCTGCCATGATACCTGGAGGTAGGATCTATTGTTGGCAATTGCCAAGTCATGCCGTGATGTCTGTAGGTAGGATCTAACGTAGGCAATTGCCAAGTCATGCCGTGATGTCTGTAGATAGGATCTAATGTAGGCAATTGCCAAACCCTGCCGTGATATATGTAGGTAGGATCTATTGTTGGCAATTGCCAAGTCATGCCGTGATGTCTGTAGATAGGATCTAATGTAGGCAATTGCCAAACCCTGCCGTGATATCTATAGGTAGGATCTAATGTAGGCAATTGCCAAGTCATGCCGTGATGTCTGTAGATAGGATCTAATGTTGGCAATTGCCAAACCCTGCCGTGATGTCTGTAGGTAGGATCTATTGTTGGCAATTGCCAAGTCATGCCGTGATACCTGTAGATAGGATCTAATGTAGGCAATTGCCAAACCCTGCCGTGATATCTGTAGGTAGGATCTATTGTTGGCAATTGCCAAGTCATGCCGTGATACCTGTAGGTAGGATCTATTGTTGGCAATTGCCAAGTCATGCCGTGATGTCTGTAGGTAAGATTTATTGTAGGCAATTGCTAAACCCTGCCGTGATGTCTGTAGGTAGGATCTATTGTTGGCAATTGCCAAACCCTGCCATGATACCTGTAGGTAGGATCTATTGTTGGCAATTGCCAAGTCATGCCGTGATACCTGTGGGTAGGATCTGTTGTTGGCAATTGCCAAATCATGCTGTGGTGTCTGTAGGTAGGATCTAATGTAGGCAATCCCTGCCGTGATACCTGTGGGTCGGATCTAATGTTAGCACTTGTCAAATCATGCCGTGATATCCGTAGGTAGGATCTAATGTAGGCAATCCCTGCCGTGATACCTGTGGGTCGGGTCTAATGTTAGCACTTGTCAAATCATGCCGTGATATCCGTAGGTAGGATCTAATGTAGGCAATCCCTGCCGTGATACCTGTAGGTCGGATCTAATGTTAGCACTTGTCAAATCATGCCGTGATATCCGTAGGTAGGCTCTAATGTAGGCAATCCCTGCCGTGATACATGTGGGTCGGATCTTTGTTAGTCAAATCCCGGCGTGGTGTCTGTTGGTCAGATCTTGGGTAGGCAAACCCTGGCGTGGTACCTGTGGATCGGATCTTATGTACGCAAATCCTGTGGGGATACCTATGGATCGGACCTGGAGTAGGCAAATTCTGCCGGGATGTTTAAGGATCAGATCTAGAGTAAGCAAACCCTGTCGGGATTTCTGCAGATCGGACTTAAAATAGGCAAATCCTGTCGTGAAATCTATGTTTCGGATCCGGATTAGGCAAACTTTGCCGGTGTGTATAAGATCAGATCAAGTGTAGGCCTATGCAAAACCTGTCGTCAGGTGTTTGGATCGGATCTTGAGTAGATTAATTACTGATAGACTCTCCATGCTCCGGTAACGATGCAAATCCTGCACGAACCCATAAAGCAGGTATAGTTCATCCCATGTTTATTCTGTTGACATGTGAATTTCCCTTCAAGTTCTTTCAACCGGATTTCAACAAAGATGACATTTGTTGGCCGACGCGAGAGCCCACGCGAGTGTGTTTTCCTGTTTGCCTAGATACAAATCCTCCTACACACACGTGGTAAACCACAGACCGCCCCACGGTCAGACGAGGTGTCGGTTTTATCCTTTATGTCCTCGGCTGAAATCTCACACGACTTGATGTGTGTGCTAGATCCTCCGCCTTAACAAGAACATTGTTTTGATGTGTTATACATAAAACACACGGCAGATCACCATGAACATGTGTTAGATACGACCGATCACATCTCATAAGTCGATTTGAGACAGAACATTCTTGGGATATTGCTATATTTATTCCCCCCATATTGCAAGCAGAGTCATATTTAATATGAACGACAGGCAACTGGGAATGTTCCTCCCCTTTGAGCGTCTATCGAGTTCCATGTAACCCTATACATTGCTCTGTTGATGGACTCTTTCTTCACGGCGGAGGGATCTGTCGGTGAGGGAGTGCTGCGGCCCGGGTCAATGGCTATTTGCCTATGCTAAACATAGCTGCGAGAAGCAGGCTGCATAATCAAGCATGGGGCTTATGGATTAATTTACAATTCTGTGAGTATATATATATCTCCCATAATTAGAAAGGTAGAGTTTGGTCTGTTTCTTACAGCATTCGAACGATCTTGTTTAAGATCATAGCCATTTCCCGTTGTAATGCGCGTAGCAGACGACTGTGAGGTGATATGGCAGATATCCCATGGCATCGCAGACAATATCTGTGTGAGCACAAACGAGATCGAACATTCTGTACGCGCGGCATCCACATATATTTACACAATTTGAGAGAAATGGCGGTGTTTTGATGATTTCAGTGAATATTTTACCGTTATCGGGGGAGAACGGGGTGTGAAAGGTCTCTGTATTTACATACTTCAGGACACGGCCCAATGATCACAGTAACAATGCCTGGCTGAGCGCAGCACGCGCGATACAACATTGTTACAACATACATCATTGTTTACATTGTTAGATGATGGATGTGGAGATGTGATATATTTCTTATCACATGTCTTATATTTACCGGGGTATGACAGCTCAAACACATTTTATGGGGCCAGTTGGTATGTAATCAATAGACATCTATGTTATAAGTATGGTGCTAGCCAGAGATCGCACAGGGTCTTTGTTAACAACAAAGAGGGAAGGGTTTTGTAAAACCGACTCATTACGCACTAGTTCCAACCCATAGATTACTCATATACCCAGGAACTCAGAAAATGCATTTTGTTGTGTACATATCTGTGTCTTATCTATATTTGATGAGAGTGGTATGTGTGTTATTGGCTGGGATACATAATCTCACTGTTCCATTCAGTTCTTGAGTTATCATCTGTTCGACAGTGTGTAGTGTTGCGTAACCGTATCATGTAACTAATGGTGGTAATTAGGCCATTATGTATTACATGGTAAATGCAGATTATTGTATATCTAATGGTATAACCAATGTATACATTACACATCACATGCCCAAACCAAGATATGGTTATCTGATAATAAAACCTTGCTGTTCATTGTTTATGTCATCCTAAAACCTAGATATATTATAACTTATGATATAACCTACAGGTATTCATTACATATGATTCAGTTCAGATGTGGATCCACTGGTATAACTATCAGTTATTCATTGCATGTCACATGCTATAACTTAATTATTCTATATCTGATGGTATAACCTAGGTAATGATTATCCATCATATACTTCACAATGTATATCAGCTATGTGGAATATCCTTGGTATTCATTACGTATCACATGCCACTATTAGATATCTTATATCTGATGGTATAACCTGGGTAATGATTATCTATCATATACTTCACAATGTATATCAGCTATGTGGAATATCCTTGGTATTCATTACGTATCACATGCCACTATTAGATATCTTATATCTGATGGTATAACCTGGGTAATGATTATCCATCATATACTTCACAATGTATATCAGCTATGTGGAATATCCTTGGTATTCATTACGTATCACATGCCACTATTAGATATCTTATATCTGATGGTATAACCTGGGTAATGATTATCCATCATATACTTCACAATGTATATCAGCTATGTGGAATATCCTTGGTATTCATTATGTATCACATGCCACTATTAGATATCTTATATCTGATGGTATAACCTAGGTAATGATTATCTATCATATACTTCACAATGTATATCAGCTATGTGGAATATCCTTGGTATTCATTACGTATCACATGCCACTATTAGATATCTTATATCTGATGGTACAAACTAGGTAATGATTATGTATCACCTGCCTCAGACAAGATATATAATTGATGGAAAATCCTAGATACAGAGGAACAGATAAGCTGCGTATCTGCGTAAATTACGCAAATATTTATGTGAATACTCAATTCCAGTTAAGTCTAATGCGTACAAGTACGCTTGAATGTTTGCAAATACTAAATAAAGTTGATGTTACATACGTACACACAAAAATAGATAAATATCTGAGGTATGTTGAGAGGTTCTATTTCAGCACATGAACTTGGCAACTTGCAGTCTTTCTTGTCGTTCCTCATATTACATATCAAATTTAATAACAAACACGTAAACCAACATTTAAACATTTTTACAATTAATGGAAAATGGCAAAATACCCAACCGAGTTTGAGTGAGGCAGGTACAATTTACTTGGTTACTCAAAGGAAAATTAGGATACCCAATTGGGATGAGCACAAGCGAGTACATAACTCAATGACACAAAAAGTTATCTGTAGTTCTGTAGATATTCCTTATGTCACATGCAACAGCCTAGATATGATATGTCTGATGATACGACCTACTTATTCATTACATATCCGATGGTGTAACTGAAGTACAAATATCTGATTGTATAACAAATCCATTATTGTTCACTTGATACTACCTGGATATTCAGTGTATATCAAATGAAGGAACCAAAATATATATATTTCTAATTGTGTAACCTAGGTTTTGTTAGGTATTGCATGCTACAACTTTGGTATGATATATCAGATTATATAAACTAGATGGTCATTTCATATCACAAGCTTCAACCATGAGATGGTATAACTTAGGTATTCTTATGTATCAAGACTTCAACCCAGATGTCATATATATCAGATTGTATACACTAAAGAGACAGATCTATGACTTTCAAACATGGGTGGTTGAGTATAATACCCAAGTGAAAAGGTCAATTGGCTGAGAGTGAGAGTGCAGTTAGACATGTAAGAAGTCTGACAAGATGTGCTGGATTGGCCAGTGACCTAGGTATCCATCAGTAGACACAACTCAAAACTAGTTCATTGTATTTAGTTTCCACAAGATCTGAGGTAGGGTGTGGCCTTGTGCCTGGGGCCCAAGTCACAAGTCAGTTGAAGTTACGCAACGTTTGTCACGGAGAATCCTTGGATGGGTAAAAAATCTTTGAAAGCTTGTCTCCTGAGAGATTTTAGAACTTCTGTCCTGCCCCACAACACATGACACTTGTGGTCTTACTGTAGGCAAATGCGTTTGTTCAATATTGGCTCTGTTCACCAGCAGAAAATGGGTACCTGGTGGGATAAGTCTGATGAGTATTAACCTAGCACCTCACAGGCAGCTTGGGTTATCCAGGTAATAATGTGCTGTATGCGCTTGAGGCATGCCCATGCAGCATGGAGTATAGGAGCAGTGTGCTAAATAGTTTCTAAATTTTGCTAGCCAGTCAGGCCAGCCATGCCTTAAAGTTGCTTGCCCACAAAATAATTCAGTAGCCCGAAATTTGAATGTAGAAACTAAGCAAAAGATTGCAAAAATAAATGAGAATAAGGTATTGTCGGCATGACACAGGTTTCATCATTAAGCTGCTAATATGATGATCATTTTTATCAGGCAATAATCTTGCATGATTTAAAAGTGTATTATAACTTAACAAGTCAGAGAGAGTCATATATTTACAAAATGACCCCATTAAAATTAACTAGCCAGTCGGGCCAGTGATTGTGGAGATTTACTGTCCTGAGTGGATTTTTACTAGCCAAGGGGCTAGCGGGCCAGTGGCTATTTCGCACACTGTATAGGAGGCCTTATTAATGTCTGTAAATGAGATAAAATTGTGTTGGACCTGCTGGTACATAAGTTGATAGTCTGGCTCCTGAAGCATGGTGTGATGGCTGGTGTGTATCAGGCAGCAGACAGACACTTCCTCAGTGGCAGATGCTCTTGTAAGGGCAGACCCTTTGCTGAAGTCTTCACTGATTGTCAGTGATCAATTCTCATAGTTTTCACCACTATTTTGCTGTTTACACCCAATAGAATCTTTCATCTGAAATTCTTTTCGCTGGCGTTGCCATTTTTATTTATATATCACTTAATCAGGGTTTTATCTTGCCCTACAAAACTAGGTTGGTTGGTTGATAGGTTGTTGTTTAACGTCATGCTCAGCAGTATTCCAGCTATATGGCGGCGTTCTGTAAATAATCGAGTCTGGACCAGACAATCCAGTGATCAACAGCATGAGCATCGATCTGCGCAATTGGGAACCGATGACATGTGTCAGCCAAGTCAGCCAGCCTGACCACCCGATCCCGTTTGTCGCCTCTTACAACAAGCATGGGCTACTGAAGATAAATTTTTCTGCATCCATTCTAGACATTTGTGCATGCAGGATACACATACATACATACCCTTCTTGATACATCGTATTGAACCTAAATGTCAAGAGATTCATGTTGGGTGCACACATTCCTGTGGTATAAATGATGTATTTCACAGTATGTCAGTTTTGTCACTTCACATTTTTGATATCACATAAATATGATCCAGGTATTCTTGGCATATCTGCTTATACAATATTTATAACAAAACAGTTGCAGTGTTTCTCCATCAGGTCATGCTCTCCTCACAACTGGTCTTGTTTCTCCGTCAGGTCATACTCTCCTGACAATTAGTCTTGTTTCTCCATCAGCTCATGCTCTTCTCACAGCTAGCCTCGACTCTCCATCAGGTCATGCTCTTCTTGCAACTGGTCTTGTCTCTCCATCAGGTCATACTCTCCTCACAACTGGTCTTTTGTTCTCCATCAGCTCATGCTCTTTTTGCAACTGGTCTTGTCTCTCCATCAGGTCATACTCTCCTCACAACTGGTCTTGTCTCTCCATCAGGTCATGCTCTTCTTGCAACTGGTCTTGTCTCTCCATCAGGTCATACTCTCCTCACAACTGGTCTTTCGTTCTCCATCAGCTCATGCTCTTTTTGCAACTGGTCTTGTCTCTCCATCAGGTCATACTCTCCTCACAACTGGTCTTGTCTCTCCGTCAGGTCATGCTCTTCTTGCAACTGGTCTTGTCTCTCCATCAGGTCATGGTCTCCTCACAACTGGTCTTGTCTCTCCATCAGGTCATGCTCTCCTCACAACTGGTCTTGTCTCTCCATCAGGTCATGCTCTTCTTGCAACTGGTCTTGTCTCTCCATCAGGTCATGGTCTCCTCACAACTGGTCTTGTCTCTCCATCAGGTCATGCTCTCCTCACAACTGGTCTTGTTTCTCCATCAGGTCATGTCTCTTCACGATTATTCTTTTTCCATCCGTGCTCCAACTACTGTTCTAGCATGAATTAGCAAAGGTGACATTTGTAAGTGAAGCTGGACTTACTCTGCTGTTATTATTCAGAGGGGTTGTCAAGGAATTGTTGGGAGCAACTGAACATGCTAAAGGGATTACCATCCTGGCTCTCTGCAAACATTGTGTTTGTGGGAGAATATAAGTGTTTATCTCTGGCTGCACAGGCTGAGCTCTAATTGGCTATTGTTGGACCATTATGGCACATTGAACATTGGTACTAATAACGATTATTGGTAATAACGCCTTGATTTGCCAGTTGATGTGTAATTTCTCTACCCACAGATGATAATGGACTGAGTTAGACACAAGTGCTATATAATGAAGTGGAACAATGGAACCAGTCTATTTGATGCATTGGGATGGTAGGATAAGCTGAGAGATTTGAAGGAAGGAGATAAGGTAAGTCTACCTTTAAGAGGATATCATATAAGCATTTTGTATACAGACAGGGTGTTATACATTTGTTATGACTTGGGGTATTATATATATGTAATAACATATATTATAAATTTAAAAACCACACTTACAAGTGTGAAAAATCTTACAAGTGTGTAATCCTGTCATTATTCTCAACTCCCTGGGGTGTATACTAATGGTTTAAGCGTTCGCTTGTCACGCCGAAGACCCGGGTTCGATTCCGTCAAATTCTCCACTTGGGTACAATGTGTGAAGCCCATTTCTGATGTCCCCTGCTGTGATATTGGTGAAATATTGCTAAAAGCGGCGTAAAACTAAGCTCGCTCACTCACTGTATACAAACAACCCAAGCTGCCTATGGATGGAAGGCTTTTACTTCCAAATCACTGGGTAACCACCAGGGTGACCCCACGCTTTTTCCCATGTGTGTTTTGGGTGTATATAAATGTATTTGTGTTTTACAATATATACATACCTTGAAAATACATAGTGTTATATCTATTGTTAGTGTACGTATCTCCTCTCATTATCAAATAGAATATTTCGGTGATTACCTCCCATCATACACTGGTTGTACAGGAAGTCGTGTCAAGGTTCAGCAAATCGGCACTGTTTTGCCATACATAATCATTGTGAAACAAAAGTGTATCTGACATTTATCATCAAATGGGTCATGAATGGACTAAATTGTTGAAGCAATTCTCTGTCTGTATACTCATGTAACTAGATTTGAAGAAAACCTATGGGTATTGAGATCTGATACAAATGTTTGTGTATTTTGGAATGATGCCACATCCTGGATCATTTAAGTGGGATATATTTTGTTTATTAATTTTTAAGGAAAGGTCTTCAAACTCATTTACACACCCTTCCTTCTCTCATTCTGTGTGTTATGTTTACTGCACATGGTGTCAGGGTGAAACGCAGCATTCATTCTCTTGCTGCGTGATACGAATTTACTGCACATGATGTCAGGGTAAAACGCAGCATTCACTCTCTTGCTGCGTGATACGAGTTTACTGCACATGGTGTTTGGGTGAAACGCAACATTCACTCTCTTGCTGCGTGATACGAGTTTACTGCACATGATGTCAGGGTGAAACGCAGCATTCACTCTCTTGCTGCGTGATACGAGTTTACTGCACATGGTGTTTGGGTGAAACGCAGCATTCACTCCCTCACTCTGACATGAGTTTACACTGCACAGATGTGAAGATAGTCCACAGTATACACATTGTAACTGTGTGATAAGAGCTAATAGCACAAGGAGGCCAGGGTATGACACAATATTTAATTTCTCACTTGAGTTTGCTGTACATGGATGTGAGGGTATAAGTACTATAACAGCGATCACGATCTCACTCTGTGTGATACAGATTTACTCGGATGTGAGGGAGTTAAGCAGAATAATTGTCCCCGCATGACTTCCTGGCTTGCAATGGGATTGCAGTGGTTGACATTTCGAGATTGGGATTAAACTGCGTGTGATGTTGCCTGGCATTTGATTTGGTGCATTCGAGTTATTTCTGCTCTTACTCAGATTTGGCTTCCGTCAAACAGATGTTGTTGAGTCCTGGTGTCCCCTGCTGTGTCTCAGTTGATATAGTTATGCGATCCTCCAGTCAGCAAGCACTGAGAACTCATACACATGGTGCCCTGGTGTATCATGTGCTATATCTCTCTATCTGTATCTGTAACTTTCTCTCTCTCTCTCTTTCTCTCTGTCTCTCTCATTCTGTCTGTCTTTCTCCATCTGGGACGGTGGGGTAGCCTAATGGTTAAAGCGTCCACTCGTCACGCTGAAGACCTGGGTTCGATTCCCCACATGAAATACAATATGTGACACCCATCTGTGGTGTCCCTTGCCGTGATATTGTTGTAATATTGCTAAAAGCGGCATAAAACTAAACTCACTCACTCTCTCTATCTCTCTGTGTCTCTCTATCTCTGTCTTTCTGTTTCTTTCTGTCCCTCCATTCTCTGTCTGTCATGCTTTATCTCACTGTGTCACTATACTCACTATACCTAATATATCTGCTATACCTAACATGTATATATTTCTCTGTCCTGTTATTTCTTAGTTTGTCCTTACAGCTGTGTCACAATATCCTGCTGTAGAGGTGTGATATAGCTGTTATAGTATAGACTGCTCCTTAGTTACAGTTCCTTAGTTACCGTTCCTTACTCTTGTTTCAGATGGTGAGATGATGCATCAAGGATCTGAGCAGAGTAATGTCTGCGTGTTCCGAGTTTACCCAGAATGCTTGGCGCCGTGACCTTTGCGCCAACTGCCAGCGAGCACGTGCTGACCACACTGGAAGTTTCCACCGAAGTAACTCCGCCAAATCCTCCCCTGTCCCCAGCAAACGCACATCAGTCATCCTCAAGGCCACCTCGCAGCACATAAATGGGGTCAAAGTTGAACCCGGAGATTGTATCACAATAACCTCAGCGGACATAGAGAACGCCAACTCGAAGCTGAGCAAGAACGATAGGAACAGTTCCTGTGATAGGACAAAGTTCAAGAACAATGAGAATCACAACAGTAACCTGCTCCAAGATGAGAACCCACCCAGAGTAGTCCGCCTTGTTGGTAGGCACGGCAACAGGTCAAATCCAAGGAAGGGTGTGCTGGTAAAGTCGGTCGCCCGCCACCAGAGTCGCAGTGGACACGTTGTGTTCACAGAAGCTGAACCAGACGTGATTGGTTACGACGGTGGATTAGATAATATCCTTGACGATGAAGTTGACTCTCAATGTGAAGGTCACTCATCCAGTGATGAGATGTCCTTCACTGAGGAAGAGAAACAGAATGCTCTGCTGGCACTTGAAAACATGATCTGGAATGCTGACATCCGAAACCTTAAAGGTAAGACAAAACCCAACCCCAACACACCACACCACCCTCTGCCTGACCCAATCACAGGCAACAATACCTTATGCCTTATCAGATGACTGCCAGCAGGCCTTGCCCATCTTCCATCTCCTTCTTCTGTGATTTTCTTTCTCTCTAGGTGAAATGTTGCCAAGCAGTACAATCTTTGACAATTACTTAATACCCTGCCATGGGACCAAGCAATGGCTGTCCCTTACTGAACCAGGTGACAAACCCTTCTTCTCAACAATGGACCTTTCAACACTAGTATCGTACCCTGACAGGCTACAAGCCCCTCCCCCAACATGGGACCTACCCACACCCATACCCTACCCAACCGGGTGACAAGCCCCTCCTCCAACATGGGACCAACCCACAACCATACCCTACCCAACCAGGTGACAAGCCCCTCCCCCAACATGGGACCCAACCCACAGCCATACCAACCAGGTGACAAGCCCCTCCCCAATGTGGGACCAACCCACAACCATACCCTACCCAACCGGGTGACAAGCCCCTCCTCCAACATGGGACCAACCCACAACCATACCCTACCCAACCAGGTGACAAGCCCCTCCCCCAACATGGGACCAACCCACAACCATACCCTACCCAACCAGGTGACAAGCCCCTCCCCCAACATGGGACCAACCCACAACCATACCCTACCCAACCGGGTGACAAGCCCCTCCTCCAACATGGGACCAACCCACAACCATACCCTACCCAACTGGGTGACAAGCCCTCCCCCATGGGACCAACCCACAACCATACCCTACCCAACCGGGTGACAAGCCCCTCCTCCAACATGGGACCAACCCACAACCATACCCTCCTACCCTACCGGTGACAACCCAACGGGTGACAAGCCCTCCCCAACATGGGACCAACCCACAACCATACCCTACCCAACCGGGTGACAAGCCCCTCCCCAACATGGGACCAACCCACAACCATACCCTACCCAACCGGGTGACAAGCCCCTCCCCCAACATGGGACCAACCCACAACCATACCCTACCCAACCGGGTGACAAGCCCCTCCCCCAACATGGGACCAACCCACAACCATACCCTACCCAACCGGGTGACAAGCCCCTCCCCTAACATGGGTCCAACCCACAACCATACCCTACCCAACCGGGTGACAAGCCCCTCCCCCAACATGGGACCAACCCACATCCATACCCTACCCAACCAGGTGACAAGCCCCTCCCCCAACACGGGACCTACCCACACCCATACCCTACCCTGTCCCTATAAAGGGACTCTTCATCAGTTGACCTCTTTTATCATCAATATGAGACACTAATGAGGTATATCTTTTTTGCCAGATTCTGCTACCAGCAAAAAGGGTCCCAGCAAGGAGTTTGAAGATCTTGACCTTCAGCTACTGTGTCGACCTGACCGGTTCCACACCCTCCGAGACTGTGACGCTTCTTTCAAACATGGGACGTTCCCCGTTCGTACCAAGCCAAGCCTTTCCAAACTGTCGGTGGAGGAGCTGTTCAACTCAGACATAGAACTGCACCGGATTGCGGACACTATGTGTGATAGGGCTGACAGTGAATCCTCGGGCTCAGAGCAGTACAAACAGACAAGTATAGACAGAGTGAAGTCGCTGCCTGCATCATCTGCCTCTTCGTCAGACAGCGACAGTAAAGCATCTGACGACAAGAAGTCAGTTTCTGTGGATGTGGAAGAAGAAAGTGACGTAACAATGCCATATAAAATAGTGAACATTATTCCAAGACACACTCCAAAGCCGTATGTAGTTCCAAAGGAGAATGCTAAGTCATACACTCTGGATGATATTGAGGAGTGTCTGTATGGATCTCAGTATGAATCCACCTCTGGACCTGAGCCCAAACAGGAAGTACTTTCTGCTGGGAAAGAGGAAGAATTCAGCTCTTCTGTGAAAGAGGAAGAGAAGAAGAAGGATGGCAACACCTCTTTCTCAGACACAGACAGCACTATTGCTGGATTGGAGGTGGTAGAGCTACTTAATGATGTGTTGGCTAGCTATGGTGAGATTGAGAGTAAGTACAGCGACTTTAGATACAGCCCTCGCCAGCCATTAATAGAGGCGAAGGCTGGCAGCAGTGCAGGGGAATCTGGTGCTAAAGATACCGACAGCAATACTGACGCCCGCAAGGATAAGTTGAAAAAAAATGCTGACTTTGAGAAGCGAATGGCTTCTGTGGCAGCTAACCTTGACCTGCAGAAGTCGCGAAAATCTCGTCAGGCTCCACGACCTCCAAGTTCTCCTCCCCCAGAACCGCAGGTCTCGCCCACACGGAAACTAGCCAATCAGACGGAGCCCAACTTTAAGATGGTGACAATGGGGAAGTCCATAGTGACCCCTCCACAGCTGGAACCTTTGATAGCACCGAAGGCTGTGAGTGAACCAACTATAGGCCTGGATGAGCAAGATGCCCTTGACCTTCGAGTCGGCTGCAAGTCGGCAGATATGGTGAAGGCAAAACGTGGTGGTTTTACTTCATTCTTTAAGAACATTCTGCGTCGTGGGAGGGATTCTTCCGAACTGCCTGTTGAAAGTAGCAATCCAGATATTACCTTCGCAAAGCCAGAATCCAAAACTGATGTGATGTCCTCATCCATGATAGAGATCAGAGATTTGAAGGAGGATCAGCCACCAGCCTCACCGGCAGAGAAAAGAACTGCAAAATTTTCTCCACAGCCCAAATTCCGAGTGTTGCCGCCTGCAACCCCTCCCCCAATGAGCCCCCCTGTCATTTCCTCCTCCAGTCCAGCACTGGACCATAAGGGCTCCATTGAGGACCGCTTTGAAGGTGCTATGCCAAAAGCTGCCCCCAGTTCCCCGTTACAACATAAAAAGGGAGTGTCTAGTCCCAAACTACGAATGAAGAAAGACCCAGAGAAATCCTCTCCGATCATGCAGAGGGCAGCTGCAACCAAAGACGATACACCTACAGTCCTTCCACAGCTTCCAGCCAATCCCCCTACCACGAAACCGAAGACAGACTTCACCTCCCATACACTCCCTCGTGACCACGGGAGGTCCCGCGACACCACATCTACAACCACCACTACATCCACAATGTCAAGGTCGCATCAGACCTCCACTTCCTCCCCTGCCCCGAAACCCATTCCCCCACAGGTTCCCATTACCCAGCCAGGGGCCAAACCTCCTCCTCCTCCCCAGCATGGGACCAAACCACAGGTGCCTCCCAACCCACCACAGACGAAACCACAACTACCATCCAAGCCTCCTGGGTCGGGCGGGGAAGAGTCTGGGGTGGTTGTCCGAAGGAGACCGAAGAGTCCAAAGAAGGGTGCTCCCCCTCAACCACCCACTCGTACGTCAGTTCCTGCTCGGATGACAGATGCAAGGAATCCCGACTTTGCTCGGGAGTTGGAGCGAAGGTTAAGTCGGTCGACTGAAGGAGCGCCATCTATACGAGACAGGAAGTCATCAACCCAGGGGCCACCATCACCAACATCGCCTGTTCCAGAGCTTGATGAATCCATGCCCACCTCACCCACCACACTGGAAAAGCCAGAGGAAGTAAAGAAGGTAGGATGTTCTTGTATTTAATGTATGTGTTGGACAGTCCTCGACACAGTATTTCTTTCTCTGAAGTGCCGATGCTAACTGTCTCTGGATCAAGGTAGGATGGTCTGGTAGGTAGATGTGAGCAAATCTCAGATACAGACACAAATTGTTTTGGAGGACCATACTGGATGCAAGTGTTTTTCATAGTCTCAAGTACCCGTGAAGTTCCAGGTTAGAATAATGATCTTCAGTAACCCATGCTTGTCGTAAGAGGCGACTAACGGGATCAGGTGGTCAGGCTCTCTGACTTGGTTGACACGTGTCATCGGTTCCCAATTGCGCAGATCGATGCTCATGCTTTTGATCACTGGATCGTCTGGTCCAGACTTGATTATTTACACACCACCGCCATATAGGTGGAATATTGCTGAGTGCGGCGTACAACTAAACTCACTCACTCATAGTCTCAAGTACTGATGCTAAGAGAAGATATGGACCACCTTTGTGGACTTTTGGAGTGAGTGAATTTTAGTTTTACGCTGCATTTAGCAATATTCCACCAATATCACGTCAGGGTCACCAGAAATGGGCTTCACACATTGTGCCCATGTGGGGAATTGAACCCGGGTCTTCGGCTTGTTGAGCGAACACCTTACCCCACCGCCCAGACTTTTGGATAGAGAGCTGAAGATCAGTGGCTGTTCGTCACTATATAGGTGCAATAATCTTAAAGAACAAATAAACTTTTGTTTTTTGTACTCTTTTAACCACTACATATGAAAGACGTGTGGTTAATCTTAAGCGGAACACCAAATTCGTTCTTAAAAAACTTGTGGTTAATTAATACCGAGCGATTAAAAGTTGCCAAAAAGTCGCCTGCTTCACTCTATATTTCGTCTTATAATCCTAATTAGTACTTTATTATACTTGTATGCATTTTGCAACTTAATAAAAAACAGGCGATCTGCTGATACTAATAGTGAATTTATAACAGGACTGTAATATCTAGAAATTTCATAGTTTGCCAATGTGAATCATAATTCGCACACACGCCCTTGTGTGTGTTTTCTGTCTCATTACACTTCATGGCGAAAATAATGATTCTGTTGCATGCTACGACAAATGAATAACAACAAAATGCAAATATTAAAACTAAAACAGATTAAAGTTATAGGAACAGTGTCAGGCTATTACCTTGTTCAAGGAATGTATCCACCAATATCCACATAAACAAGTGATATGCCATTCATCTGCAGCTGTTCCAAGTGATGTGTCTTTTAACAGTCTAATATGCGAAAAAGTGATATATTGTTTCAGGTATTTCACATTGGTGTATTGTCTCAATGGTCACCCAAGGTTGCACACCTGGCAACTAATTGCATAATGTCTGCCATTCTTTAAAGAAAAGTAACTTAGTTAGCCAATAATGAGCAATCAATCAATGTACTGGCGGTTAATCCTTTGAAAGAAGGACGTTGTTTTAACACAAACACTTTGCGACAGAGTGTATTCAGTATAGTGGGGCGGTGGGGTAGCCTAGTGGTTAAAGCATTGGCTCGTCACGCCGAAGACCCGGGTTCGAATCCCCACATGGGCACAATGTGTTAAGCCCATTTCTGGTGTCCCCCGCCGTGATATTGCTGGAATATTGCTAAAAGCGGCGTAAAACTAAACTCAGTCAGTCAGTCAGTCAGTATTCAGTATAGATTAGTAAATCTACATACATAAACACTACCTTTTGACAAATCCGCTGTGCAAGATGAAAGTAATTAATCAATCAGCGTGTTATCGGTTAATCCTTTGATCGATGTTTGTTTTGTAACTCGGCTGATAATTCTTCTGGGAACCTTTGTCGGGTAATCTTAGTGGTGTTAACACTAATTATACCTGTTATAAATTCATTTACTGACCATCAAGTGAATGATGACATAACGTGTAGGTTTATACCACCTAACACGGGTTACAACAAGGGAGTATTAATTGCTGTATTGCATGTAAAAACTTATGGGCCGACAATATTTTGAGAATACGAAGAGAACTTCAGTGTTGCATAAGAAATACACATAAGCATTGGCTGTGTGCTAAAACTGTATGTACCTATTTACCTAAGTACATTTTCAGATTCTTCTAGCAATGGCAAATTGGGGTTGTTTAGTTTACGGATTCAAATAAATCAAATGTAAATTTTAAATAATCATACGTAATGGATGCCTTTTTTTACATGACATGATTAAATATCGAGGTAAAAAACCACACAGAAATGGGATCAATTTGGATCAGTCATTATACCATCCAGGCATTAGAAAACGTGAAAAAGCCCACACTGCTTTGATACTTTATTACAATCAGACAAGAACTACCGGGGATATGTTCAAATAACGGCATCTGATGGGCATCCACCCTTCCTAATGTCACACTGTTTAGGTTGAAGAAATCAACTGTAACCGTGATGAGCGAGGCTGTCATCGTTTTCACTATCACTAGCATCTGGCTCGAACAAATAAGGCCTAGCGACTCCAAGCGATTTTGACAGAATCGTCTATGAAAACAAGTAACTTGGAAACAAGGCAAAGCAGGTGACAAAACTAAATGACAGTAGATTGTGAGACATATAACTTTCATTTTTCACAACAATTGTTACGATTTCAGGTTTATACTAACCTGTAAACAAGATAATTTACCCCCTGAAATGTACATGAATAATGCATCTGCCCTTATATCTATTCCTCACATGACGTCATGGAGACGAGCCCCTCTGATTGGTTGAAATTCGTTCGCGGGAAAGAATTGTGCACTGTTGTCAAAAAGGTCAATTTAAGTTAATTAAAGATCGAAATGAGTAGTTTTAATGACTGGGGTTCATTTATAACTATACCAATGAGTGATTTATGTATTTGTACCCCCCTAGAGTATATGTGATCTTTAAGATCCCATTTCACCTCAGAAGGTTGGTGCCCAAAATATTATGAAATCTGTAACTGCTATTTTCAACACTCTACTTAAATAATTGTGCTTTGGAAGTAAGTCTTATTCCATCATGGCTGCTTTCCATGTTTTGTAGTAGTTCCACTAAAGTCATTTTAAAGGGGGGCGTTGGGGTAGTCTAGTGGTTAAAGTGTTCGCTCGTCACGCCGAAGACCCGGGTTCAAATCCCCACATGGGTACAATGAGTGAAGCCCATTTCTGGTGTCCCCCGCCGTGATATTGGTGGAATATTGCCAAAAGCGGCATCAAAACAAACTCAGTCAGTCAGTCAGTCAGTCATTTTAAAGGATAATAGGGAATATTTACAATCAGTGTTCTCATGAATGATAGACTGCTTTCTCAAAAGAATTTTCAGTCTGGAAACCGTAAAACAAGTGTTAACCACTTTCCACTCTTGCACTTTCATAGTGTTCAGCGGCAATAAACATCAAACAAACAAACACATGTCACCAGATGTTCTGTAGATGAGTAACAATACTGTAGTGTTGTATATGACATATATCCTGATATGTGGGTGTGATACCATTCATATTCCACCTCACATCAATATTCAACAGTTTTATTCAACATGTATGTCATTTCAAGCATATCACTGCAGTACCTGTAGGACTAGTATCTAAGTCTAGCTCTCAACCTTGCCCTTTCAGTCTACCTTTTCTTTGTCTTTCTCCTACGGAGGAGTTATGCACCTTGATATAAATACCTCCAATCATATCCATTTTGTTGTTTGGAATTGCTGAGCTACGATGCAGAAGGTGCTATAAACTTGATAGTAATCCATATTATTATCCATATGTGAAACATAACCAGTGTCATATATATCATATGTGCGCATGTGCACATATGACTTTTGACAAGCAACCATTGTTTCTCTATTTCGTCGTCTGTGACGTCACTTAAACAACTGAACGTGACATCAATCGACAGGGCAGTCACACTTGCTTACCGTATTTTACTGCACACGACTTATACAAAACTCATGCAAAATTGTGTATTGCCCGATACTCGTTTCGTATAAGTCTTATGCAAACTTGCTCGTGTAATAATCGGTATTTACCTGTACTGTGTGTGATAGGGCAGAAAATTCAATAGTGATACTGTTCAAGATACTCTGTTTCCTGAACACCAATACAAGTTTTTGCCCTTTTAGAATGAAGATGACTCTCCACGGGAGAAGATCGAACTGCCAACTGCTGCTCCGATGAGCAGGAAGAGTTTTCTGGGCAAGTTGGGCAACAAGAAGGGTCGTGCTCCTCAGCCTCCTGCGTCGGTGAAGCGGGCCAAGTCCATCACGGAGTCCACACTACCACGCACTAACAAACAGAAGAAGATCAATGCTGCTGACATATCGGGGCCTGTGGTAACTATGGTTTCACCTTGCTTAGCTATTTCCATCCTCGATAATCTCCAGGGTATACGTTAAGATCACTCTCCACTATACCCTGGATGCATCCACGGCTTGGCCCCATAATTATATCACCTCCCTTTGCTGGCTCCGTATCTCACAGTAGCCAATCAGCTAAGCCGCCGTTACATCCGAGCTTGACAGTGTCAACAAAGATAGTGATCGCAGTCGTGAAGGTTTGTTCGCAGTGCCACTGAGATTTTTGGGGAAATAATACAGACAAAGTGACAGATCTGAAACTTTAAAAAAATATATGAAAGAACTCCTCCTCCTCTTTCAGAGTACCTCTGCATCAATTGTGTTGCCAAGTTTAAACGGTTAGATAATTTAAGTAGCGAAAGTGAGGTGTGATTGGTTCGCTCAACTTCCCAGCGTAGACACCTGATTGGATAAAAAGCCGGTCAAGGGAGGTAATATACTTATGGGGCCAAACCATGGATGCATCCAGGGTTTAGTGGAGAGTGATCGTAACGTATACCCTGGAGATTATCGAGGATGAGCTATTTCATGAGTCCAAGGATTCAAAATCTCTAACAGTGAATTTTTTAAATTGGTCCCAATCTACTTCAGTGAGTAAGTGAGTAAGTGAGTTTCATGTCACTTTTAACAATATTTCAGCAGTATCATGGCAGCCATGTGATAGGCGAACGCTTTATCCACTAGGTTACCCCATACCACCCCTCCCAAGTTACTGGCAATATGAAAAACTTAATATCATGCTTTGCCAGAAGTGATTTGACACATCCTCAGAGGGTGTTTATTTGAAGTTCCCAAAGGTTCAGTGAGTGAGTTGGGTTTTATGTTGCTTTTAGCAACATTCCAACAATATCACGGCTGGGGCCACCAGAAATGGGCTTCACTCATTGTACCTATGTGGGGTAATTGAATGTGTGTCTTCTGAGTGACGAGTGAATGCTTTAATCACTAGGCTACCCCACTGCCCCTCCCAATTTTACTGGTAGTGGGAGCTGGTGAAATATGAAATACTTAATACAGTACTCTGCCACAAATTAGTATGATGCTAAGACATGCTAAGAGGATGTTTAGTTGAAACTAAACTGAGCTCCCAAAGACGTAATACATACTGTGATGGGTGCGTGTATTCACAATATGCAGATTGATAGGCAGAGCTGAGTAATCAATCAATAATCGATTGTAATCGCAAACCCCAACGCAAAACTGAGGTCAAGACAATTGGGAATACTTCCTATTGAGGGGCGTGGGGTAGATGGTTAAAGCGTTGGCTTCGTCACTCTGAAGACATCGGTTCGATTCCCCACATGGGCACAATGAAGTCATTTCTGGCGATATTGCTGGAATATTGCTTCGGCGTAAAACTAAACTCAGTCAGTCAGTCAGTCCTATTGAGACATAAATGTTGTCTACACTGCACGAGTCAAGAAACTGGATCAGTTGTTTATGTCTTGATTTAACAAGCATAATGATAAAAACATACATCCTTGAGTTTCATTGGAGGTTTCATTTGTTAGGAACATCGATAGTCTGTGAAAATACACAATGCCATTTAGAAAGTCTGACTGACTGACTGAGTTTGGTTTTACGCCGCTTTTAGCAATATTCCAGCAACATCACGGAGGGGACACCAGAAATGGGCTTCATTTGTACCCATGATGATTCAACCCGGTCTTCGTCTGACGAAACGCTTTAACCATTAGGCTACCCCACGGCCCCCATTTAGAAAGTGGTCAAATGTAACATATGTTATATTTTGGATTACACTTTCTTTGTAAAGCACAGATTCTAGTACTAGTAGTCTCCTGAGCCCATTGATAACGAGATCGATAGATTGACCGGTTATTTGATCAATCACTCCAGCAATAGTTCTGACCTTCGAATCATCTCAATGATTATTGGGCCCTGTTATAACTAAGGTAGGTATTTTCTAGACTCAGATGCCAACATTTGGTCCCAAGTCTGCAGCAAGTAAATATTTCCAAATCGGATTTAAACATTTGGCACTTCATTATGTATGACTTGGAAATTCCCCCACCTACTTTAGCCATGACATGACCAATATGGTGGAAGAGGCTTAATGCTCAATTTGACGGGTCGGTGGCATGGCCTAATGGTTAAAGCGTCTGCCCTTCATGCTGAAGACCCAGGTTCAAATCCCCACATGAAATACAATATATGACACCCATTTTTGATGTTGCTTGAATATTGCTGAAAGCATCGTAAAACCATACTCATTCACTCAGTTTAACATTATTGCATTAACGAAACTTTAGAAATTTGGTGTTGAAATGACTCTGAATTCAGGAAATAATAACTGTAAAAGATCCTAATTCCGAACAAACTTATGACTTCAAAGGTTCTTAGTTTTGAATTCTAGATATATTATAAATTGTCGGGATGTTCTGAACTGTTCATCTGTTTTAGTTGGTGACTGACATGACGAACACGAAGATCCTGGAGAACCGTCGGAACACCATCTCACTAGGTGATGACCCAGCTTTTGCCTCGGGTTTGATGTTCAGTAAGGAGATCGGTTTCTCACAGCTCGTCCTCCTGTAGTTTGTAGAGATGGATGCAACCTTCCACCATAACCTGTAGATTCAGTAGACATTGTCATCTGCATACAAGCATTGATATTAAATTTGTCCTTTATGTTTCATCATAACCTGTAATGCAGCAGACATTGTTGTCTTTCTACAAGCATGGTTGATATATATTTTCCTTTATATCCTATCACAACCTGTAGATGCAGAAAGCAAATATAGAGATGAACATAACCTTGACTTGGATGATCGGTAGATCAAACCAACATCCTTTTTCTGAACTGATTTGTGGATTTGCCCTTTATATACAAGCATGGCTGATAGGTTTAGTTCGGGTTTTGCCATATGTTCCATCATTCCAAATAGGCTCAGTGGACATTATTCTATGTATACAGCCATAATTGTGATCGTAGTTTGTCTGTTATACTCCATCAATATAAATATGTGTGGTTGATCTGTCATGACCGTAAGATGCTACAGACATTGTCCTCTGTTGACAGCATGATTTATGAATTTTGTCGTTTATATACCATGACAACCTGAGTAACAGATGCAGCAGACATTGTCGTCTTTCTACAAGTATGGCTGATAGTTATTTTCCTTGATATTCCATCATAACCTGGTAAACATTGTCCTTTGTATGCAAGCATGGCTGATAAAGTTTGTCCTTTATATTCCATCATAACCTGTAGATTCAGTAAACATTGTCCTCTTTATACAAGCATGACTGATAAATTTTGTCCTTTATATTCCATCATAACCTGTAGATTCAGTAGACATTATCCTCTATATACAAGCATGGATGATAAATTTTGTCCTTTATATTTCTATTATATTCCATCGATTGATGAAGTTGACTTTATCGTCTGGACAGCATGATTTAATGTACCAACATAAAAAAATGAATTGTGTCTGCAACAGGCTGCCATTAAAGGAAACGCAAGTCCATAGTGAGGTGCCTGAACCTGAGCGTGAGGGTTCGAATCCCGGATGGGACTCAACCTAACAAAAGTACTAGAATCTGTTCTGAACTACGAAAGTGTAATCCCAAATAGAACATATGTTATGGCCACTTTCTAAATGGCATTGTTAATTCATGACGTTAAAGGACTTTAGTTCTTAATGTATAATCACGGAAACACTCTTTGACTAATCATCGCTGTGCAGACACAACTAATAATGACTGTATTGTGGAATAAATCAATCTCCATGATAGTGACTACGATAATGTGAGAAACTGATCGTCCTGAGCAAACATCTCTTCTTTTGTCTTATATGTGTCAGATTTTGAGTGCATAATCAATTTAAGATGCATATGTTGAATGTTAAAGTTGTAAGATAAAGGTAAGTATAAATTATCACCTCATGTTCTTTTGCAATATAAATGGTTACAAGACATGATTATTTCCCATTACAAATGTTTTAATGGTTAAGTAGGGAAATTATCTTGTGAAAGAAGTAATTTCATTGGTCTACCATAATGTTATACAACTAGGTTGTCAGTGTATAATCCCCTATATCATACCAACGTCTTATGCTGGTGTGTATTGCTCAACAGGTGGACCAATGTCATCATCTGTTAACATGGACAAGGAATTTGAGGATCTGAAACCTGATGCTCTCTCTCCATTGGGCTCTCTGGAGAATCTCTACGAGGCAATCCTGCCAAAGTTCGGAGGACGTCATGTCTACGATCCAATCACTGGCAATACTGTGACAACAATATGCCCAAACATTCCAGTTGAAGGTTACCTTGAGCCTGTGCCACCAGTTACTGCCACAGCAGGGACTGCGGCAAATCTCTTGACCCCCTCCATGACCTCGAGTATGTGTGCGTTGCCGTCAGCGATGACCTCCAGCATGATGGGGATGACGTCGAGCATGGTGGCGATGCCATCAACGATTGAAGAAGAGGATAGCCTGGGTGATCCGTTTGATGAAGATGCTGACATTGATGAATCAAGACAGATGCTTCTCGCCTCACAGCCCATTTACGAGGAAATCAATGGCTACAATAAGGTTGTCGATGATGATGCTACATCCATGGTGTCTACGCTGTCCCAGGTTTCTCAGACAACTGAGACTGATTTCCTCGCCCCTCCTGACAATGCAGGGCGCTCCCAATCCCGGGAAACTGTCTCTTCAGAGTCAGACACGACTTCCACTTGCAGTACCCTCTCCAGGCCCAAACCTGCCCCCAGACGGAAACCCAAGAAAGGTGATCGGTCTTCCTCGGAGCAATACGTGGCAATGAACCGACCTAATACGTCAGTAACATTGCGAGAGGACAAGCTTCGAGATCTACACAGTCGCTTGACGACGATGATGTTGCAGAGCCTCCAGGACATCTACAGTCAGGTTGAACGGCTGCTGTCACAAGAGAAGCTGTCGCTGCCAGCTCCCCACCAGCTCAAGTGGGGAGACTTTGACATTTATGGTCAGCCACTGCATGCTTCAGAAAGATGTATCGTCTATAATGCAAAGTTCAAGGTCAACAACTCCCCATGTCAACTTATGGTAAGTTGTAGATTTTAGTAGCAGTACTTTTCTCATTGTTTTGAATTTGAGTAAGTATTGGTCCCTAGAATGTCAATCTTGTCTCCTCAGAATTTGTCCCATCAGTATCTCAATGTTTTCCACTCCTCAAGATTCTGGGTTAAGATTGGTTCCCAGTATGTTTATGCACATACATGTCATAATATAGATCATACATCATACAATAGAAAACATAGATAACAGCTTTACATGTTGTCAAGAGATTTAACTTATGCATGTCATAACTGATATTACCAATTTGAGGGGCGGTGGGGTAGCCCAGTGGTTATAAAGAAGACCGAGTTCGAATCCCCACATGGGTACAATGTGTGAAGCCCATTTCTGGTGTCCCACGCCGTGATGTTGCTGGAATATTGCTAAAAGCGGCGTAAAAACAAACTCAGTCAGTCAGTATTACCAATTTGAACGTTATAAAGGAGATCGTAAATAGATACACTACCTGTAACTAACATTGTTATAACACCCAGTATATCATAATACACATGAACACCTTGTATGTCATAACATAGATATAACATATTGCACATGATATAACATGTATAACACCCTGTATGCCATAACAAAGATATAACACCTAGAATGTCAATATGGTCTCCTCAGTGGATCGGAATTTGTGTCCTGTCAGTACCTCGTGGTTTCCCCCTCACCTAGATTCTGGGTTAGGATTGGTCCCCATTACCTCAATGCACATATGTCGTAATATAGATATAAAACCATGTACATCATACAATAGGAAATCAGGATTCGATGTGAACATTTTTTACCACTGGGTATTAACATTTACTAGACCTGCCCTAATGTCAACTAGACCATACTGTTGGAAGACAAAACAAGGTTGTTTTTGTAATCAGGTCTAGTGCTGCCTTGAATAACAAACTATATTAAACACAAAACCATGTGATAATTGTTGTTTTCTTTTGTCCATTATGAATTCTGTATACCTTACCTTTTGATTTTTCTGAAGAATGTTTGTCACTAGAGGGTAGCTTTTAGAGTCTTTTTACATTTAGATATGCTTCGCAACAGTCTCTATTATACTCATTATAATAGATGATGCTGTGCAAGAGTTTTAAAAAGGAAAATAACAAATTCGGTGATTTGAAACTGTGTTTATTAAATATCTACACGAACAGTTGGGCTAACCAGACATGATTTTAACTAGACTGGTCCAGCTATTTACTGGACAATGTCGTTCAAACATGCCTTAGTGTTGAATCCTGGGAAACATAGATAACACCTATAACTGATTTGAACCATTCTGTACATGTCATAAAGAAGATCTAACACCCAATACTTCGTAGAAAGATATACTACCTGTACATGTCATAACATTGTTATAACACCAAGTATATCATAATACATTTGATCACCTTGTATGTCAAAATATAAATATAACATATTGTACATGATATAACATGTATAACACCCTGTATGCCATAACAAAGATATAACACCTACATCAAGTCATGACATGGATATTACACCTTGTATGTTATAACATAGTTATAACACTGCATGTTTTGTTTCAGCTCCTCCACTCACGCCCTGCGACAGAGAGCAGCACAGTGACCCATCCCAGCCTTCTGAAGCCAGCAGCCGTGTTCGCAGACACTATCCCTTTCTCTTTCCTCACGGAGGAGTTCATCAAGACGAGTCAGCTGGTACAGAACTCTGTGTATGACAGCAGCTTAGCTAAGTGTTTCTGTGCGGTGGGCAGCTTCGACATCATCGAGAGTCTGGACAGTCACTTGTCCCTGTTGAGGGAGACCTTGACTCACAATGCGGAAGTCTACATGAACGTCATCCTCTCCATGGCCCTACAGCTGCTTAGTGCCATGTCACACTGCTTAGACCAGGGATACACGGTCACCGAGACAGATTTCCGGGACATATTCCTCGTAACACGCAGCGACCTTCGGGGCAAGGTCATCACCTTCTTGCCACGGCAACGCTCACATGACGTCCACCAGGGTGAAGCCATGTGCCGATTCCTTGACAAGCTGTTGGACGATGCAATGACAGAACACCGAGCGGAAACGGAGAGCCCAGATACCCTGGACACGGTTGAGACCCTACAGGGCATGTTGCAGCCACGGAAGGTGGAATGTCTGGCCCAGGTTCGATCTGTGGTGGAGTACTTGCTGTGGGGACCGAGTGGGACTGACCCAAGCCAGAATGAACCAGGCAGGTCTGAACCTTCTGAAAACCCTGAAGACATGGAACAGGACCTGTCTCTTTGGCTTGAGAAGGAGAGGGCAAATCTTGTCACCAAGTTTGCCAAAAGTGTTTCTGGTTTTGTCAATGGTATTTCACTGGAGGAATACTACTGCTTGAAGTTTTTGTTGAAATCTAGTCCGACTAGCTTAGCGGACAGTGCCAGAAGACTTGCTCTGGAGTGTTAGCTGTTGCTGAAGCTGTATCATGCAGCAGTGTTGCCATGGTGACAAGAATGGTCAATGTTGATGAGTCTGGTACAAGTTAGTGGATACAAGACAAGACTTGGTGCCAAGTTTACAGAGTTATATTAACTTCTGGGAGAGCCAGTTTACATATGTTGCTGATTAATAGTTGGAGAGAAAACATTATGATAGTGCTACAACTGAAATGCTGTAAAGTTAATAATTTTCACATCAATTTTCAGTCTTCTAAAATCTAGTGTAGACATAACCTTCACATTGTAGCTGTCATTGTCAGTATCGACAATGTTTATCTATGCTTGTGTGTGCACTGATATATTTGATTGTAAGTTAGATTGCCACCCTCCATGCTGTTGTCGCCATAGTGAACGTAGGTGGGCCTTGCTGTGATACTGTCCCCCTACCACAGTCAACAGCAACTACAGCAAATTTGCCATTTCATGCATATGTAGATATTGAAATGTAATGTGTTGAAAAAAAGGTAATCAAAGGACTCTGTGCAACCAAAATTTTCAGAATCAAAGACAAGGGTCCCAAGATTAAAATTGAGCCTAGGAATTCCAGAATGCCCCTAACACTGTCTTATTAATACTGAAGGGGGTCGCTGTTGGCACACATGCTACAGATATGTACCCCAGGTATGTTTCAAATATACAGAACTGTTCCCCAAACAAAGTCAAAATACAGAAACGTAGCCTGTACTCTAAACGGTGGATGCAGGATTTCAATTTTCCTTTGATCTGCGGATTTCCACTGATTTTATTTCAAATTGATCAAATCCTGAACCCGTCATTCGATGACACAATATTAAGTTTTCAGCTGAAAATAGAAATTTTCTGTTGCCATCCCTGGGCAGACGAGTCCATGTTGTGAAACCTAAAACCGTTCAAGTGACTGTGAATGGTATTGTGCATCACGAAATATATTTCTCATTTCTTATAGAAAATGCAAGCAAATGTGCCGGTTCTGATCACGAGAACGGCACAGTGCAGAATGGACTCATCATTGGGTATGTTTCTGTATTTTGATTGGGGTACAGTTGTACCCGTGCCGACAGCGCCCTCTTCAGCTATATTAATGCTTCCCTGCTGTGTTCCACCATTATCGGACTAGCATGCTGTAGGCAGGACAAGCTATACCATCTAGGAGTGGAAACGATGTCAAAATTATTTAGTGACTGAAAGTGGATGATCACAGACAAAATTTCAATTATAGAGCTTTTGGAGTTTGTCCTACTTCACAAATCATCATGTGACCTCAGAACCATTCCACTTAGGCATGATTGTAATCAATGGGGATAGACCGAAAGGATATTAGAAGTAGGACTGGCTATCAATATAGATCATAGGGATTGATAATCTTTGATAAAATATCGATAAACATCGGAGAAGTAACTTGAGCAAAAATGCCAAAAACATCTGAAAGAAAGAAATATATTTCACACCACTGGTGAGTGGTTAGATGTTTATCTATGGATTACTAAGAAAACAGCACCCTGATCATAATTTAGAAGCACCACATGAATAAAGGCTTAACTGTGTGTATTGTGTGAGTAAATTGCAAAAAATTGTTTATGATATTATCAAAGACATTGTCGAATTTTCATATCGATAATCATTGATAATTTATCCGAACTATGATATTTCTGATTATCAATCCTTTTAGCCAGCCCTAATTAGAAGACATTGTCAGTCATTACATTCATACTGATGTTCAAACTATTATTGGCAACCAGCATTATGAAAGTTCTTATTTATTCTCAACATTATTCATGAAAAGCATTTCTTGTTGGCATTATGCACAACAATAAGTTGTGTGTCCATCAGTTTCATCACTCAGTAGCTCACCTTATCTCCGCAGTCGGGTTTGTCTCCATAGTGTCCAGGGCTTGATGTGGTGTCCAATGTAATACTGGACAAGAAAATCGCTTTAGTTTATCCAGTTAGTCCAAATTCTACCATGACAGTGACAAAGGTTTGATTCTTACTGGTCAAAATATTATGGTACAGTTACAGAATACCAGATACCTACCAGCCATATTTTTTGCGCTGCTCTAAAGTTTTCAAAGGTGGCAGAAGGTATCTGGTATTCTGATATCTTACCAATATCGTAAAATCTATTTCCATTTGATTTTTTAAATAATATATGCGTTTTCATTAAATATGAAAATATCAGTTATCGATAGAGTTTAGCTCAGTTACAGTTGACTCATAAGCTTTAAGTGGCCTTCACACGGTAAACTAAAGTTTGACAACACCAATTTCAGAGTTGTCAAACTGTTGTCGAGAGAAATAGGATCGGTCTCTATTCTTGCCAAATTTTCCATCAAACTTTCGGTGTTGTCAAACTCGAGTTTGGCATGTGAAGTGTTGTAAAAATCATGTTGTTCAGAAACATATAATCGTAGTCAACAAAATTGTCACGTGACCGCACCAATAGAAACATGGCGTTCAAATGACACGGAAGTTTGGCAACATGTGTTTGACAACTTATATAATTTTAACAACATGTGTTGTCAAACTTAAGTTTGCCGTGTGAAGGCCGCTTTACGCTCTGGACACAAGCCCTTCAATGCTGGAGTTCCATCTGCAGAGTGTCGTAATCTCGTAATATCACATTATGGTCCAATATTAACTGTTTACCGTTTCTGTATCGACTTTACGTGGCTATGTGTTTTTCTTTCATAGCCAGAACTTATACATCGTTTTACGCATTGTGTTGCAACGTTTACATTGCGGCATTGTTCTGGACAATCTGTTGGCCAGATTTGTTTGCAGACAGAGATTTACATCTCCTTTAATACTACTAACCTCACCACTGTCAATGTATCAAAATATTTCATGGTATGCAAAGATGTGTATACAAGGTCAGATGACCTTTGCTGAAGGGCATTGACCTTCAGATCTTCAGTGCTTGTAAGGGCTGTTGTGTGAGTGATAGTGTGATAGCCTATTAAAATTGCTTCTAGTATTGGTGTGGAGACTGTATATGTGATATGCTGTTTTACCATTATGTAATACGCTTGGACATCTTCAACCACCAACACTCTGTGACTTTTGCCTGTATGCTGAAACCCAAATCAAGGGACTGGTCATTTGTCACTGGGGCCTAGTCAGGGAAAGGGGGAAATCGCAAAAACATGTGACAGTCCCCATCAGGGGGTAATAAAAATAATGCCTGTACGGTACATTTATAATGTACACGCTTATAATGAACTGACGAACCACTTGCTGTATATTTTAGTTGAAATGCGTATAACGAACTACTGTTATAACGAACTAAAACTAGTAGTCCCGTTGAGTTTGTTATGACCCTTGCTAACTGTGTTTAGGGAGGGCTATTACATGTATGGATATTTTACAAAAAAGTATAGAGTGCTTTTAAGGGCTAGGGTGTGTGTCATGCAATTAGACCAAGGGGGATAACTTTTATACCTGTAACAAATAAATGGTAGCTGTAAAGTGAAGGCTCTGTTGGTAATGGGCCATATGTTAATGCCCTTGTTTAACCTTAGATCTTCTGGATAAAGTTTGGGTAATCAGACACAACAGTTTTAAGCAGACACTGCTTGTTTTTAGTTAATTCAGCACTGTTTTAGCAGCTGGCCATAGTTCTGATCCCATGTGGGGCGGAAGGTAGTCTAGTGGCTAAAGCATTTGCTCGTCACACCGAATACCTGGGTTTGACCCCCCACATAGGTACAGTGCGTGAAACCCATTCCTGGTGACCCCAGCCGTGCTATTGTTGAAATATTGCTAATATGGCGTAAAATCATACTCACTCACTCACTCTGATCCCATATTTCCCTTACTCTTGGTTTGCCAGCACCAAGCTACGTCCAGGATTCAAAACTTACTCCATCATCGACCTTAATCAGTCAGAAATGATATTGAATTAAACAGTTTATGAATTAAGGACATAAATTCAGACTTATGAGCAAACAAAGTGAAATTTTACCCCCTGGGTGTACACTATGTGTTGGGAAGCCATCGTTCAGGTGTAAGCTTGTTAGTTTGAAGACCCAGGTTAAGTTTACCACATGCTTACAAACTGTGAAGGCAATCGTTCATATGCCCCTGCTGTCATACGGATATAACTCATAACAGTCTGTAAGGGGTAGATACGAAGAATACTATCCTACTTTATGTCTGTTCCCTAACTTTTTATTCTCAGTATATATGTGTGTGAGTGTTTCCTGGAGGGTTGGTTCAAGTTATGTGTTGTAGTGACGTGTGTCCCAAGTGTGTCACATTAGCACGTCACAAGGTGTGTCTGTGTACAGGATCAACTGAGCTGGAGTTGTTGTGTTCATAGTCACAGAATTCATGAATGTAGAGCTGTCATGTCGATAGTCACAGCTTAGATGACTGTACAGTTTGGTCACATATAATTATCTGGTTCCCTTTCCACCAGTCTATCTTAGCTCCAGGACGATCTTGGATTCATTTTTATGGAGTAACAACAGACATGTCACAAAGACTATATAGTAACTTCCATTTTATAACATAGAGCTACGATATTTTTTGCACTGATAATGTTCTCACTCCAATGCTGTAATATTAACTTACAACTATCTTATGATTGTTACTTTAATATGTACATCATTGTTACTTAAATATACACTTCTGGCAGTGCTATGATAGATACTTTAAGAGTGACATCGTTGTAACTTACAATAAACTTATTTGTTGTTTTGTTTGTTGTTTAACGCCGCACTCAGCGATATTCCAGCTATTAATAATCTCATGATAGTTACTTAAAGACTTACGTTGTTGTAACTTAAATTTAAACTTACATCATCGGAACATAAATGTAGACTTCTGACAGTCTTCTGATTGTTACTTTAAGACTTACATTGTCGTGACTTAAGTATAGACTTCTGGCAGTCTTTTGATTGTTACTTTAAGACTTACATTGTCGTGACTTAAGTATAGGCTTCTGACAGTCTTTTGATTGTTACTTTAAGACTTACATTGTCGTGACTTAAGTATAGGCTTCTGACAGTCTTTTGATTGTTACTTTAAGACTTACATTGTCGTGACTTAAGTATAGACTTCTGACAGTCTTTTGATTGTTACTTTAAGACTTACATTGTCGTGACTTAAGTATAGACTTCTGACAGTCTTTTGATTGTTACTTTAAGACTTACATTGTCGTGACTTAAGTATAGACTTCTGACAGTCTTTGATTGTTACTTTAAGACTTACATTGTCATTGACTTAAGTATAGACTTCTGACAGTCTTTTGATTGTTACTTTAAGACTTACATTGTCGTGACTTAAGTATAGACTTCTGACAGTCTTTTGATTGTTACTTTAAGACTTACATTGTCGTGACTTAAGTATAGACTTCTGGCAGTCTTATGATTGTTACTTTAAGACTTACATTGTCGTGACTTAAGTATAGACTTCTGGCAGTCTTTTGATTGTTACTTTAAGACTTACATTGTGCGTTGACTTAAGTATAGACTTCTGGCAGTCTTTTGATTGTTACTTTAAGACTTACATTGTCGTGACTTAAGTATAGACTTCTGGCAGTCTTTTGATTGTTACTTTAAGACTTACATTGTCGTGACTTAAGTATAGACTTCTGACAGTCTTTTGATTGTTACTTTAAGACTTACATTGTCGTGACTTAAGTATAGGCTTCTGACAGTCTTATAATTGTTACTTTCAGAGTTACATTGTCGTGACTTAAGTATAGAATTCTGACAGACTTTTGATTGTTACTTTAAGACTTACATTGTCGTGACTTAAGTATAGGCTTCTGACAGTCTTTTGATTGTTACTTTCAGAGTTACATTGTTGTGACTAAAGTATAGACTTCTGACAGTCTTATAATTGTTACTTTCAGAGTTACATTGCCGTGACTAAAGTATAGACTTCTGACAGTCTTATAATTGTTACTTTCAGAGTTACATTGTCGTGACTAAAGTATAGACTTCTGACAGTCTTATGATCATTACTCTAAGACTTACATTATCCTAACTTTAATAGTTTAATACAGACTTATGACAATGGTAGCCCTAAAATAATCGTTAGTCTGATACTTTTAAAGAGACTAAGGCCATTGTAACCTCAGTCCTTTTATACTGATTTAAGACATCGTAACCTAAATACTTTACTTCAGACATGACAGTCCTGGTGCCGAGATATTTTTGGTGGAATGGGTCCGGGGCGCTTTACCTGAAGAACATTACTAATGTTAATGGGGATTTAGTCATGTTACCATGGTTACAAGAAGGTACATCTCCGACTGTCAGTCATAGTTCTAGTCTCAAGTCACCCTCTGCACTGCAGACAAGGATAAGCATTGGGGTGTGTTCCGCACTGACTTGACCAATCGCTCGGTGGTTTAGTTAACTGGTATGAAGTCTGTAATTGGCTCCGAGTTGAGCATCTTGTATTGTATACATTATATATCATGTGTGGTTTTCAATATTCACAGTCATCCTTTTTGTAGTATCAAGTTTTTTGTGTGTTTTTGTATTATTTCCATCATCCACTGATGTCAGGTTACCATGGTTACCATGTAGATGTGATTATACCATGATCAGTTGAGTGGAAAGCATTGTGTACATTCAGCTGTGTAAAGGATTTAGTAACTGCTGTAAAATATGTTAGCATGGTTGCTTTTCAGGTCAGGAAAATATTGTTGGTAACCTGACTTCAGTATGATACAGTTTTACTTTCAACTAGTCTTGTTGCGATATTACACTCACAGTCATCAGGCGGATGTCACGTCTTCCACTAATGTACTGCTAACACTTTGTAACATTCATGCATGTGTCCCTTATCCCACAATGCTAAGACAAAACGCCAACATTTGCAAAACCTTTTCTGTAAAAATGAATGACAATGAAATAAGTATTTCAGCTGTGTCATTTATGAATGCTTACAGTCGTGGTAGAATCTCGAATATCAGAGTCATCTTTCAGCATCTACGTCTCACGACCTTAACTCTTATGTTTTTACTGTCTTAATGTGTAGGATTCAACCTGCATCGATGTAACATACTTTGAGCTTATGATCTTATTGCCCCTCCCTGCCAAGCCACTGAATTCACAAACCGATAACAACTTCCACCTATAGGGTGGAAATGCGCCTAAATTAACAACCCGATACTTGACTACATATTACTGGATCCTACCCAGGTATGTACTGTAGGTGTTTTAATTTGGGTACAAATGTCAGATTGAGAATTATTTTACCAAGGCCCTGCCTTAAGCTATTCAGACACATGCGTGAACAATTTGACTGAAAACTTTATCTTCAGTCAACATGAAAGTCAGAAGGAAGGTATTGTTACTATGGAGTTTAACAATATATTGCAGGTCATGTGACTAACCTGGGACCATGTCACGTGACTTACTCCCGACTCACACGAACTGAGTACCCGATTCGTCTGTCCCAGCCCCGTTCCATACTCCACAGTGTTCATAGCTAAGGCCAGACCAGTTTTATTTCTTGTTTTACGGATCCGCCAGTCATATTTTTTCAAGAATAAGAAAAAAATTTTTAATAATTTTCCCTGCTCAAAAAATAGAATCCTCGTGTTTTTATTGGACAAAAATGTAACCTTACACAAAAAAAAATTTTGATTGTTTTTTGCCCCATACAAACTTCACAAATTGCCCAAAATAAAATACTTTTAGTATTTAAAAGGAAAATTATTTTGACTAGTGATGTTTATTTTTTTCCCTCCTGCCTTTTGGTTTTCTGAGGACAAAAATCCGTAAAACAAGAAATAAAAATGGTCTGGCCTAAATAATGTTCCGACAAACTGATCTAATATTTCCACATTTTGATGCACTTGATATTAGTTGTGTAGACAACTCATTGCTGATCAAAGCATTTCTTACCCTGAACTCCCAAATAATTCATTAATTCTGAAAAGTTTAAGCAAAAAAATATGTTATTTTTGCCACAGGTAACAGGAACCTTACTCTGTTTACCTCATACAAGTTTCCTGACAACTACTTCAGTGCCACCAGTTCACTACTACTGTGTGGAGAGCGATGATTGTAGTGTTTTGTTGTTGTGCATCTGTCTGTTCATTCGTTCCCTCCACAGTTCTTCAATTCCAGCATTTATTTTATCTTTTTTAGCAGATGTTTCATTTGAAGGTTTTAACTGTGATATTTTTGTACAAACTGTAACATTTTAACTTGCTCACGACATGGTTGTAATGTATGGCAATTAAAATTGTCTATCTTCAACAATGTGTGTTTTGTTTTGATCTGGAAAATATTCATTCCTCACTCAGTTTATGTTCAACAGAATCAAGCTATGTTCTGGAAAATTGCTTACTGTGAGAGTTAGGTCGGAGGTGTGATGTCGACCATAGCTATAGTCCGTTTGGCTCAAAAGCGGACCGATGAATTGCAATCCAACTCGAAAACTAATAAACATAAAATACTCAATGAAAAGCTGATCATATTCAAAACATTATACCCACTCTGTGAGGTTTTTGCAGAATTTTTGTTTAACAATCTATCATTAAAATATTGACACAGTTCACTATTTGTTACGAGGGAGAAATGCAGAGAAAGGGACAGCCATCATTACCTGTATCCTTGTCCCCTATTTCCTAGGCTCACTATGCAGGTGCCCCCTGGAAAAAATGTGTATTTTTTAAGGTGATGTCAAGCATAGCCACTGTTGAAGCCATGATGACCGACTAGGCCCCAATGAACCACTTATCACCTCCTTCCTCCATTACCTGTGCCCCTGACCGCCTCCGTGGTGTAGTGGTTAGAGTGTCCGCCCGGAGAGCGGTAGGTCGTGGGTTCGATCCCCGACCGTGTCATACCAAAAGACGTTAAAATATGGTACTTGTTGGTCCCTGCCTGGCGCTCGGCATTAATGGGTACAACAAGGACTGGTCGGCTCAGAGTCAGTATAATGTGTCTGAGTGGGGTATCCATGCTTCACTGCGGCATGGTATCTCAGTGAGCTAGCACTATAAAACCAGCTTAAGTCTGGGCTAGTACAAGCAGCCGCACATACACACGCATGCACGTCATCATATGAGCGAAATATTCTCAAGCACGACGTAAAACCCAATTTCAGCTCACCTGTGCCCCTATTTCAAATGACCCATGGTCCCCATAACTTCACACACTATTCTCTAATTACCTGTGGCCCTTGTCCACCCTTGAGTTCTGCCCGTTCCCCCATTATGTGCCCCTTTTCTTATAACTTGTTCCTGCATTACCCTGTTCCTCATCACTTGTGCCCCAGTGGTGACTTAAACCATAGAGATAATGACAAATCTTGTTATAATGTTTTACCCAACATGCTGATTCTCAGCAAAAATTGCAATATAATTATATCTTTCAGAAGGTACATTGCCAATAATTATGTGCTATCTCTCAACAACGTCTCTTCTGACCTCAACCTGGACCTCTCAGTAACAGTGTCTTTCTAATTAAAGACTTGTCACCTGACTATATCTCATCAAGTGACCCCTGTGTAGACCTGAACTTGGCTATACAGAAACCTATCCACACATCCATCTGTAGACCTGAACGGGAGTCAGTATAATGTGTCTGAGTGGGGTATTCATGCTTCACTGCGGCATGGTATCTCAGTGAGCTAGCACTATAGAACCAGTTTCAGTCTGGGCTAGTACAAGCAGCTGCACATACACATACACACGCATGCACGTCGTCATATTAGCGAAATATTCTCAAGCATGATGTTAAACCCAATTTCACCTCACCTCACCTCCCTCTGTAGACCTGAACCTGACTATACAGGTGCCTCTGTAGACCTGAACCTGACTAAACAGACTCCTCTCCACACATGACCCTCTGTAGACCTGAACCTGACTATACAGACACCTCTCCACACACGTACCTCTGTAGACCTGAACCTGACTATACAGACACCTCTCCACACATGTCCTTCTGTAGACCTGAACCTGACTATACAGACACCTCTCCACACACGTCCCACTGTAGATCTGAACCTGACTACATAGACACCTCTCCACACGTGTCCCTCTGTTGACCTGAACCTAACAATATAGACACCTCTCCACACGTGTCCCTCTGTAGACCTGAACCTGACTAAACAGACACCTCTCCACACACATACCTCTGTCGACCTGAACCTGACTATACAGACACTACTCCACACATGTCCCTCTGTAGACCTGAACTTGACTATACAGACACCACTCCACACATGTCCCTCTGTAGACCTGAACCTGACTATACAGACACTACTCCACACATGTCCCTCTGTAGACCTGAACCTGGCTATACAGACACCTCTCCACACATGTCCCTCTGTAGACCTGAACCTGACTATACAGACACCTCTCCACACATGTCCCTGTGTAGACTTGTACCTGGCTATACAGACACCTCTCCACACATGTCCCTCTGTAGACCTGAACCTGGCTATACAGACACCTCTCCACACATGTCCTCTGTAGACTTGTACCTGGCTATACAGACACCTCTCCACACATGTCCTCTGTAGACCTCAACCTGGCTATACAGACACCTCTCCACACATGTCCCTCTGTAGACCTGTACCTGGCTATACAGACACCTCTCCACACATGTCCCTCTGTAGACCTGAACCTGACTATACAGACACTTCTCCACACACGTCCCTCTGTAGACCTGAACCTGACTATACAGACACCTCTCCACACATGTCCACACATGTCCCTCTGTAGACCTGAACCTGACTATACAGACACTCTCCCTCTGTAGACTTGTACCTGGCTACAGACACCTCTGTAGACCTGAACCTGACTATGCAGACACTACTCCACACATGTCCCTCTGTAGACTTGTACCTGGCTATACAGACACCTCTCAACACGTCCCTCTGTAGACCTGAACCTGACTATACAGACACCTCTCCACACACGTCCCTCTGTAGACTTGTACCTGACTATACAGACACTACTCCACACATGTCCCTCTGTAGACCTGAACCTGACTATACAGACACCTCTCCACACACGTCCCTCTGTAGACCTGAACCTGGCTATACAGACACTTCTCCACACATGTCCCTCTGTAGACCTGAACTTGGCTATAATCCTGTAATTTGATTTATTTCTAATGAACAATAAACATGCACAATACTTGGTATTACAGTGTTTTCTTTATTTCCACCCCTGATATTCCTTTTGTCCTATGAGTTTACTTTATATTAAAGGAACATTTCTCATAAATATTATTTTGTAATAATGTTTTTATATACAGATTATTACACAAGCAAGCGTGTCATACGACTTATACGAAACGTGTGTGAAATTTTGTATTGCCTGAGCGATTTTGCACATATGATATATATGACACTGGTTATGTTTCACCATATGGATATTAATAAGAAAATAATAACCAAAGTTGTCAAAAACTCTTATCAAAGTTGACAAAAGGTATATGCATTTATGACATATATTTATGCAATATAAGTAAATTGGGGCATTTTGACTACCACCCCTGGGCCAATTTGACCAAACAACCAGCCCATTTTGACCAAACTTGCTGGGGCATTTTGCAGCTGGGGCGATTCGACTCGTACCCCTATGGTCTCGGCCTCATCTGATAACAGAGTCATCCTTGAACATTTTAAAAGTTCTGTACACAAAATTCATTCATAAAGGCCTGTTTTATTTTGTTAGTCTTTTTTAGTAACTTGACTTCAATGTTTCTATTTGCTCTCGACATCTGAATTACGAAGAATTCGGGGTCCTGGGTTGAGCCTCAATTCTCAAATTCTCAGCTTGAATATCGCCATATTCACTCCCATAGGAGAAGCACGTATTTACATGAGGTAGTCACGAGAAATCAGTTACATTCTGTACAATCCAAATCAGTCGGAGGTAATTAATCACACAGACGTGTGCGAGAGACATATTGTTTTTAAGAGGAAGTCGACTTATTAGTAATTGAAATAATAACCTGTTGTACAGGCAGTTGTATCATTTTTGAAGCCGGAAGCGGAAGTAAATTGTCTGCATCATCCACCAGAGTGCGCTGTTTAATGACGACCGACAAGTTACATTGATCGTACCGTGATGACACTTTAATGTCACTAATGCTATATTTTATCTAGGGTAATGAGTGTTGCACATACCCGCAGGGGTAGGCCCGGTTACTGCTACACTATTGCATGACCTCAACTGATAATGTCTCAGAACGGGGTCGACGAGCGACAGGGTCTGGGACGGTCAGTCCGCAGTCAAGCCAGGTACGGTTATGGTACAACAGTCACGAGCAACACTGCAACGAAGAAGTTCCCAATGAAGTCCCAGTCGTCAAGTTACATTAAACACATTGTTACCTCCACTGATACCCTGATGGGCATCGCTCTGAAGTATGCCGTGACGGTAAGTGTCCCCTAACAGTTCCTAACAAGGTAACAGCAAGAGGTGGCTTCATTCAGGAAGTTGATTCCAGGCGAACGAGTACCTGCTGTCAGTGGCAGCGATCCGTTTGCCTATTGTACGATGTTCAGATATGGAATTCTCAATTTCAGGATCCAGACGACAGTGAAATTATTTTGTGTTTGTTTTTAAAATCAATTATTGAATTGAAACAGTATGTAAATAATAATTCTATATCTATGAAACGGGAGTGTTTTCTCGCCATGTGATGTACGATTCGATATCACTTTCAGTGGTAACAGATGTTGCTGGAAACTAACACAAAACGGAATTATTCATATATCCCCTGGAATAAATGATGTGGAAAATGTATATTTGGCATGTGTAACACAAGAAATATGAGTCAGAGCTCTAGATAAACTTTTTGCAATGTGGGTATTTACCCATGGTGTCTGTTATAGATGGCTACTACTGATTTTCAAAGGGTACTCAAATTTTCCAATACCCACCTTTTCTTTAAAATGTGGGTATTTTCTGCGTCAGCAATTTAAAAAATGTTTAAAAAGATAACTATAGCCAATTGTTTGTACTTACGATAATAACAGGGTCGGTATTTAAAGAGAAATGCAATTTCAAAAATGTGAAGTTTTAAGTTACTTAATTATTTGACATGTAGAGTGACCAAATTGAAAAACAAACATGTCGGCATGAATGTAATTTTAAACTCGTTCTGTTAACTGCAGCATTGTCTCATCTGATCACATTGTTTATTGAAAGATAACCATCGAAACTTCATTTTCTAACAAGAGCAATTTCATTGGATGATATTTTTAGAAGAACTTATCAAAGTGAGTGTAACAAACACAACTAACTGTGTTTGCGCGATTGTTTCCTTCTGTAGTTCATTATGTGTACAGTTACATAGTGGAATTCATTCGTTTATCCACTTGTAACATTTGACAGTTAGCTCCTTTCTGTTACGCATTTGTTTTTTACTGGTAAGTCAGGGTACCCAAGCCAACAACTAACCAAAGCAATCACTTTGCGTATCTGGCACGCTGCAGATATGTCTTAGTTCATATTTTGGAAATTTCAATGCATATTTTACATAGATACACAGCTTACCTAGACTTCTGATAGGGTGTTAAACCATCCTACTGATAAATAGTTTTGTTATAAGCGTTTAGTTTCATTGGATTGTTTTGAAAGATTATAGATCATACATTGTTTCTGTATACCCGGACTAGTTGGTCCATATGCACTTTACAGAACACCATTCCTTTTCAATGCTTCTAATATTGCTGCACACAACAGCTTTAATATTATCATGAGAAAACACAAATTTGCCCAAAATGTCTCTTTTTGTATGATTTAATATAATGACCCTTGAAGTTGAATATCAAGGAATTCATAAACACTATGAATAGGGCATTATAATCAAGAAAATGCTCGAACACAGTTGTTCCATAATGATTTGACTGCTTCATCTATTGGGGCACATTTCATTAAACATGTTACAAGTATGTTCCTTTAACTTTGTAAGCTAAAATTACATTTATGTACATTATTCAAGCTATGAGACAAGCCCCCACCAACACTGTCAGTGTTTATTATATCGGTAGTTATGTGGAGTAATATATCATAGATTTGCTGCTGTAGAGTTTCCATAGTTGCAGAGTGTTTTATAGAAATGAACTGATCTTCCACGTTTTGATTTTATGATTTTTCAGTCGCAAAATTTGTCTCTGTTTACAAACTTCATGGACTACTGATGATTGCAAGCAGCTATTGGTTCGTGTATTGTAACCCATTCATGTGGCAGAATTAAAACTTTTGAAAGACTGATCATGTATGAATGAGTACTGTCCACCAGCCAATAATATAATTTTTTTATGTTATTTCTGAAATGTACCATGTTTAAAGATTTGTACTGGGATTTAAGAGTTACTGTTATGTGTTTATGGAGATATAATTAGATTAAAAAATCACAGTTTTTTAATCAAATGTGGGGTAGATAAAAAGCAAATGTACATCGTGATATGATGTTGGAGTCTTGTGTATACATGAATTTGTCCTTCAGCATCATCTGCTTGTTAATTGGTGATGTTTTTCTTAGTGTGCTTGAAGTTGAATGGTGTTTTTAAAACAGGTAGTGTTTCAATAAATATTTAAAAGCTGTTTCTTCATTGTACTGAAGAGTAAAACGAGATATGATTGCTTTAATGTTGGGAATTGGTTAAAATCTCACAATTGATAATTGGTTCATTACAAAATACAACCGATCAATCATCGAAAATAATTGGTTAGCGTAATTTATCAAGTTCTCCTGGTTATGTTTGTTAAGGCACAAAAATATAGAAAAAAACATGTAGTTCTTTCGTTTTTTCTGCAAATTGCACAAAATGCATTACATATTTCACATCTTAAAAGACTAGTATGTTAGGACCATAAATTTCCTGGAGTCTTTAAGATAAATTCAGTCATGACAAGGAACAAGCTTGTAGTTCTTATGAAATGTAACAGACAAAACTAACCTTGTGAAACATGTTGTTAATGCAAACAAGTGTTCCAAAATTGTTTGTATTCGATTATGAGAAAACATCGATTGATTGGTCGTTTAGTCATTGCGAACAATCTTCGATTATTTCAACTAATCGAACCACCACTAGATTGCAAACAAGTGTGCTCTCTCATGCTCTTACTGTAGTGTAAACATGGCAGCAAATTGGGGATTTAATGGTCATGCTGATGAAATCAAATTGTGATTTGTCTGTCAAATCAGATTGGTGGCGCTGGTAAGAAAACTTCTGCACATGCAGGCTCTTTACGCTAGTGTGCATCATGGTTACAAATTAGGTGTGAATTCCCCAAAACTTTCCTCATCATGAGTGTTTACGGTATATAGAACTTCAATTAGAAATAAGAAACTACAGTTTGTGAACCATCATTTTTAAATTGTACATTTTGAGCAATAGTTGTCTAAAATCAACATGGAGATTTCTTGTGAAGATGTTGCTGACTTTTATATCTTATTTTACTTATTTATTTCACTGTAGGGTCAGACTGTCAGTGTCTAGGATGTCGTTTTATATCTTATTTCTTATTTCATACAGTTGTCTGTGACTCAGTGTCTAGGATGTTGCTGACTTTTATATCTTATTTCATACTGTCAGTGTCTAGGATGTTGCTGACTTTTATATCTTATTTCATACTGTCAGTGTCTAGGATGTTGCTGACTTTTATATCTTATTTCATACTGTCAGTGTCTAGGATGTTGCTGTCTTTTATATCTTATTTCATACTGTCAGTGTCTAGGATGTTGCTGACTTTTATATCTTATATCTTATTTCATATCTTATTTCATACTGTCAGTGTCTAGGATGTTGCTGTCTTTTATATCTTATTTCATACTGTCAGTGTCTAGGTTGTTGCTGACTTTTATATCTTATTTCGTACTGTCAGTGTCTTGTAGGGTTCTCCAGATTCACTTCAGTAAAGTTTGTTTAGCTAGGGATAAGGCTGATATGGATGCAGCCATGGCATGTGAACTTTGCAGAATATTTTTGCAAAGTTATCAACATTTTGTGCGGGTTAATAGAAAATTGACTGCAGAGTTTTTATTTTTTTTGTTGCGGACCCCAGCTGGCAGATGAAGTTGATGTCACAAGATCATATCTCAGATATGTGTGATTTTGTATTGACTGCCTCGTGACAGATGGCTGACAAAAACCATAATAAATAAAGTGAATGTATAAAAGTTTGGATTTTCAGCCTTGAGATATACCATAATCAAGGACATGAACTGATAATTTAATGAGGTCAGTCCAGTGACCAAACCAATTACACCATACTGTTCATCCAGATTAGATTGATCTTTGATTGATACTTTGTATTTCAGTGATAGGGTACACCCTTTTAGGGACCGTTCATAATTTATGGCTTTGGGGGAAAATGATGATGATTTTTAAAGGGGGTGTCACCCATTTTGTTCTGGGGAGGTAGGGTGGGTCAGCAATTTTGTACACACGTTATTGGGGGGTCATCAATTTTGTACATAAAAATATGTTTAAACTTATGCTTAGAAATTATGGGAAGGGGAGGGGGGTCATTCATTTTGTACATGACATGCAGGGGGGGTCACTTATTTTGTACATAAATTTTAGGGGGAGTCATTCACATTGTACATGCTTCTTCATAAAAATCATCATCACCCCCTCTAGCCATAACTTAGTTATAGTCATCGTGCATGCATGATAATCAACAGCCAGATAATCAACAAGCGTGTGCAGTGAAATGTGAAGCCCATTTCTGGTGTCCCCTGCCGTGATGTTGCTGGAATATTGCTAAAAGCGGCGTAAAACCAAACTCAGTCAGTCAGTCAGTTGTAAGAAATAGTGAAAAATGACAACAAAATAATGATCGTTTGTTGAACAACTTTTTTCTTCGAGTGTCCAACATTGAAACAAATCATCAGAGTTGGTCTGTCGATTTTATGTGACTATGCAAAGTTTGATTTTGTTGCATTTTTCAGATTTTGTGTTGTTGAGCAATTCATTGGTCTCAAATGAAATCAAACAGACTATTGTAATAACAGTTACTGAGTTAGGTTTTACGCCACTTTTGGCAATATTCCAGTAATATCACAGCGGGGGGCTCCATACATTGTACCCATGTGGGGAATTGAACCCAGGTCTTCAGCGTGACGAAGTGACGTTTTGACCACTAGGCTACCCCACCGTCCTGCTTGGTATTGGAGTGAGTAAAATGACATGACAGTTACTCCATCGTCACCACATCATGTGCTATCCAGACGAGGAACATCTATATTTCAGCAGCTGGCTATGATCGTGAAAAACATGACCCAGATTTGACAGTGACCTGTTGGAAGTGGAAAAAAATGAAACACTTATATTTATTATTTTTCGCGAACCTTTTCTCATTTCTGGTTGGATCACCTTTTGTGTATTTCTGATTATTTGTGATGCACAGTGTACCATGTATGTTTAATTCTTTCATAAAGTGCCAGTTAATGTTGAAGCTTCTTTCCAACTTAATTATATCACAATGTCGACTTTTCGGTTGGGTGTAGTCAGTCAGCTTGATAATGCTAAACTACGTCGAAACCTTACTTAATATGTAAACCAGAAGTGGTTGGTCACAAAAAATATTGCACCTCGTTATCGAGATCTCTGTGGTTGTCTGACAATAAATAAAAATGCGTCTGTTATCTTGGTCTTTACAGTAGTCGGGTCATGCAAGATAGGTAATCGCACCATAAGAATGCCACTCAAATATCATCCATAACAGAACTTATTCAACTTATAGCTTTAACAACTCAATTTTACTGAAGTTATAACTGCATACTGTTTTGTAGACAGACATCCAACCCGTTGTTGGCTCTTTTCTTGTGCAAAACAATAATAGATTTACCTCCCATGGTTAAAAAGTTATTCGTACTTCGCGATCTACAATCTCTTTGATAATTGTCCCCGGCCGCAATTAAGGTCACCACGACACTTTCACCACTTTTCAAACTCTTGTTAGCGTGATATCTCATGAACTGTTGTACCCAATGTCTTGAAATTTGGTGCAGCCTACATTGGGGGATTACGCAGACATCAGTCGATTTGGGTGACCTTGACCTTTCACCACTTTTCAAACTCTTGTTAGCGTGATATCTCATGAACTGTTGTACCCAGTTTCTTCAAATTTGGTGACAGTTTACTTTGGGGTATTACACAGACATCAGTCGATTTGGGTGACCTTGACCTTATTTTCAAGGTCACCACAACACTGACCACTTTTCAAACTGTTGTTAACGTGATATCTCATGCACTTTTGTACCCAGTTTCTTCAAATTTGGTGACAGTTCACTTTGGGGTATTACACAGACACCAGTTTATTTGGGTGACCTTGACCTTATCTTCAAGGTCGCTACGATACTTTGACCGCTTTTTAAAGGCGATATCTCATAAAACATTGCACCCAATGTTTCAAGTATGTTGACAGCCTAAATTGGGTGATTATGCAGACACCAGTCATTTCAGGCATCTTGTATGTGACCAAAAAATAAAAATTAGTAAATATAGATATTCCATTCTTTAGCGGCGGGGGACATTGCCATATCAGTGGCAAACACTTGTTTTAAGTTATAATCCAACTAAATGTTGACAATGAACATTGAAATTCAGGCATCTTACTCAAGTAAAACATGATTTGACATGCCTTGATTGCCCCAGTTCTTGAAATTAAGCATTGCTCTGAGCTCTTTTTGAATTCTAATATGTGTCTTGTATCTGTGTTTTGGAAATAATTTATTTTATTTTGGGAACTAAACGTTTGGCAATGATAGGACTGAAGCATTGTCCTGTTCATCGTAAATAGGACTCCTGAGGCGTCATTGATTGGAACTTTCAGTATTGATAGATCAGCGCAATTGAAAAAAAGCAACCCAAATTAATTATTCCAACAAAATTAATTATTCTGCATGCTAGTGAGCAAAAGGACATATAGACCTATAATTAATCAATTTTGTGTTTAAATATGATCCATCAAATGTTATAAATTAAACTTCCACCTCCTAACTATCCTTAACGGTGGTAATCTGGATAAATGTAAGCTTTCCATGTCCCCACTAGGGCTGCGCAATATAACCGGTTTACCGGTATTTACCGGTTCAGACATGAAAACGATATGTTTTGCGATATACGCTGATCGAAAACCGGTATTTTGACTTGAATTCGGAAAACTTCGTAACACTCGAAAATCTTCGGATATTTCCCTATTTCATTTGATGCCAAATATTATTTACATTTTTATTTTGTCATGATTACATTTTTGTTATCAAAGCGTAGTCAAGCATTGTGATTTTGTTGTGTTCATGGTTTATAAATCAAGCATTAACTCGATTATAAGTTGTTGTTTGTTTCAAAAATACTTCTTGCAATATATTGCAATACATATCGCAATATATGCTTTCACATCGCAATATATCACAATATGAAAATTCTCTTCAATACCCACCCCTAGTAACCGCAGTAAATATCTAGTTTTGCATCAATATTTTGTGTGTGTGTAACTAGGGTATCAACATCATCAGGATTATGCTGGTATTATGGTATATTTGGATGACGTCCCTACACACTACTGAACTGACATGAATTTAACATATTTAAGCAGACGTGATCCTTGCCTAGTGTCAGAAGCACAGATTTTCTTGTATCACAACCAACATTGTTTACACGACCCTTGATCCCTGATAAGCTCACTATATATATCTGTGAGTCAGCTGACAGATGCAGGCAGTGCAGCTATCGTCAGGTCATGTGTACAGTCTGCAGCAAAACTAAGTGCCACTTGTATGTTATTGGTTGGAGGCGCAAACTCCTCCAACCTATTAATCAGGCAGAATTTGTATCTGAGGTGTAATTTATTTTCTCTGTATATATACACTGGGAATATTCTAAATAACTTTCAGCTAATCATACTTAGTGTCCTTGTATTTTGGCTATTCCAAATGACCAATGAACATAGCTGTAGCAAGTTAGGAGCCACATGACCATGTGGGTAATCTGAAATACTGTAAATCATGCATCACGAAATTAATACGAGCTCTGGAATCTGTGTTGATGATAAAATGTGACACCCTGAGTCTTTGATGTTGTTAATTTTCCTTTCACACTTGTTATTTACCAGACCTGTGAAGATCCGGGGTAGAATAGGTCTTCAGCAACCCATACTTGCCACAAGGGACGACTATGCTTGTTGTAAGAGGCGACTAACAGGATTGGGTGGTCAGGCTCACTGACTTGGTTGACACATGTCATCGGTTCCCAATTGTGCAGATCGATGCTCATGCTGTTGATTACTGGATTGTCTGGTCCAGACTCGATTATTTACAGAACTAAACTCACTCACTCACTGTTATTTACCAAATAACCTGAATTGAGCTTGTTAAGCAATGAATGGAAAGGAGCTGACGATGTTTTGATTATGCTGCCATGTTTGATCACACTTAAGACAACATTTATGAACGTAATCCGATTTCGAAGGTGAGCAAAGATTGCGAAATGATCCTGCTTGGTTGGAGAATATCAGGTCTGGCTGGTGTGCTTCAGTGACTTTAAACAATGACCAGTGATTGTAACCATGGTAACCAGTGATAATAACATGTGACTTGAGATACCTGTAATGAGGAAGTGACCTGTATTGGTGTAATGTGTAGTGTGTAGTGTCAGCACTTCGGCTATTGTTACATGATTTGCCTATTAATAAGTTCAAAGGATATCAATTAGTGTCATGGAAAATAGTCCTCGTTTGTCGATTAATTTAATGAGAGATGTCTAAATTGTTGTTAGATTCTGTATTGTTATGATGAATGCTAACCTGAAGACAAGAAAGATGACGAGAGATTTACGTTTTCTGTCTTCTATTTAGTTCTCAAAAGTAGACATGGTCAGACTGACATGTGTCATTATAATTATAATAATGCGAGAAGAACACAGAGGCATTTTTCGCATTAATAAAATGTTCGAATTAATTTCAATTTTCATAATTGACAGTAATTGTCAAGCTTTACTTCATAGTTAATGCGGAAATCAAGTTTTCTATAAATCTTTAATTTAAACATATTCTGTGTGTTTACTGATAAAAAATGTCACTAAACTTCATCCCCCCAACCATCTTGCATCCTTCTCACTAAATTTCTTAATTTGCTAAGGTGCCTCCAACGTTGCCTTTTTAAAGGCCTTTCTTGTTTGTTGAGTGCAGGCATCAGCAGGTGCTGAAGTAGTGAATGGAAATGGTATGTGGCAGTAGTATGCACAGATCTGCAGTGCGTGTGTGTGTGTGTGTGTGTGTGTAGCTATCACACATTTGTACTGTCTAAGCCAAAAACAATTTGGTTTGTTTCTTTGTTGTTTAATGCCGCACTCAGCAATATTCCAGCTATATTTGGCAGCAGTCTGTAAATAATCAAGTCTGAACCAGACAATCCAGTGATCAACAGCATGCGAATCCATCTATGCAGTTGGGATATGATGACATGTGTCAACTAAGTCAGTGAGTCTGACCACCCGATCCCGTTATTTGCCTTTTACGACAAGCATGGGTTGTTGAAGACCAATTCTAACCCATATCTAACAAGAGCCTATTGTATATATTTGTAGTGACAGAACAATAATTAACATATGACCAGATTAATTGCCTGTTGTATTCATGTGTGGTTATGGAAAGAACAGTTATATAGTTCTGGATAGAAACAAGCGCCCATTGTATGTATGTGTAGTTATCAAAAGGACATTGATACAGTCTAGGACGAAAGCAAGTGGCACCTATATAGTTGTCCTGTATACACTCTACAGGGGCAGTGGGGTAGCTTAGTGTTTAAAGCATTGGCTTGAAACACTGAAGACCCAGGTTCGATTCCCCATATGCATAGACGGATCCAGAGGGGGGGTGCAAGGGTGTGCGACACCCCAACGCCCCTTTCTCCTGAAAGTTTATTAAATGACCTTTGAAGTCGGGTGAAAATGAAGTGTGCACCCTCCCTTTTCTCAATAGTGTGCACCCCCCCTTTCTCAAAAAGCTGTATCCGCCCCTGAATATGGGCAGAGGCCCAGATAAGCTGCGTATCCGGGTAAAATACGCATAGAAAATTTCGAATTACGTATTGAAAAATAATTCTTGCGTACCGATTACGCATATAAAATGTTAGATACGCAAAAAGTTTAAAACAAATGCGTACGGAATATATGTTTAAAAATCGCTTGCGTTTTGAAAAAGACATCGATTGCTATCAAGTTGTACTGTCAGTATAGGATGAGGTATTTTTGATGAAATCATTTCCATTATATTTAAGTTGGTTTTGATTAGGTATGACATAAGGCTGAACATACCTGCTTAGTAAACTTACTCAATGACATAATACTTAGGTGAGTAAAATGACTGAAATACGCACATATTTGAAAGCAGTGGGTAACGGAAAATGAAATACCCACTCAACATTCATAATACCCACTCCCCCCCCAAAATACAGTGGGTACAGTACCCACATGAGCTAAATCTTATCTGGAGCTCTGATGGGTACAATGCGTGAAGCCTATTTCTGGTGTCTGCTGCACAATTGCTAAGAGCAGCGTAAAACCATACTCACTCACTATACACTCCACTGAAAGGGCAATGTGCGTTGCAGGTGGAGTAGATTTATACAGTCTATGACAAAATAAATTGCCTGTTGTATACATTTGTAGTTATGAAAAGAAGTTATATAGTCTGAGGGGCTTTTAGAGGTGATGCATATAAAGGCAAGACTTTTATGGATGTCAACTTCTTTATTATGAAACGTGACGACGTTTTGAAGTATATTCTTACTCCTTCATCAGTAAAGAGGTTGACATCCATAAAATTCTTGCCCTTAACAGTTATATAGTCTTGGGACCCGTGAAGATCCGGGGTAGAATAGGTCTTCAGCAACCCATGCTTGCCACAAATGGCGACTATGCTTGTCGTAAGAGGCGACTAACGGGGATCGGGTTGTCAGGCTCGCTGACTTGGTTGACACATGTTATCGGTTCCCAATTGCGCAGATCGATGCTCATGCTGTTGATCACTAGATTGTCTGGTCCAGACTCGATTATTTACAGCCTGGGGCCATATAGCTGGAATACTGCTGAGTGTGGCGTAAAACTAAACTCACTCACTCACTCACTCATTATATAGTCTTGGATAGAAACAAGCACCTGTTGTTGGTATGTGTAGTTATCTAAAGGACGTTTATACAGTCTAGGACAAATACAAGTGGCACTTGTATACAAGTATAGTTGTCCTTTATACACTCTACAACAAAAGGGCAATGTGTGTTGCAGGTGGAGCAGATTAAGCGTGAGAACAAGATGTGGACCAACGACAGCCTGTTTCTCCGAGAACACCTGTTGGTACCATTGACTGCAGAAAATGAGAAAACAGTTCCTAAAGATCTCATCGTCGTCTCTGACCGGGACCGCTCAGCTTCCAACCCGGAGAGGGATGTTAAGTCAAGTAAATCTGATGTGTCAGGCATGGACTTCTTGAACAAATACGACAGCACGATAGCTCAGCTCAAGACCAACGTGTCCAAGATGGAGCAGAATGCAAGGTGGGATCTGCTGTCATGTCGACATAATCATAGGTTCCTGTCTTGCCTTGTTAACAGGACTGTAGAGTCCTGCCTTGCTTTGTTTGCAGGTCCTGCTATCACTTGTTAGCAGGAACAAAGATTGTGCCTCCCTTTGTTAGCAGGGACAGATGGTCCTGCCTTCCCTTGTTAGCAGTAACAGAGATGGTCCTGTCTCCCCTTGTTAGCAGGAACAGAGATGGTCCTGCCTCCCTTGTTAGCAGTGACAGATGGTCCTGTCTTGCCTTGTTAGCAGGGACAGATGGTCCTACCTCCCCTTGTTAGCAGTGACAGATGGTCCTGTGGTCTCCTCCCTTGTTAGCCTGGTGTTAGCAGTGACAGATGGTCCTGCCTCCCCTTGTTAGCAGTGACAGATGGTCCTGCCTCCCCTTGTTAGCAGTGACAGATGGTCCTGCCTTGCCTTGTTAGCAGTGACAGATGGTCCTGCCTCCCCTTGTTAGCAGTGACAGATGGTCCTGCCTCCCCTTGTTAGCAGTGACAGATGGTCCTGCCTCCCCTTGTTAGCAGTGACAGATGGTCCTGCCTTGCCTTGTTAGCAGTGACAGATGGTCCTGCCTCCCCTTGTTAGCAGTGACAGATGGTCCTGTCTCCCCTTGTTAGCAGTGACAGATGGTCCTGCCTTGCCTTGTTAGCAGGGACAGATGGTCCTGTCTGGTCCTGTCTCCCCTTGTTAGCAGGGACAGATGGTCCTGCCTTCTCTTGTTAGCCCATTTGGTCCTGCCTTCTCTTGTTAGCAGGGACAGATGGTCCTGTTAGCCTTCCCTTTGTTAGCAGGACAGATTGGTCCTGCCTTCTTCCTTTCCCTTGTTAGCAGGGACAGATGATCCTGTCTCCCCTTGTTAGCAGGGACAGATGATCCTGTCCTCCCTTTGTTAGCAGGGACAGATGATCCTGTCTTCCCTTGTTAGCAGGACATGATCCTGCCTCTCTCTTGTTAGCAGGGACAGATGGTCCTGCCTTCTCTTGTTAGCAGGGACAGATGGTCCTGCCTTCCCTTGTTAGCAGGGGACAGATGGTCCTGCCTTCCCTTTGTTAGCAGGGACAGATGGTCCTGCAGTGACTTCCCTTGTGATCCTGTCTCCCCTTGTTAGCAGGGACAGATGGTCCTGCCTTCCCTTGTTAGCAGGAACAGAGATTTGACTCACCTAGTTACCAGACACAGATATTGTGCCTTCCCTTGTTAGCAGGGACAGATGGTCCTGCCTCCCTTGTTAGCAGACACAGGTATTGAGCCTTTCCTTGTTAGCAGGAACATATGTTCCTGTCTCCCCTTGTTAGGAATTCCACATCCACAGGGTTCCACATCCCCACAGTTAACACAAATGTTGAAGTAGTTTTACATTCACACAGGAGACATCCTGTTGATCACCTCATGTAACATAAAACCTCAGTGAGGCAGTGGAGCACAACTCTAATTGATGGTTGATGTTAGCATGCAAATTTCAGTGAGTTTCATGACAACAGTACTTTTGGTGATAGCAATGCATGACGTGATGCCTTGTGAGCGTAACCTTGCATCACAGGGATTTATCTGGATTTCTCAGGGGCCACTGGCCTGACACAATTCTGCATTTAATGCCTGAATTTTTCCGAAGTTATGATGACTAGTACGATTTCTTGGTTGTGATGAATTGTATTTTCCTGACAACTATCAGGATAGGTGATGAGTCTTTTGTGTGGAAAGACAAAAAAATGAAGACAATAAAACTTAAAAAATCCCAGTTTTGAATACCTATAAATATGGCTATCAGTTTGCCTGGCAAGAGTGTATTCCCAAGAGTACCTGTTTTGAAATCCTAGATGAATCCCTGCTTTATGTACAGTTTGTTGGAGTGGTGCATGTCCGAGTGGCAACAGGGACGAGGTAACTACGCTCTGTAAGGTGAAGTGTGTGTTGTGGGTAGTGTTGGGAAACGGAAACCAAATCCACTATCGATTATCGGAGGACTTGTGGTGAACGATTATCGATTATAATCGAAATATAGGAATTTTAATGTAATCACCAAGTTTAAGGGTTTTTCCCCAGGTTTTATCTAATTAATGTTTTCTATAACTAATATTGTCATGCAATGAAATGCACGCATGCAAGAAAAACACTGGAATTGCAATTAAACAATAAAAGTGGTTAAAATTTTACAATGCGCATACACTGTTGAGCGCATGTTTGTTCATGAATATACGTCAAATTTAATGGTTAGTTCATTCAAGTGTGTTATACTAAAACAACCAAATTCTGTATAATCGAAATGTTTCTTACAACCGATAATTATTTTTAATATTCTTTCGAGTGATTTTCGATTATTTTTGATCATCGGAACACCACTAGTTGTGGGGATCACTGCAGACATGGATGGGATGTTGTTTGGCAACCTGTGAGGCTCCCTCAAATACTTGTGTAACGTCTTTGGGAGAGTGAAAAGGTTGGGAGTTGATGAGGGGTGGGAGAGTGTATTGATATCTGCAGTCTCAGTGGCCAGGTTATCGTCATCTCTACTTGCATTGTGGAAAGGGGGCGGTGGGGTAGCCTTGTGGTTAAAGCGTTCGCTCGTTATGCCCGAAGGCCCGGGTTCGATTCCCCACATGGGTACAATGTGTGAAGCCCATTTCTGGTGTCCCCGGCCGTGATATTGCTGGAACATTGCTAAAAGCGGCGTAAAACCGAACTCATTCACTCACTCACTACATTGTGGAAAGGTGGAGGGAGTGAATGAAGGATTGGGGTCATGTGAACAGATTGGGAGAGTGAATTGGTGTATACAGTATTGTTTGTGAAGAGTCAGTCCTTGTACAGAGGACAGATGGGGAGTCTGTGAAGCAAGGAAAGGGGGCGTGTGTGAGCGAAGGGAGCGTGTTTGAAGGAATGTGTGTTTCAGCACATTATTCATCGGTGTATCCATGGAATTGTAAGGTAAATGAAGTTGGTTAATGTGGAGAGGAAGGGAGGTAACTGTTGTATTGTATTTCAGTGCACAGCGACCACCAAAGGACCAGTCAGAGGTACAGGCATTGGGGTCCCGTTTTGAGCTGCACCCTGACCCAGACACCGAGTGTTAGATGTTAGAGTCATCTTTTCATAAAGCCGCCAAGGTACTCACAGGCAACATGCTAGTGTCAGGGGAGACAACTCACAGTCAGTATAGTAGTGGCAGGGGAGACAACTCACAGGCAATATACTAGTGGTAGGGGAGACAACTCACAGGCAATATACTAGTGGTAGGGGAGACAACTCACAGGCAATATATAGCAGGGGAGACAACTCACAGGCAATATACAGTGGCAGGGAGACAACTCAGGCAGTATACAGTATAGTAGTGGTAGGGGAGACAACTCACAGGCAATATATATTAGTGGCAGGGGAGACAACTCACAGGCAATATAGGCAGTATACTAGTGCCAGGGGAGACAGGCAATATACTAGTGGCAGAGGCAACCCACATACCATATAGGGGAGACAACTTACAGGCAATATACTAGTGGTAGAGGAGGCAGCTCACAAGCATGCTAGTGGAAGGGGTGAAAACTCACAAATATTATGCCAGTGGCAGACAAGACAACTCACAGACAACATACTGGTTGCAATGCAACATACATTCAGATTTTTATTTGCTGGCAGTATGGGGCGATACACTAGTGGTAAGGGAGACAACTTTCCAGCTGATTCTCTAAGCAAACAGTATACAACAGTAGAATAGTCACAGAGGTGCCATGTCACTATTTACAGACAGTATTGTGGCAGGTCATGAGGTGCAGGTGAGATAACTCACAAGCTAGCTAATGGGATATGTTAAATATGTAAACTATGTTTGCCCTGTCACTATGGTTACATATTGAAGAGTATCAGTCACCTTGGTGTACATGACATCGTACTAAACCGTGGGGGACCAGTCACTGGCTCAAACAACCCTATAATCCTAGAGATTTTCGATAAGTAGCATTTTGGGGCTGTTAGTCCAAACCAGTTATCTGTTTGAGTTTGTTAAAAAATGGAACTGAATACAACTGTCAGAATATCGAAAATATATTGTTGATTAATGCCACACACCAATATCACAGTTTTATGATGGCGGTCTGTAAATAATTGCGTCTAAACTAGACAATCCAGTGCTTTAGCACGGATATATGCAACTGGAACACAATGACACACACTAACCGAGTCAGCAAGCCTGACAACCCGATCACGTTGGCCAACTGAGTACTGACTGGGCTTGATGTAACAGGCTGTATCTTCATGGGAGGGGAGACAACTGGTATGGTGTAAACTACATTCATTCTAAGGGAGACAACTCAGTGTGTGGGATCAGCTGGCAGTTATGTTATATTATGATTTATGCACAGATAAATTTAAGCCATGCACCACATGATTCAGACTCACGTAATGTTCATGGATTTAGAAGCATGTAAGATTTTGCGAGTAGGTTACGGAATGTGTTTATGCGAAGATATTTTCAGCTAGATATCTAAATGTGTTATCGACTATGTGTGTCTCTACCAAGGTGTGTAACTTATATGTGTGCGTATGTATACACTTAGCTAGTCTGTTTGTGGGTACCTTGGCTAATCATTTCCTCTCTCGTCTGCTGGGCTTGTCAACTACACAGTCAGAAATGACACATGCAGTCAGAACAATGTCATATGTGTAGTCATCATCTGGACACACAGCCCAGCAGGGGAGAGAATGCAGGTGATGGTTTAACATTTGAGCTGTCCTTTTGACGTAAGTTGTCTCCCCTGTCTCATGGCAACATATGCTTGCTTTGGACTGTTGGCTCTGCTTTGCGTCAGATCTGTTTTCTGTCAGATATCTAACCCGTTGATGATCAGTTGTATTGTTGTGTAAAACTAATGACTGGGGATCCCAGGGACCCCCATGTTTGTGAGACGAGGTAAAACCCTGTGTAAGAGATCTGACGCTGTACTGACTCTTCCTTGCTTTAACCCTGCTTAATATCAACACAAAGCTGCTTAAATATTGACACAGTGTTTATTTCATATCGACACAGCGTTTATTTCATATCGACACAGTGTATATTTCATATCGACACAGTGTTTATTTCATATCGACACATATCGACACAGTGTTTATTTCATATCGACACAGTGTTTCATATTGACACAGTGTTTATTTCATATCGACACAGCGTTTATTTCATATCGAAACAGCGTTTATTTCATATCGACACAGCGTTTATTTCATATTGACACTGCGTTTGTTTCATATTGACACAGTGTTTATTTCATATCGACACAGCGTTTATTTCATATTGACACTCGACACAGTGTTTATTTCATTCTGCGACACAGCATTTATTTCATATCGACACAGCGCTTTATTTCATATCGATTCAGCTTCGACACAGCATATATTCGACACAGCGTTGCGACATATTTCATATCGACACAGCGTATATTTCATATCGACACAGCGCTTATTTCATATCGACACAGCGTATATATTTCATTCGCGACACAGCGTTTATTTCATATCGACAGCAGACACAGCGCTTATTTCATATCGACACAGCCGATATTTCGATTTAGCGATATATTTCATATCGACACAGCCGATATTTCATATCGACACAGCATATCTTTCATTGCGACACAGCGTTTATTTCATATCGCGCCAGCATATTTCATATTGACACAGCGTATATTTCATATCGACACAGCGCTTATTTCATATCGACACAGCGCTTATTTCATATCGAGCATTATTTCATATCGACAGCCGTTATATTTCATATCGACATTTCATATTTCATTGCTATTGACACAGTGTTTGTTTCATATTGACACATCGTTTATTTCATATTGACACTGCGTTTGTTTCATATTGACACAGTGTATATTTCATATCGACACAGCGTTTATTTCATATCGACACAGCGTTTATTTCATATCAACACAGCGTATATTTCATATCAACACAGCATATATTTCATATCGACACAGCGTATATTTCATTGCGACACAGTGTTTGTTTTATATTGACACTGCGTTTGTTTCATATTGACACAGTGTTTATTTCATATCGACAGCGTTTATTTCATATCGACACAGCGTTTATTTCATATTGACACAGCGTTTATTTCATATCGACACAGCGTTTATTTCATATTGACACAGCGTTTATTCCATATCGACACTGCGTTTATTCCATATCGACTCATCGTTAATTCCATATCGACACAGCTTTCACTTCATATCGACACAGGGATGGTTGAACCGCTCACTCATCAGGCCAAAGACCCGAGTTCAACTGCCTACATGGGTACAATGTGTGAAGCCCGTTTCTTGTGTGCCCCTGCTGCGATATGTGCTTGCAGTATTACTGAATCACTTTATATCTTCACGCAAACTTACTTGTATCTACACACAGCTGCACTCATCTGTACATAGTTACACTCTTATCTGTACACATGTGAAGGGATACACAAGCAGACACTTCAAACACTGTGTAGACTTAAAACAGACACTTGACACCTGCATGTCTTACAACTATTATTACTGTCACTATCCTCAGTGCACAGCTCCCTACTGACGATCTTCTGATGTAGTCAATACATGTGTTTTAAGTTTCTGCCAGAAAACAATTATTGGGCAGTTATCATGAAGTTAACCTGTTCATTGCTTCATCATTTGGTATTATTTCATGTGAATATAAGTCTTTTCCATCAGCATCACTTCAATTGCCAATATCATAACTTCATTATTCCCTTTAGGCTGTCAATCATCCATTTTTCAAGCTGGCCTGTAACCATGGTAACCAAAATGTCCCTGTAGCTATGGTAACAGTATCCATTCCTTTGTTGCCAGGTTCCTTGAGGGGATGGAAGACCCTAACCCACTGTCCGCCTTCCGCCGCACCCCCCCAGAGCGACAACGGAGCATCTCGTTTGAAGACCCCCACTCCCCAGTGCTAGTGATCCGCAGTCACACGCAGTCCCGACGTGTGCAGGATTCCATAGACAATGCCCGCAAAGCTGATGATGAGCTGTACGAGTTGTGATGGCAGCCCCTCCTCTGTACTGTTGATGATGTTGTTGTCATAGCAACACTTTTGATGGGTCTCCCAGCCAGAAGCTGAAGTTTTGTGATAGGAGACCATCAAGTGTTTATTCTTACCCTAACATATCAGATGAACTGGAATGACTGAGTTACTGGAACCATAATTTTAATGTTCACAGCCATGTTCCACAAAGCAGTACCATCATGGCCATCCATTTCTATGTTGACTTAGTGCGATACCATCATAACTTGATTATTTCAACACTGAACAGTTGCCTTTAAAACTCTTACTTCTACACTTGAACACTGACCTGTAACAACTGCGCTTAAACGTATTACTTCCATACCACATGGTGGTGGGGTAGCCTAGTGGTAAAAGCCTCCGCTCGTCACGCCGAAGACCCAGGTTCGATTTCCCACATGGGTACAATGTGTGAAGCCCATTTCTGGTCTGCCCCCGCCGTGATGGTGCTGGAATATTGCTAAAAGCGGCGTAAATCCATAACCACTTACTCACTCACACTTGAACACTGACCTCTAACAATTGCGTTTAAACCTATTTACTTCCACACTTTACTCTTGTAGTAAGGTAGCCCAGTGGTTAATGTGTTTGCTCATCACGAAATAGGCCTGGGTTCGAATGCCCACCTGGGTACAATGTATGAGGTGAGGTGAAATTGGGTTTAACGTCGTGCTTGAGAATATTTTGCTCATATGACGATGTGCATGCGTGTGTAAGTGTGTGTGCGGCTGCTTGTACTAGCCCAGACTGAAGCTGCTTTTATAGTGCTAGCCCACTGAGATACCATGCCGCAGTGAAGCATGAATACCCCACTCAGACACATTATACTGACTCTGAGCCGACCAGTCCTTGTTGTACCCAGTAATGCCGAACGCCAGGCAGGGACCAACAAGTACCATATTTTAACGTCTTTTGATATGACGCGGTCGGTGATCGAACCCGCGACCTTCCGCTCTCCTGGCGGACGCTCTAACCACTACACCATGGAGGAGGTCGGGTACAATGTGTGAAGCCCATTTCTGGTGTTCCCCGCTGTGATATTGTTGAGCTGTCAAATGGTTAAAGAGTTTGCTCATTATGCCGAAGACCACGTGGGGAAAATGTGTGAAGTGATGTCTGATGTCTTAAGCGCGCCGATATAACTAAATTTGCAGCTATTATGACCACTGGTTTACGTCCCCAATTCGTCAAACACAGTACAGTTATCCCCTAAATGTCACTCCACATTTTACCACAGATCCATAACTCTGTCAACATAAACTTACAACTTTTTAAAATCAATATAGCACCAATACATAAACATTGACTTACGACAGTAGTGGTGATCCATGCATCTTAACTCCCACCCTCTAACAAACAACTGCAGCCATAGCGCCAAGGTCACTTTGTGGAACAAGGCTGTGATCAGGATATGGCATTGTTGATTTTAAATCACCAGGGCCCGTTTTACAAAGCTATCGTAGCGCTACGACTGTCGTAAGTCTGTGCTACAGTTGAGGAGGTACGATTGCTTCGAGAAAAGTTACGACATCTTAGGCTTACGAGAGTTTGTGAAACGGGGCCCAGGAACATCCATTGAAAATGCAAATTTTGGATTTTATGAAATTTACTTTTGAGGTGATTCAACACTATGTTTCTGAGATGAGTTAAAAGCTTTCTATTAGACACTTGATGGAACTGAATTCTTGCCAGTATTGGATGTTTCATAGTCATATTAAGATAAAACACATGTCCAAATGGCAAGTTTTGATATTTGTGTATTCAGAGTAATTCTGTCTATACTATCTCGACATTTTAGCTCCCTGTCTTAGGTTGGCTGTTTTAGATTTTAGGAGAGAGATTGTATATAATTTTATCGAAAGATGTCTAATTTATTTGATTGGTCTTAGATTTCCTGATGTGATTTAGTCCCATGTGATACACTGGTAGCAACAGATTACCACACCCATCACCATGCATGTCTTTGTTGCTGGGGTTACCTGCATGTAAGGGAGGTAACTCCACCATTTCAGGGAAATAACTCCATCATAATCATGATAAATCTGGAGGTGTCTGGCCGTCATCCCGTGAGCTCTCTTGGGCTTTGTGTGCAATAATCAAGAAAGGCTGTGCAACATTTTAAGCTTGATATCTATGGAATGTGGGGAAATATCACACGATAAACAGATGTACATCGTGGCTTACATCGTGTCTGTAGAACAAAGGGGTGTCATTTAGTACAGATGAGGTGACTTCTGGATGTCATAGTGAACAAGTAAGGTTTGGGGGAGAGTTGTATATGACAGGATATATAACTTCTTTATGTCATACTGTATATCATGTCTGCTGAACAAGGCTGCTGAACAAGGAAGTGGGAATGTATGTAATAGCATATATCATGTCTGCTGAACGTGGGGGTGGGGGGCATGTCTATGACAGGATATACAACCTATTTATGTCATAGTGTACAGTGGTGTTCCGATGATCGAAAATAATCGAAAATCAATTGAAACTAAGGATTAAAAATAATTTTTATTGTAAAAAACATATTTTGGATTAATCGAATTTTTTTGTTTTAGTATAAGACACTTGAATGAAGTAAACTAACCATTAAATTGTACGGATATTCACGAACAAACATACCCTCAACAGCCTAAAGCTGTGTGCATTGTATTCATAGTTTCGTATTCATCACTACGGTAAATATCACTAGCCTGTCTATGAATACAGTTTACATCTGTTGTGAACATAATGAGATATTCTGATAAATAGTTGTTGTGTAAATGAACACAATAATTGCATTTACATTAATTAGAAAAAACCTGGGGAAAAACCCTGAAAAATGGTGATTACAATAAAAATGTATATACTTCAATTATAATCGATAATCATTCACCACAAGCCCTCCGATAATCGATAGTGGATTGGGTTTCCAATTCTGAACACAAATAGTGTATATCATGTCTGCTGAACATGTTTAGGTGTTGATGTTGACAGGATATATGAATGCTTACAATCATGTATAGATTTCAGGTAGGGGAGTTGGGGGGGATGGGGTAAGGGGATATTTTACAATATTGCTCATGTCATAGTGTATATCATACTCCCATATAAGATGTGGATAGGTTGGTGCCATGTCTTTACCATCTTGTACATGTGTAGTATATATTCATTGTTCCATTATCCAGGGGGCGGTGGGGTAGCCTAATGGTTAAAGCGTTGGCTCGTCACGTCGAAGACCCGGGTTCGAATCCCCACATGGGCACAATGTGTGAAGCCCATTTCTGGTGTCCCCCGCCGTGATGTTGCTGGAATATTGCTAAAAGCGGCGTAAAACCAAACTCAGTCAGTCAGTCCATTATCCAGTATATATGGACTGTTGAGAGACAGAAGTACCACATGGTTTGCGCAGATTGCAACAGGCATTAACAGGCATCTGTCTTGAAAAAGACTTAAATTTGAATTCTGTGCCTTGAATGGTTCAAGCTGCAAACACAAACTGGATGTGGCTCATATATGGCTCTCATTTTCAATAACTTGATTGGCAGAGAGGTAGCCGAGAGGTTAAGACACTTCCTCATGCTGAAGACCTCGGTTCGATTCCACACACAGATAGATTTCTGTGCGAACCGTGTGTTAACTCTACATGTTGGCCACATGGAGCGTTTGTGGGGTGTCTGTGGAGTGCCCATGGAGCGTCTGTGGAGTGTCCACCGTGTGTCCCTGTGTAATCTGTACAGAATGTTGTATATAGCTACTAGATCTCATACACTGTGTCCACTCAAGTTCCTGGCTGCCAACTGTCCAGAATGTATTGTATTATTTATTTGCCACCAAAATATTTCAATATGATTTTTTCTTTCGCTCAGATAAATAGTGTTACTAATGTACGATTGAAGATTGTAACAAATTAGTAGATTGTAACTTGTGAAAGTTGGCAGCCCCATACATATCACAACTCAACTAACTGCTATGATTGTTTCCTCCACATTGAAGCGGCTATATCCATACATTTTCACAGAAAAATGGTGTGTTTTACACACAATTGAGTTGGATAATCAAACTGATGTTAAATCAAGGTGAAAAATTTATTGTGAAGATGAATGGGCATTTTTTGTATGTTATCACTCTAACCCAAACACTCTCGGCATGTAGAGATGAGCCAAGGTGCATTTTGCTTATTCTAGAAGTCATAATACTGTGCAGCACATTTGTTTTTCAAAGAGTGAGGAACATGTCCCTGATGGTTCAGTTTGTTGGTGATGTCTGGAAAACGTAGACCCAGGCAGTTCCAGTTGTGGACGGAGTGTTCTTCAAAAGCCATGTTTGTTCCATGTTATAAATTGTCGTCCTTTACTTGTTTGAAGCCAAAAATCATTGATACCATATCTTCCAGTTCAAGGTTCTACCTGTCATATTGGGAGGTACATTTATTTATGCTGCTTACTGTGGCTGTGTCTACAGTTGGTTGTCAGGTTTCACAGGACTTACTATTTAACAGTAGCCAGGGCAGTAGTATCTGATAGGCTGTCGTCAAGGTGATGAGGTCTACTTTGATACAATGCATGTGGCTTTCTGCACATAGAGTAGAATAAGACTTATTGCCATGGTGATTGCATCTCTCAGGTGTTAGATGAGAGCAAGACATGGCTTATATCCATGTTGACACAGTTGGTTCTGTTTCTAGGCAGGAGCAAGTTAGGGCTTGCTTCCTTTTTAACTGCATATCTCTGTTGCTAGACTAGAGCAGGATAAGGTTTGTTGTCATGGCGACTGCATCTGTTGCTAGACTACTGCAGGATAAGATTTGTTGTCAAGGTGACTACATCTCTCTGTTGCTAGGTTACAGCAAGATATGATTTGTTGTCATGGATACCTCATCTCTCTGTTGCTAGGCTACAGCAAGATATGATTTGTTGTCATGGAGACCTCATTTCTCTGTTGCTGGGCTACATCAAGATATGATATGTTGTCATGGAGACCTCATCTCTCTGTTGCTAGGCTACAGCAAGATATGAGTTGTTGTCATGGAGACCTCATCTCTCTGTTGCTAGGCTACAGCAAGATATGAGTTGTTGTCATGGAGACCTCATCCCTCTGTTGCTAGGTTGTGATGACAGAATAGAGTCTAAGTAAAACCGACTGACCCTTCACCTATGACTGTTATTAATTGAGAAAGTCCCTGTCTGACTGACTCTGAATGATCTTGTATGGAGAATGATAGTTTGTTGTTAAAATGAATCAAGTCCAGATTTTGAGACTTACGATTTGAGAAGATCACTGATGGTTGTGTATGGTGAGATGAACCTTGATTTCAGGGCTGTTGCAGGTTATTCAGTTGAGAACTGGAGTTGAAGAAATGTAAAGTGATCCAAGATGTGTTATTACTATTGAATCATTTATGCTAGGTTATAAATTGTGAAATATCGTTGATCAGAATGTCACATGAATTGTACATAAACATGTTATCAGAGATTTCCGAGTTTGTTCTGTTTGTGATGTTGTTCTCCGTAAGCCTTAGAATTTGGTCCTCAGTAACCCATGCTTGTCGTAAGAGGCGACTAACGGGATCGGGTGGTCAGGCTCGCTGACTTGATTGCCACATGTCATCGGTTACCCATTGCGCAGATCGATGCTCATGCTGTTGATCACTGGATTGTCTGGTCCAGACTCGATTATTT